AAAATTCAACATCGCGAGAGAAGTGTAGATCTTCGAAATTCGAAATCTACGCGCGGGCTACATATTAACTATGCGTATACTAAAATGCATTGTATGCAGACACGCTCACGCCTCGCGACACCTGGCAAGTAGCCAATTTTCTAAAATTTCATTCACTCGTTTGACACTGACAATATCAACGCTTCAAAATCATAGATCAAATTTCGACATTTTTTGTTTAGATGAAAACTGGAAATCGTTGAAATTCATATACAAACGATCTTGTTTTTCTCCTAATATTTAGAGACGAGAAACAAATTAAAATGAAGAATTATGAAACGGTATTGTGTGTAAAAAGCAATCAAATTGAGTATATTTGCTTAACAGATTCGAAAAAATAATAAATGAGCATTGTCATTTCGGTTTCTGCCCGGCTTTCTGTTTTGAAGCCATGATGGGGCAGGTCGCGGTCAGACCAAAAGAATTGGAAAGTAAAGATTAAACTTGATAATTTTGGCTTACTTCGAATAAAAGAAAAACTCTTTGACTGGCTTCTGCCGGATCGAATCATATTTTATTCGTGGCCAGCCCTCATTTCGAAACGACAAGCATGGTTTCGGCGGTATTGCCAAATGAGATTGAATTGATTTTTTCGAAAATTATTCGAAAATGTAATTTTTATTTGAACAGACTTTTGATTATTATCCAACCAACATGAATTGCTCATTATCTGAAATTCTAGAAAGAAATTATAGTCAGAATTTGTCCCTTATTCGACTTTTGGTGGCAGCCGTGAAAACAATTACAAAAACTGGCACGTCAACAGAAGTAATTCGTACTCATTTCTATTTTCCAGCTAATGAAATAGTATGAAAATAAAAAGAATAAATTTAGCCAAGAACGGTGTGAATCGTTATGCATTTGTTCAATTTTTCTTGAAATACGCATTGAAGTAGGCAAAAATTCGACACGCTCTCAAACTGGAGTGTTTGAACTTTCAATTGTCCAATTATGCATTTACTAACTGTATTTCCACAAATATTACTATTCCACTGTCGTATTTACTAATTAGATTTGTACTAGAATCAAGTTTGGATTCCTCTCCTAATTCCCTTAAACTAATTTCACTATCAATTTATTGTGTTCTTCCTCACTTCATTTTCATTTCTTTTTTTTTCGATTACATCCCAAACTCCTAATTCCATCGAAATCACCTGATTTTCTCGTCGTCCGTTTTGGGTTGTGACTCAAAATCGAGTTTTCGCTCAATACTGATTATTAGAGATTTTCTACAAAGATACGAAGTACAAGGAAATTGAAAGTAAGACTATTCTGATGTAATCTAAAGGTCCATCAAGAAGAAAAATTAAGCAAACTGAAATATTTTAGTCGTCCTCGATAAAATATTGCCAAATTTTGACTCATTTGATTTTTTGATCTACCTTTTATTTGAATTCAATAGATCGATATTTCAGGTTCAATTAATATTGTATTTCTACCGTAATACTTAACCTACATATAATTAATAATAATAATAATAATAATAATAATTGGTGTAAAAACACTTGAATTGTTTTGCGTGCGTATCGCAATTGTAAATTAATAATAACCAAAACCATCCCCCCAAAAATAATATGTAGACACTTTAGGCTATTTACTCAACCCCTTTTTATTCTTATCATCCATTCCAAAGTACTACCGTAATCCGCGGGGTGTGCAAAAATGAAGAGAAAACGAAAAACTAGTTTGAAGGCATAAAAGGATGTGGTTTTGCCGTTTCTTCAAATGATAGGGGTGTGCGTCGAAGGGATCCCCCCTATCACCTGATTCCGTTTGTAATACTCTTCAACAGAATGCATTCAGAACCATCGGATTGAATGTTCATTTTCGTTGCCACATTCATTCAATAGATGTTTTCGAATCATCCAAATTACCATCAATTCAGCAAACTGCCACTCTAAAAGGTGTTGCCAATTTGTAGATGTCACGGTTTTACTCGACATCGTTTAATCGATCTCCAACAACGTCCAACGAATTCTCGAAAATGAATTTCTCTCAAGAAAATCATATATATATATTTTTTTTAATATTTCACAAATCTAATTCTCCCCCTCTGAAATTTGACGGTACTTGTATGTGACAAATAGATTTCTTTTCCACTCCTATGGTTCGGTGTTTCGAAAAGCCTTGACGAATGAAGCAAATCGGAATGACTTTGGATTAGATCACTATCTACTCGGAATTCAACCAAACTCCTAACATGTCGAGCTGATAAAAATCTGGCGGCAATTATTCTTGTCCACTCATTTTCCTTACACCCAAATTCGGAGAAGAATCGACGGTTCGTCTAATTTTGTCAAACATTAACTAACTACGTTTTCGTTTTCTCTCTCTCTCTCTCTCTCTCTCTCTATCTCTATTCATTCCCCTTTCTTATTTCTCCTCCCCTTTCTCCCTCTTCACAGTAATATAAATAATAATAGGCAAATTCTACTTTTTTTCGAGTAGTCGAAGGTCCTCGTGCCTACATACCAATAGCACAGGTTGTAGTAAACGAATATCACCTTTTGATTTTTTGAGGATATCGTTTTTCCAGGTATTTGAATTTTTTTGTGAACAATACTCAGAATATTAGAGGAGTCCAAGTTGATTTTTTTGAATGATTTTTAGATAGGCAAGCAAGATTTAATGCGTCTGTTCCAGCACCACATTTGAATATTCTAGCCTTTTCGTTGTCTCTCCGATTGTAGCCAACCGAATTCTCTTATTTCCCCACCAACATCGATTTATCTTGAGAATATCTATTAGAAATCTTAATTCTTTCATTAAAAAAACTAGCCGAACCAGAGAGATCTTGTCATCACCAAATTAAGTTTTTACAATGCTCATTTCTATTTTTACTACAACAAATTTTTTGGAACGATTCTTGAAGGCAGTTATACAAAAATTTGATATTCGTTTGGTCGATAGTCTCCATTTTTTGGGTTTCCCAATTCAAAATGTTTTGTATATATGTTTATATGCATAAGTGAGCGTTGAATTGGTGCGTAACCAGTTTGAGGATCACTCGACGAACAAATGGTTTGGCAATGCCACCCAAACGACATTTTTTCCCATTTAACCTCATTTATAAGAATAAAATATTTATGGGTTTTAGTGTAGAAGGTGAGAAAAAAACCGGTATTCAATTTTTTTTTCGAAACTCAAAGATGACAATCTGATCTCAATATCACCATTTTTCGACTTCCATTAACTAAAACTGTGACTAATGAATGATTGGCGAAAATTGTTCACGAATAGCCCAATATTTGAGGGTTAGTAGATGAAATTTAGCGATAAAATATTAGAATCTTCAATACGCATCTATCTAGAACGATAAAACGCGTGAATAATAGGCGCGAAACCAGAAAACTGGTGATCAGGCAAAATCGACGAACAAAATACAAATATTGTTTCAAATTGAAGAAATTGAGCAATATTGAACAAGGAAATCTCTAGATGTTTGGGCGTTGGAAAAAAAATCACAAATTATTTTATTTTCTTAATAAGTCGTTTTAAAAGCATATTTTTCTTTATTGTTTTATATTTTTATCATAATTTTTCCCAGTTCTGACAATTCAAAGATCAATAATGCTTAGAAATGGAATATTGGGCTTCGCAAACCTGATTCGATGAATACATTATAAAGAAGAAGGAAGACAATTGGAACGATTCGAATCTCTGTTTTGTGATGAGATTCAATATAATTTTTTAAATTTTAGCTCTTTGAAACTTTGCAAAAAAATAATTTAAATTTTTTTGAAAAAATTTCTTTGTGCAACCTTATTATTTCGCTCATCATTCTCGGCTTCTGCAATAATCCATTTTCCCGCAATTCTTTCCAGCAGAAAATCTATAGCCTTATCGTCATTTCTTTGTGTTAGCATTGGAACTGCGAAAAAAAAGATAGCCTCTTGCAGAAGCAAAAAAAAACTTCTTGTTGTCGACCATCTTCCTCTTTCAAAATTTTTATTTTCAAAAATTAGTAGTTTTTAAGATTTACTTTAAGATAACAAACGTCAAATCAAATACTAATATTTTTGGTATTAGTATTTGAAAGCAACCCGTCTAGATCACTTGTCTTTTCTATAATTCACATACACATGTTACCCATATCAATTTTGTAATTTATTGTACATAAAAAAGCCAGAATTCTTAATTATAAAATGTTTGCCGAAAATGAAAAAAAAACGTTGCAAACATTGGGTAGATCAATAGAGATTTTTTTGGAAAACAAAGGGAGTAAATGCTTACGGACTATTTTTTTAATTCATAATTCTTTTTTTTTTTAATTTGTAATTCCATTAAAACACTGGGAAAAATCGGGTACCGTACTACAGACATCAAACTCAATCTATTGATTTTTACTCAGTTACTCAGTAAAGATCACATCAGCAAAGTCTGTAATATATTTTAACATTTTCAGAATTTCCCAACATACTCAAGTTATGCTTGTCGAAGTTAAGTTCTTATGGAAATTTCATGAATAATCAAAAATTGTTTTCAAAACCTATTTTAAAATATTTATATACATATTTTATATGTATACATTATTGAAAGTAATTGTGTTTTCTTCCTTTGATCGTTTTTGATGTGCCCATCTCTCACGCCATTTTCAAAACCGGACCCTCTTAACAATTCGCAGTACAGTAAAGAAATTGCGTCACTTCCTTCTACTCTGGAACGATTTATTTGGCAATTATGACCACTATTGCCTTTGCCACCAAAGATTGAAGTGAACTTGGTCGGTTACGCTTTCGGTTTCTTCGATTCATCTGATGTTTGATATCTAATCATACACTTTATTCAACCACTAACAAATTCTTTTTTCCTAATTCATAGAATAATATAGAATTGAAAAAAAAGGAATGAACTGGACGAGTCGTGTGGTGTCCTTCAACGCCCATCATTATATCCCGAACTGTTTGTTATTCGACGCAGTTGTCCATTCGTATAGTTAGCAAAACTTGAATAGTTTCAGAATGGCGGACAATTATATATCGGTTGATCCGTTGTCCTCAAAACCCATCGAATGCTGGAAGAAGTATGTGAAACAGGGACGGGTATGCGAACCACTCAAACCGCTGCGGTAACTTATGAATTCGAAAATTATTCGCATAATTGGTGTTGATTTTAGCCTCGACACGCCGATTTATGAGAACAAAGTTCGGTTCGTATGCATTTCGGATACGCACGAGAAAATGCATGAAGTGAGTGTGATTCGTGTGGTTTGTGATTGAATAATCGATCATCACCTTGAAAAACCATAATCGATTCTTATCTATCGAATTTCGTCATTCCGAATCAGAATTCGTCAAACAGCTAGCAATTGGAAGTATCGATAAATTGGTTTCGAAAATATTTTTTTTAATTGTCGAAATTTTTCTAAAAATTATTCAAAATTGTTCTCAACCTAGAAGAAAAAAGAATCACAATCAAATTGATTTAACTAATTTAAAATAATTAGGCAATTTTTAGGTTCTACCATACATTCCCGATGGTGATGTTCTCATTCATTCGGGCGATTTTACGAATTGCGGCGACATTGGAGAAGTGATCAAGTTTAATGCGGAAATCGGTGAGTATACTTTATTTCGACGAAGGGCCGAAAATTTTGAAAACCGGAACTGTTCAAGGTTCACTTCCACACAAACATAAACTGGTAATCGCTGGCAATCATGAGCTTGGTTTCGAGGATGGCGAGGAAATGAACGAACGCCAATTGGCTGGATTGAACATGCTTGGAATTAATAAAGCCTACGAGCTTCTCTCGAATTGCACATATCTTTGCGACAAAACTTATGATGTAATTCAAGAATCGAATAATATCATATAATTTGTTATATTCATATAGGCTTATGGCATCAAAATCTATGGAGCCCCTTGGCATTCAATGCCGGGATATTCGTTTTACAGACCGAGAGGTCAAAAGATTTTGCACAAATGGAATCAGATTCCGGCGAAGATTGATGTGTTGATCACCCATACACCACCGCTCGGTAATTGATATCTATTTTCTCTTTTTCGATTGCCAAAAAAAACGTTTCAGGACACGGAGATTTTAACGCTTGGGACAAAATGGATGGAATTCTTGCCGGATGCGCCGAACTTTTGAACACCGTTGAACAGAGAGTCAAGCCCAAATTTCACGTTTTTGGACATGTTCATCAGGTATGCATTTTCAAGTTGATGTGGTTTTATTACAACGAATATATAAGGAACGATAAGAAAATCTAAGCAATGTTTAAACGAATCATTTTTACACAGTGATAAAGACGATAGAAATTATTGAGATAACAATTACAGATTTTTATGATTATTGAACAAATGGTACATTTTGTGATTGAAAAACGCAGTTTCATTAAAAAATATTGTCAATTTAAAGAAACCGCCGAAACTCGAAAAGTTTTTAAAATTTCGGCATTGCTATGAAAAAATCGATAAAAAATATTCAAATGAAAGGTTTTTTCGGATTTTCAGTGACATTTGCGTTACGGTGTATTCACGCATTTTCTCGACTATTTATTCATATTTTTCTTTTATTCTCAAATCTTAACCAATCATGATAAAATACCTAAAATAGAAATACAAAAAAATAGAGGTACATACAAATATTTGCGAGAGTATCCCAAAAACATTGCTGTTGTTTTTTTTTCAAACGTATTCCTAATTGGAAGGAAATTATCGAGATTCGGTGGTATCTTTGAATCATTTTTCGAGTGATTATCAAAAAAAAAAAATAATAATTTCAGAAGCACGGCGTGACAACAAATGGAGAGACAATGTTCATTAATGCTGCTCTTTGCGATCATAAATTGCGTAGCGCCTACGATCCGATCATCTTCGACATTCCATTGCCGCCAGGCAAATCGAAACAATAATTGAGCGACTTTAGAGCACAACAGCTTTAACATTCAAATTTGTGTGTTTTTGCGTAAGACCATCGAAATGATTGAAAACGATTTGATACCGGTCTCTTCCTGTTGCTTCCACCCTAAACACGCATACATACTCGGCCACAACCATAAGCAAACGCACTTCTTCATTGTAAATACTATTTTGTTAGAATCACCCTGTCTCTTCTCGAAATTGTTCATTTTTTTTCATCGAATAAAAACCGCGAAATTATACTAATAGTTCACTGGAGCATAGTGGAAGACGAGTGCACAATTGAGGCTCTTTGTCCATGCACAGAGGGATCACCATCTTGCATCGGTTCTGTCCGAAGCATTTCACATTCTCGCAACCGATTTCATCAGCGCTAGGCAATAAAATGGATCCAAGCGCTCTAGCATCTGAAGTTTGGATAAAGACTACTTCAAGTTATTGATTAAAATACCGATTTTGAAAAGGAAAAATAGAAAAAGGAGAATGATGGAAACCGTCGAGGCCTGTAAAAGGACATATAAATTTGAATACACATTTCAAAATTTGGAATTGCGTTCAATTGAAAAATCTCAATTTAAAATGAAATCTTATAGCAGTGAAGTTCAGGCAATTCCAAAAAAATTCCTCGGTAATTTTGAAAACTATTTTTCAACACAGTTTTAAGCACCTCCGCCCCCGCGAAAACGTCCCTTTTTTCTTTATTCATTGTTTTTTTTTCTCATTTCAATTAATCTTTTAAATATAACTTTTTTATTAATAAAGTAGATAAAATTAAAACTCACATTCATAATAGAGCGAAATAAAAATGAGTAAGAGGATTACAGCGATTTTATCGAATTTATAAGTTATTCATAACAAATCCTTTGTTTATGGCTGAATATAACTTGATCAGAAATAACCAAAAAAATATTTTTTTATATGCATTTTTAAAAGAATGCATTTCAAAATCATCAATGGTATGATTTCTTGTTTCGTTTTTTTTTAATTAAGAATTGTATAACTGATTACTATTGTTTCAGAACTTATACAGTTTTTGAAGGAAATTCAAGGGAACACATGAGTAAACATTTATTGAAAAACATCAAAATGCGAAATTTCCCTTAAACGGAATTGAAATTTTGAAGCAATTAAACACAACTTTTTTTCATGTCTGTTTTCAAGAAAATTCCACACTTAAGGGGAGATTCAACAAAAAACTTTTTAAAAAACCGTGAAAACTCCAAAACCCCTATGCCCAGTGGAGAAATAAGCATTTAATCAATTTTTCTTAAATTGCAGTTCTAATTTTATTTCTGTTTCCGACATTTTTGTGTCCGCAGCATTATATCAACGGTGATGTATGTAATACAGTTCAATGCTACGAGCGACTCACCTGCGTGATTGTTGAAATCCCCTGTCTTCCAATCAACCGCCCATGTCGACACGGACCTGCGTGTGTTTATGCAGCATGTCCCGATAAAAATAAAAATAATGCCGATTGTATATATTTTTTGAGATCGGCACACTTCCCGCAAATTTCACTTATTATTTCACTCACTATATTTATTCAATATTCAAAAAGTGTTGTTGCACGATTAGTTTTCTCACGATTTCATGCGAAAATGCAATAAGAATATGGCTTATTTTCATTGAATTTTCCTAGACTTGAATGTGCATGTCTTATGGCGATATTACACATTTATAAATGTAAGTTTTCCTTTTCAAATAACCAAATTGGTCTTTTTGATTATTTTTATTTAAATTTAAAAACTAATATTTTTATTTCCAGACATTCTTCTTTTTTTCTTGTTTCCGCTATCAACAAGGTCAGACATTTGCAAAGGAGTAATTTGCTATGAAATGCTAACATGTCGTGCAAAACAAATTCCATGCTTGGGAGGTCCTTGCCAATTTGGACCATCTTGTGTATATCTTGTTTGTCCCAGAGGGGCTGAATCTATAGAAGAAGGATGTCTTGAAATTCAATTTTTTCCTCGACACTCTTTGATTCTAGTTTTTCTACTCATTTTAGTTATCTCTGTTAATTAACCACTAATTATTTATTAGATGAAAAATGAATAAAAATACTAAAAAAAAAAGAATAGCAGTTAAATTTATTTCGGGCATTCCGACTTCTTGACACACGTGTGTCCAAGTCTAACATAGCCCTCGGAGCACTGGCAAGTGTTCATGACGCAAGCCTCGGTGCAGAACGGCGGCTCTGGCACTTCGCATGTTGGCTCACACTGGGTTCCGCATGTTTGGAAAGTCTCGTTGGGTGGGCACTTAGTGGTTTCCTTGGTGCAGTTCAATGGATGAATGCAGTCTCCTTGGGTGCTTCTAACGAATTCATCTTTACATTCGCAAACACCAGTGATACAGATTTCTGGGCAAACTTTCTGCAAAAAAAAACATTTTTGTTTAAAGTTTTTGAACATTTCTTCCATCGTTTTAAACAGAAAATAATATCATTGCAAAAAAACAAACACCAAAGTGTTTTTTAAGTGTTTTTTGGGCGGCAATTCCGATTTGAATTGAATTTTTAGGAATCATCAGCACAGGGTGCTCGATTTTTTTGCGCTTGTATAGTCGGCGTCCGGCGACTGCTGTACGCGGGTAGATTTACGGATTGCGAAAAATTAAGCAGTTCACGTGAAAACAGCAAAACAAGAATTCACGCGTGGCGAGACCTTTTCCTTTTAAGGCGCATACGCGTAAATCTACCCGTCTATAATATCATATAATGAATCTATAATATCATATAATGAATTCTCAAATCAACTAACCGGAGTGTATCCGCAGCGGGGTTCACAGCCAGAAGAGCACGCAACGATTTCCTCGTTTTCCTTGCACTGTTCTGAATAGAAGAATTTATGTAGAACTTAAAGAAAAATTGTTCTATAATCTTACTAATGCAATAAACAATTGAAGCAAAAGCGAACAGAAGAACTATAAGCTTCTGAAATTTTCTTTTATCCAATAGGAATTACTTTAATTTTTTGAAAAAAATCGCTCACCATTTCGACCACAACGTACACTCCGATCGAGATGAACAACACTGATCACTCTGAATTTAAACCGAAAATTGGTAGGTCATTCGTCAAATAGCTTGTTTGTTCCGCAACAAGTGTTATGTAAGAACGTGCAATTTCTCGAGCCACAAAAATCAAAAGAATAAGAACGAGTTGAATATTCGAACACAAATTGTTAGAGATGAATTCATAAATAAGAAAGACGAATTTATTAATATTTAGAAGACAAAAGGGCTATTCGGTTGGACACAATGTGGTCGTCGTTCGACATATCAAAACGAGTAGGTCGCAATCACGACGTTGCTGTTTGTCGCGGCTTTTTTTTTATAAACCCTCTTCGTTTGGTAAACACGACGTTTGAATATTGTTTCCTAAAAGATTTGTTGGCTCGAGTCGCAAGAAAAAAACGAATTTGAAATCAGAGATCACATTTGTCTTTGATAATAATCAAATTGTTATGCGCGAGAATGAAAACTATCGTTTTCGTACATTTCGGAATACAAAATTTGTTCGTTTTGAAATTCTCGAGAATTTTCTCGATGACTGGTCTCACAATGAACTTTTTATTGGAAAATTACTCTATAATATTGTCGCCATACTACATATGAATGTATATCAAAAATGATAATTTGCGATGAAGAAAATGAAAACTAAAAAAGGGTGAGATTGAAATGAATAAAAAACAACACATCTCTCATTTCTACTTCAACAATGTTTGTTTGTGGCTTGATTTTGTGAACAAAAATTCAAATAACTCTATATAGCATTTCAAAAACACTATATAGTGTTATCTGGTATGTGAACTATCTACAGTTTTAAACTACTCAAGATTGTATGCATCACACCGGAACAGTCGCCAGCTTCAATCTTCGGACTCTGAAAGAATTCTCAACTATTCGAATTTTTTCAAGTTCAATTGTCCTTACGTAATACTCTTTTATAGTTCATTGTTTTAAAAATTGACGAGTTCATCCATTATTAAATTCCCGGCGTGCTTCTTCTTCTTCTTCTTCTTCTTCTTCATTTTGTTCTTCTCATTGTTGTGATGATCTACTTGAGAATCGTCAATGTTTTCAAGGAGGTTCACAGATTTCGGAGAACAGATAAAATATTCGAAAACTCTTCTCCTTCTCCTTCTTCTTCTTCAAGTTTGAGTTCACTTCTGATTTGTTTTCATTACTTCAACCAACCAATTGTTCAACAAAATCTAGATAAAAGATTGAAAAAATCACCAGTCGTGCTATTTTTTTATTATTATTTTGGTCCAACAATTTTTTACCATTGTCCGATTTACTGTGATTTATTTTCATTTCCAGATCATCTTATGTTATAGAAGAAACATTCGATAGGCATAATAGTCATAATGGTAGGTTCCATTAATTTAAAAACTATTGGGATTTATAGTAATGTGGTCACATGGTCCAGATTGTCATAAATTTGAATTGAAAGATTTATGATGTAGAAGATTCTTTTTAAACTTTAATTCGGAACAAGCTAAATTTTATCGTTTTTTTCCCACGAGAAATTGAAAAATGAGGCGGAGTTATAAAAAAAACTCTATAATTAATTTTAAAAATTAAAATAGCTTGAATGTTTTAAATGAAGTCTCACACAAATGCTGTATGTATTTTTCAGATAAAAACCTTTCATCTTGCCCTCCTGATTATTCCAGCTTTGTCATTTCCAATTGGATATAACGAAACGAATCCATGCACCGATTTTGTGTGTCCACCTTCGACATATTGCTTCACACACACTTTTTTCGGAAACAATTCAGTTGCAATATGCCTTCCTGGTATTAAATTTATTGAATAAAAATCTTCAGTATGTGTTAAGGAATCAATCACAAGAACACATCGTACATTGTCGAAGATCTCACTCCAATTCCTAAACTGAGTGATAATCAAGGATTCGGATCGGGGGATGAGCTGGAAATGTCAATGATATGCTCAATTTCATGTCCGGAAGGCAAAAAATGCGAAATTGTCGATTTGGCGTGCAGCGAAGAGCCTTGTCCCCAAATCGACGTCTGCGTTGATGACAATTTGGATAATATATGATTTTTTGATAATTCCAACTCCTCAAACAACCCTTCATTATTTCCCATGTTTTCTCAGGATTCTAATAATACTTATTTGGTTTATTTTAAATAGTTTAGTTTATAATATTGCATTAGAAAACACCCGCTTCGTCTTTGAAAAACCGCTTTGAAAATTGGTCGTTTAAATACATATATAGTTTTTCTTTAAGTTTAAAACGTTAAACCTTTCTGCAAAAAAAGAATTATGGTGAGCTTTGAGAAAATTTCAAAGTGTGAATGCATTTTCAGAAGAAGACTGTTATGTTGTGCTTATTGCAAGCGTTCACTCATTCTTTATAAGCTTTCAAGAATTTTTTGATAATAAATTTTTGACTACCTTAACTATTCTTTTCTTCTACTTAATAAAGAATACCCCAGTGTCATTATTTAGTACCTAACGAAGATTTCCTTTTGTATAAGACAGAATATCTGTGCAATCAAATAAGATGCCCACATGAATTCATGTGAATCTTATGTAACTCAAAACCATCTGAAATAAGAATAAATGATTCTAGATGTGTTCTAGATGTAACCATTGGAAGCTTGTCCGCTGGTAACATTCTGCATTCATAGTGAATTTCTTTTGAAGACATCGACGTCGGATGAAGTTGTCTGAGCAGGTTCTCAAAACTGTGGCATTAACGAAATGTTAATGATATGTGCGACCAGCGAACGCCCGAATCCTTTTCGTGTATCAATATTGTCGATTCCACATTAGCAAGTAAGGCGAGCTGCTCAATCGGATTGTGTACGAATGAATGCCAGCAAATGTCCATGACGACTATATCAGAAAATGTATGAGACCAAAAATAAATGCCGTTGATGTTTGTTTTTTTTTATTTGTATAGACTTTTTGAAGAAATACTAACAAATATTAACAAGACTAGTTAATGTCTTACTCGAGCCAAAGCAAGTGGTCACATATATTTCTGTTGATTCAAGAACTTTGTGTGCCGAAACGACTACCTATTTTCGACTTTCCCATTTTTTTGTCTGTTTCTCCCACTCACATTCATTTTTTTCGATGATCGTGTAATAAAGCAATCAATTCGTATAAAGAGGGGCAACTTCCCACACGTTATTACAATTCATTCATTCCTTTTTTTTGTGTTCCTCTTTTTTGTGTTTCATAAACGCTGCCCATTTATCAAGTGATAACAGCTGACTCGTTAACAGGCCAAAAAAAAAACGAGGAAGCGTTGGAACGAGCAAAACATATCATTGCGAACAGCATTTGACATCACAACATGGTGAGTTTGAAAATTGAATTCTCGACAAAAGAATGCACAGCTATTCCAGAAATTCGTAATTGTTCTTCTGGCGTTGATTTCCATCGCAGCGTGTGTTGATATCGCCAATTTAAATGATACGAAGCCAACTTGTAAAGAAAATGAGCAGGTGATGGAATGTGGGACTGCTTGCGAGCCATCATGCGAAGACCCTGACCCGGTATGATATTTTAAAATCTAATTTACCACAGTGTATGTGATTGGAGGTCTTCTGCACCAAACAATGCTTGGTGAACGTGTGCCAGTGCAAGAAAGGATTCGTGCGAGATCCAGCATCCAAAGAATGCGTCAAGCTTGATCAGTGCCAAAAGACCGTGAATTAAATTAAATTTATGTGATATGGAATAAATGGTTTAAGCCGTGTAATAAGAGTTAAGAAAAAAGAAAAAATACGCAGGATGACATTAAAATATTTCACGATCTAATAAATAATTTATGAGCACTTTTTACAAGAAAAGCGAATGCCTTCTGACAAGAGTGATCGTTCTCCACTACATTGGCGATTTTTCTCATAATTCTCGCATATAATCTACGAAACATTCTGTATCGACTGTTGAAATCTATACCTGCGTTTTGGCGTTCTGGGGTGTTCATCGGTCGATGGAATTCCTCGTAGATCACATGAGCCAATTTTGAGAAAATCGTCAACCCATCTTGCGTGGTCTAGAAACTTCTATAATATTCAGATAACTAGATAAAATTAAATTTCTCCTTTGGGGTTTCTTTTTTAAAGGTATCTTTTATAATATGCAGATTTCGTTAGAAAAATAAAACTGGTTAGAAATAGGGTTTTTTTTCGCATTTCGCATAATACCAACATTTTTAAAATTTTTTTTCTATTAAAAAATGTAGATTTGAGGATAAACTTCTTCCGGTTGTTTACAACATACGTGCTTTTTCAAGGTTTTAAAAAGAAAAAAAAACATCTTCGACAATCAATTCATCGGACATTTTTATGGATTCTGCAAAACACCTGACGTTTCAAAAAATATAAGATTATTTCGTCACGTAGATAAAGCGTTCTATTTGTTTTTGAAATGGTTAGTAAGCCGTTATTGATTTTTATCTTTTTTTTTGTTTTTTTCAGCAAAAATACTGTATTTTTCCGCTTCTGATAACCTTTGTACTGGCAAATTCGATCAGTAAGTTCCATTTTGGGCATTCGATGGTGTTGAGAGAATTCGTTTTTCGAGCATCGAATGTGCGGTGAAAATGAGCACATTGCTAGGCGTGCATGTGAGCAAAATTGCGATGGACAGGTAATCAGTGATAGTTCATTTAAAGACCATTATTTCTGCAGGAATTTTGTGTCGAGACTGAGCAAACCTGCAAATGTAAACCTGGGTTTCTCCGCGACAAATCAACAAATCAATGTGTGACCAAGGATAATTGCAGTAATTTGTTTTTGTATTTAAAACATACATATGTATATAGTCGAAGTCCGGCGACTGCTGTACGCGGGTAGATTTACGGGGATGCGTCTTTCGAAATGGTCTCGAACGGATTAGCAGGTTATTTCGCATTTTATGGGCCGGTTGGATAATTTTTTAATCGATTGACCTTGGAAATTTGAGGAATTCGAAAATTATTAAGAAAAAAAGGTTTACGAGGGGTTTTAAAAAGGTTTTTTTTTAAGTCGTTCACGTGAAAACAGTAAGCGTTCACATGTGGCGAGACCTTTTCAAGGCGCATGCGCGTAAATCTACCCGCGTACAGAAGTCGCCGGACGTCGTCTATACATACATACATACATATATTGGGGTCTTAATAGAAATCGTATTCAAAATAAAATTTAAAATGTATGTTTTGTATTATTTTGATTTTTAATCTCCAATAAATATGAAAAAAAAACACGTTATCAAAAATTTTGAACACGCTAAATTTTCCACATTAAAAACATATTAAAACATCCAAAGGGACAATATCTCATGTCGTTTCGTTCAATTTCTTTCTCAAATATTTTATAATTATATAAAATGTTTTCAAACGTTATAGGATGTGGACCGAATTGTATTCCCTCTTGCCAAAACCCGAATCCGATTGGATGCACCATAAAGTGCATTCAAAATTCGACAAAATGTCCGATCGGCACAGTCGAATTCGAATCAGGTTGTCTTGAAGCAAGTCAATGCTCTCTACTTCCAAGAAGTAATAATATTTCAAAAATTATCATTTTTATTCATTTATTTTCAGTCTCGAAACGAAGTGCTAATTATGATTCAATGGTTAAAAGAGAGTGCTCATTAAAATGCTCACATTTCAGCAAATGTTATGTTCATTATACCGTCGATTCCAAAAATGATTTGATTTTCAATACTACGTGTATAACACATGGACGCTGCGAAACGTTCAAATGTGCTCCCGGAAAGAATTGCATCCTTCAGCAGCCGGATTCATGTTCAATGAAGCCTTGTCTACCGACGCCGACATGCGTTTGGAAAGAAGCACAAATCGTCGTAAATATTTAGAGCTCTTTTATTGTGAATTTTGTACCCGAACAGAATTATAATATGCGAATAATTATGTTTTTTGTTTCATTAGTTTGCTCTCATTTCCGATATCCGTAATGTTTTCATGGTGGAGATGATGCTGAGCATCTTCGAGATTCTTGAAGCGTAGTTGCTTTGGCGTGTTTCAACGTAATATTCATGGAGATCGTTGGCAATAGTATCCAGAAATGTATCAAACTTATTAATCGTCGTTTTGCTTAAATTGTAATCTGTAATGGAGAGAATAAATAGAAAGTTGTCCAACTTTTTGGAATACCCGTGTGAAATAAGGTCTGACATGACATATATGCGAACTCAATCGATGATGGATTCAGCTCAAGAAACGGCTTGGCGATTTCCTGAATGACTTGAGTCGCGTACATCTGGAAGTCCCTGCAATAATTTCAAGTGCTCAAGCTCAAATTTTGAAAAGTCCTATTCGACTTTCAATACTATCTAGTTTTTTCTACAACCGAGTGTTATGTTATCATTGGTGTTGGACAATTTCTAGAGATTTTTTTTGGGATGGGTTTACGAAGCTTTTAGGATTTACCAGAATTGCCAATTTTGCGGACAGTTTTTAATTTTTCACCTAACGTTTTTTTATTAATGAGTTTTAATTACGTTGAACTTCTAGCATTATTAAAACAATATTCCCCCCGGCTGTACTGCGTAAAAAATTTCGAGTAGAAATTGGAAGTGCGAAGCGAAATAGACTAGACTTGCCTGTAAATCTACCCCACATCGTATTTCGACCATTTATTTATTGAACAACTATGTACAATACAAACAGATAATGCCTAGAGTATAGTTAAAATACACGTTTCGTGAAATACGCACGTCGCGTTACTGCGGAAAATTGGCGAATTGCCAAAAACAACATTCTACGACCCCTAGTAAAGGCGCACACCTCTCCTTAAATTACTTCAATTTCCGTCGACGAAAAAATCAAAAACTTTGAATTCAAAAAAGAATTTTATGAAAACTTACATGGTTAGTAATTTATTGTCGGTTGATTCCAGTGAATCCACGTCAAATTTGAAGTCGTCTATTCGAATTGCCCTATTCGCCGATATGATAATTATCTGAAATTTGAAATGTTCCACGTCATTTGGTTTCCATTCAAACCTTCTCATCAATGCATTTCTTTTGAAATGTCGAACAAGACATTTGGATTCTTTCTAATCGATGGGATCTTATCCAAGTTTTTCGAAATGTTTCGATCTATAAAATATGTCGAATCAAAAAATGCACCAATTGAAATACAAAAATACCTTTTCTTCTAACGTTAAATTCCGAAAAATGTCACAATACATTGCCCATTTGGCGATTTTCACAGCTTGTCTGGCACAAAGTGTTTCGAGCATCGTCGGAGTTAATTTCCTTTCAAACTGTACCGAAAATGATTTTTTCATAGCGGAGTTGATTTCATACCTTGATATTTTCGATGCTTTCATGCTGTCGAACCTTATTCAAACCATATTCCACTTTTTGAAGCGTGTTCATTTTTGTGAGCTCGTCGAAATCGATTCCAGGGATTTCCTAAAGCGGATGGTTTCTTCAAATCTCGTCAATTGTAAATGTACGCTTTCAAAAATGAATGTGATTTGATCTTTGAGATGTAATCGAGAATGTAGATCATGAAGCGAATCCACGATATCAAACCCCTGAAATTAAAAAAAAAACCAAATCTTTTAAATTCTGATTTTTGAACCTGTCTTTCAGTTTTTCGAATATTCGAATCATCTTCCACCGATTTCATATAATTTCTTGATATTTTCTTTTTGTCCAACAGCATATGGCTGTCTCGATAAAGTTGAACATCTGAAATTTATATGAATTACAGAAAACCCTATTTCAAAACTCACTATCCGACGTCATCCCTTCGTCAAGACATTTTTGAAATCTGCATTGACGACATGAACTTCTTCAATATTTTAGAAATTAGAAAATAAATTTAAAAATAAAAAAGGCAAATACCTGCCAAAACCTTCGAGACCACATTTTCGCGAGTTTCCGAGACACTGATAACTGAGATTGAGCACTACGAATCGTCTAAAAAAAGAAAGACTTTTGATATTTTGCGAATTGAATGGCAAAATGATGTATTCAATTAATTTCACACTCTCGTACCAATATTTGCTTACGTTATCAATTAGAAGATTCCCGTTACATTCTCAAAAAATTTTCCAAATTTTGTTGTTTGTGTTTTGTGCAGTAAAATGCAAACAATTATCGGGTTGTCCAGTGGGAATCTCAATTTGTAGCGTCGGCAGCACAAATCACAAAACATTAATATCCAGTTCCATTTTCCACAATAATAGGGTTTCAGGGGGAGAGAGAAGTCTGATGATTAGAACTAATGAAATTATAACAAAGATTCAATTGAAAAATAATTGAAATTCGATTGATAAAATTGCGATTTGAAAATTTGGTTTCGATTCAAAATTCTTCGAAATCGATTGACTGATTTATAATTTTCAACTTTGAAATCGTGTTCGAATTAAATTTTGAAATACTTCGAAACATATTAATTGATAATTCTATTTTGATTGAAATTTAAATAATTTTCGAATCCGACTGATTTTCATTTACCCTTTCAAAGTTTGAAATTTTTGGCGTTTAACAAAAATTCCGCATATCTCAGATTTGCATCTTTAATTTTTTTTTCTCGAACAAAAATACCAAATTCTTTCGTTTCTTGTGTATTGCTCGTTGACCTTTGACAATATACATATTTACACAAATCGGAGAAAAACTAAAACAAAACTGGTTAAATTTTTTCGCACTCCCTGCCAATTTGAAGAGCTGCTTTGCGAACTCTGCAATTACCTGAAAAATGCGGCACAAGCTCGACAACTCAGCACGCCGAAATGAATTCCATGCGCCTGCAGTCCACAAATTTTGCATTTCGAACTTGGATGGCAAGACATTCTAAAAATCAAGAGCTCATTGTGTAGGCTCAAATTTAAACGCGGGTCACAAATGATAACAATTCGAGTGATTAAAAAAAGCGGTAGAATGATGGTTAAATGAATTGAACCCCCTCCCCTCGATTAAAGCCATTTTTCGCCACCCCCTTTATGATAAACATTTGACTACAATGTGTCATTGCCCTCACAAAAAATGTGTCCGAAATGTGTGTTCGAAATGGGAGGACCGACACAAATCACTGCCGAACCAAGGACAAATCACTCTTTTTGCGACGGCTCTTTATTTTTTTGAAATGGCCAATTCTTTCAATATATTTTATAAAAATTTCATCGAAATCGAGAATCATTTCTACAAGATAACTATCAGAAAATCGGTGTCACGTTTTCTTTCCATCTCATCCATCTCCAATTGGCTACAAATCAGAGAGAATAAATCACATATTTACTGCAGACTGGCAAGGAATTTGATGAATGAATATTAAAAAAAAAATATGGGGCTGATGAGGGATTATTGTACCTCTTAGGTGGCCATCTCGAACAAGAATTGAGAACATCGCTAACAAAATTTTCACATGATGAATGGTGTAATTGATTTTGTAAAAAAAAAACTAGAAACCTTTGGAAAAAAATCTAAAAGTAATAATAATAATTAATACCCAAAAATTATGTACAAATTGTAGGAAAATATTTTACAGACTGATTTTTCAGCATTTTCTTCAAAAAATCTGCATAGAATGGTATGATAAAAGAGCAGAAAAAGCAAGATGATTGCAATGACAATTTTCGAGATCAGCACATTCGCACAGCAAACATTAATTTATATAAATAAATATGATCGGCCATGGGTTCATTGTTCGCAAAAATCTAGTCATAGTTCAATGCATTCTACACTTTGGTCTCCCAATGTTCTTTATTATCGCTTACTAATATGAGCTGGTAGAGAGAGAGAGAGAGAGAGAGAGGTAAAATAATGGCTGTGGGTGTGTGTGTGTTAGAGGAGAAGCTCAGGAATGTACAGGCATCAGTGTACCCACCCATTACGCGACTCCTGACCGACTCTTCGATAATCACACGTGACCACAAAAAGACGCACAGAGACGCTGAATGCTTAACCAGAGATTAGAATTGTGATACACTTTAATTAGATCAAAAATTTTTTCATTCATATTTACGTAGAAAAAAAATAATAGCCGGATGCTACAATTAATTTTATTTGTTTTCACATCAATTTTTTTTCTTGTCATCACATATTGATTGTCAGCAAAATGTGTGTGATTAAAGACAAAATCGAAAATTCAAACCGATTTGTCATCATCGATTTGACTTACAAATTCAATTGAAGAAACATTGTTAATGGACATATTCATGCAATAAAAAATTTTAAAAGATATCTTCTTCCAAGACAGGAATATTTTTTTAATCTTAAAAAAATAATGTTATTTTTACTTTTTTTTTGTAAAAAATTAGATTTTGCGAATAGATCCATAAAGAACAAACTGGCAAATTTAACTATACAGGGTGTCATTTAAGTTCCCGCACAAAAGTTTGACGCCATGAAGAGCTTGGCTGGCGCACTTTTCGTGCACCAATACAATTTATTTTTGTTAAATAAGGTATATTTTACTTACTTTCCAAGTTTCACCTCTTTCGGATGTGTTTCCGAGAAATGGCGAAGGCTAACATCCATCGCGCTTCCATTATCGAAGTTCATAAGCAAAATGTGAGCCCGAGAGACATCATTCAACGCCTCGCTGTGCCTCGTAGAACGGTTTGCGACACCATCAAACGTTTCAAGGAGCTAAATACGACCAGTGACCGTCCCAGACAAGGAAGACTCGTCTCAGTAACCACTCCTCAGAAGATAAACGCCGTCAAAACGAGGATCAGGCGAAAACCGCACAGGAGCATAAGAAAGATGGCGTCAGACATGGGAATGAGCATCTTCGCTATGGAACAAATCGTCAAAACGAAGCTTGGACTGACCCCATATCGTGTCCAAAAAGCGGCAATTCTATCGGCCGTCAACAAGCAGAGACGCTTCGAAAAAGCAAAACAACTTCTTGCTCGCACGCAGTCTGGAGAACATCTCGTCACTGTCTTCTCCGACGAGAAGCTATTCACTGTGGAGGCGGCATTCAACTCACAAAACCATCGAGTACTTGCCCAGACATCCCAGCAAGCTTCTGAGAAAAGCAGAACAATACATCGAGCCTCACATCCTGCCAGTATGATGGTTTTCGGTGCCATCTGCTCAACCGGGATGCGCCCCTGGTTTTTGCAGATCAGGGGATGAAAATGAACAAAGAAGTCTACGTTCGGGACTTTTTAGAGGAGCATGTGATGCCCTGGACCCAAACGCATTTCGTTGGGCAGAAATGGGTCTTTCAACAGGACGGAGCACCCGCCCACACTGCCAAAACTACTCAGGAGTGGTGCCAGACCCATTTTCCCGACTTCATCAAGTCATCCGAATGGCCTGATTGGTCCCCAGACCTGAACCCGCTTGACTTCTCCGTGTGGGGTCTTGCAGGAGAAGGTCAACGCAAAACCCCACTCAAGTGTAGAGACTCTGAAGAAGACATTACTGGCGGAATGGCACAATCTTTCCATCGAATACCTGCGTACCACAGTCGCATCCTACCCGAAGCGTCTCTGTGAAGTCATAGCTCCGAAAGGAGGCCGAATCGAAAAGAGTTAATAGATAAATATTTGTTATACTATAGATAAAAAATATTTCGAGTCTCGTTTGATTTGGACCTTTAGTTTCAGAAATATACGTCTTCAAAGTTGTGCGGGAACTTAAATGACACCCTGTAGCGTATTCGATGACCGATACAATGATAGTATATCGCATGATCTCCGATAGTAATATGTGATGAGGGAAGGTATTTTCGAAAACATTTAAGAAAGGTCACCCATTGAATATTTTTAATTGTTACAAATATATATATCTTTCTTTAATAACACAATGATCGACATCATATCAATTAAATTCGACTATTTGCCTTATAATGCATTCGTTTGCGCCTTTCACGCGCTATGTCTTCCTTATAATGTCTTGTTTTCGCTGAATACAAAGCAGATCAAGCGACTAGATCAGCAAATAATTCGACGAACATACATATATGGCATTTTTCGGATTTTCCTGCCTTCATAACACTTGATTAATCTGGTTTGATGTCGTCGACAAGACGTGTAGTAATGAAACACAAAAAAAAGCAACAAATGACTTCCCGAATATCCTTCAAATCATAGTAAAACAAGCTTTTATGTCCACTTTACTAGAAATAACAAAGGTTCCACATCGTTAAGAAATACTATAAAATGGTGTGGGATTGCTGAAACCACCAAAATGCGTGTCTTCCTCATTCTCACTTCAATCGTAGCTGCGGCTTCCGCTTTCTTGTTCCCATCTTCCGGAGGAGGCGGAGGATGCGGTTGCGGATGGTAAGATTCGACCTAATTAATACTAAATTGCTTCTGATTCCAGTGCTCCACCACCGCCACCGCCACCACCATCTTGCGGATGCGGATGCGGATAATAATCTATCATTTCCGAACATATTTCTATTTATTTCTACTTTCAATAAATTGTAATTCCTCATAATATTTGATTGATTCTACTTTAATTCTACAAAACGAGCAACTTTTTTTTCAATTAAACAATAATGAAACATTTGCTGGTTTAAATTGTATTAGAATACAGTATTTAAAACAAAAACATTTATTCGTTTGTGAATAGTTACTCGAGAGAATTCGACAAAACGGGTCTCCCTTGCATCATCTTCGTCATCTTATTTTTATGATGAGACTGTTTCAATTCAACACAGCGACTGGGTGTGATTGAATGGTTGACGGTATGTTGTGCAGTCAAAGGGACCAAATCTGAGGATGATATTCGATGTCTCTGTATAACTAATTGGCGTCCGATCTGACGCTGCCCGATTCAACGTTGTGGTGGTTTTCATAAATTTCTCCACAAAAAACACTTTCGCGCCGGTGCCCAGTGTGATTCGCCAAATTCCATCGAATGTTATTCTTAAAAATATCATACGTCACTAGAAGTACCGCTGAGTTGAATATGCTGCAAGAAGATCCGTCAACCACAGAGACAATCGCATGGTACCCACGTGAATCGAAGGGTATCCGCGCCAGTTGGAAATTAGCCAATGATATGGTCGATAATTGGTCTAGCATAGCAAGAAATCAATAATTTTTTTGATAATAAGTAGGATCAGATATTAAACCATTAAGATTTATCAGATCAAAAAGCTATCACAATCGTTTAATGATTTAAAGCGTTTTTATGAAGCCTATTTGTTTGAAATTTTTCAGAAGAAAAATAAATAAATAGAAAAGTAGAAGGAAGTGAGTTAATTGAGTTTCAACACTAAATTTAAATTACTATTGATGCTTCATAAAATCAAATAAAATTTATTGCATTAAAAAGAAACATCTAGAATAAAAAAAACATTAAAAAAATTTTTTAGCACTGGAATTTTGATGTCACTCGAATGCGCCGACAATCAACTTACCATCCGCAGCCACCGCCTCCAGCCGATGGGAACAAGAAGGCCGAAGCAGCGGCGACGATAGCAGTGAAGACGATGAAGACACGCATTTGGGTCGACTTGCTTCTCCAGTCAAACCCGCCGTCCTTTTATAGGACTTGGAATATGGTCACACCTTAATGGTTTAATGCGGCATTATTCGGGATATCATCTGTTCTAATGATGTTTCCGCCACTGATCAGACATCATCAGGATCATAAAGAACATGAAGCTTGATATACGTATGTTCGTCATTTCATTTACATCCATAGTCAGAAATCCCTTTCAAAATACCGAGTCAAAAGTTACCAAATCATTATGGGTGAGTTCTTGAGTTCAAAAACTATACAGTGCGTTGCAGAATTATAATGCCACCCCCAAATTTGAGCGCCGCGCAATGATTTCGATATTTTGAGACCAACCAGTGTGAAAATCGTGTTCAGCATGAAAAATAACCTATATGTACCTATTTTTATGTTAGTATTTTCAAAAGTAACCGCGCAGTGGTCCAAAACCGTTTTTTCGAGCGGTGCAGAATTATAAAGCCATCCCCATACAACGGACTTTTTCGCATTTTTTTGAAACTTTGGCGGGACCAGTGTGCATAAAAATTGTTGTGTGGCTTTGAGAACCTACAGTGGTCCTTATTTTTCACTTTTTGAATCATTTTGAAATGCCACGTGGTCGCTGTCTTAGTGTTTCTGAGCAATCTCAGATTATCGCATTCAAAACGGCAGGATGGTCGAGCCGTAAGGTTGCGAAAAATTTAAATGATCCGAAAACATTCATAGACATCTTTGTGAAGGATCCAACTCGTGTCAACATGTCGCAAAAGGCAGGCGGCAGAGGAAAACTGGACTATCGCGCTAATCGAGCATGGATTCGAGCAGCTTCGAGCAGTATGAAGTCTACAAATGACACCAAGAAGAAGCTAAACTTCGACAAAAGCAAGTGGACAGTTTGGGAAACCATCAAGGATAACCCCAACATTGCTAGAGAAAAAAAGGAGCCGGCCCCGCGACTCACAGAGGACCATAAAATTCGACGCCTTGAGTTCGCATTCAAAAATATGAATACGGATTGGAACAAGGTGCTTACATTCGAGAATATTGTGAATAATAACCATTCAAACTTCAACAGGTTATTTTTTCCGATGGAAAAAAATTTAATTTGGATAGCCCAGACGGCAATAACAGTTGCTGGCACAATTTACGAAAGAATCGCCTCCTGCTTTCAAAACTCAATTTTAGAGAAAGCAGCGTGATATTATGGGGGAAGCGTTTTCGTAGGCCGGATTTCTGGAATTGGCTTTTCTGACGAGTAGGGTGGACTCTTCGGATTATCAGAATGTTCTTGAGAGCCATCTTCTTCCATTCCGACGTCATTATTGTCCTTTTTCAACAGGACAATGCGGTCATTCATGTGAGTCGGTCTACTTTGGACTGGCTTCAGTCTCACAGTGTGGACGTTCTCGACTGGCCAGCCTGTTCTCCGTTTTGGAGTCCCATGTAGAACGTCTGGGGAGAATTAGTACGGCATCTCTATGGCCAAGGAAGCAAATTTGAAGAGTTGGCGAGCTCAAAACCGAAATCGTAGTCGAATGGAAGACGTTAGAGCAAAAATTCAAATCTAAATCGACCCAATATGTTTAAAACCTTCTCAAATCTATACCAGACCGTGTTTCTGACATTATTACCTCGAATGGAGGTGCCACTAAACATTAAACTGTCGTTATTTTTGATTTTATAACTTGTTTTATGGGGGTGGCTTTATAATTCTGCACCGCTCGAAAAAACGGTTTTGGACCACTGCGCGGTTACTTTTGAAGATACTATCATAAAAATTGGTACATATAGGTTATTTTTCATGCTGAACACGATTTTAACACTGGTTGGTCTCAAAAGATCGAAATCATTGCGCGGCGCTCAAATTTGGGGGTGGCCTTATAATTCTGCAACGCACTGTATTATTCATTGCTATATCCATCGAATCCTTATATTATAAGTATGATATCCTCTTAGTTAATTTCATATCAAAATAGTTCAATTTAAATGCAAAAAATTATGCGGAGAACTTCGAACTCAAAATTCAGCTTCTATCATTCGTAATGTTTTATCTTGTGAAGATTGACTGTCCACAAGATTGCCATGAAAGTATAAACGGCTGTCTTGGCGAGCCATAATGTTCCAACTCCAAAATATACAAAAACGGTTCTGAAAATATCTCATCGTTTTCCGATATACATATTATCCGTATAGTTTACGTCGTGAATATGGGTGTGACCATGAAGACAATATCATCGACTACACTGATTGCACCCTGTGCTACATTCTGAACATAAAACACATTTAGGTTGATCGCAAATCGGATCAAATCGGTTTTCATATTGCCACACAATTACTTTCACTACAATAGGTCATGCGTATAAAAAAAAGTTCCGAGGAATTCACGAGAGAATGATTGGTCATTAATCTATATAGAAGCGTTCAAAGTGCGCAGGTTCAGCTTTATCTAACATTTTGAAAAAGTTTAAGAACTACTATTTTTTCGCTACTAAAAAAATAGGAATGTTCAGATAATATGCAGTCGTGAATCGAGATGTTAATTAATGTTGCAATAATCTTACTTATGAAATTATTTGGAAAAAAATAGAAATACCTGATCAATATTACCCAAAATTTTTGAATAAAGTGTATCGAGAGAAACATGGAGTAGTGGCAAAGTTGGCGACATAACCACAACCGATACCGCCAAAAACCAATATGGATTGACTGCATAAGCCGTTTCACACCATGAATATTCGGCGGGATTACAGCCCGATCTGAGAGTTTCTATAAAATAAAAATTCTCAATAAATTTGAGTTTTGCAGGTGAATCACCGTTATATAAAACTACCGGCGAACTGACAAATTCGAATGGGTATGTAAGAACGAATACTAGTCCTGATAAGACAATGCCAACAAGAAATGTATAACGTTGAGGCAAACTGACATTTTTTTTGGTTTGAATTTTTGAATTGTGCGAGAAATCAATTATACCAATTTCCAATATTACAGAAAATGTAGAGTAGAAAAACGGTACAGGAAACTGCGCCAAAAGCGACCATAATAACGGATGACGCTTTGACTGTTTCCTCACCAGTCCATCCGTATTGGACCATGAAAAAAATTGACATAATTCTGAAATTAATACAGCGTTATTTTCAAATAATTATTTTTTAAACAAACGATTGCATCGTGGCATGTGAGAAGCTGTTGGCTATTTTGACAACCAAGCAAACAAAAATCAATTTCCAATCAATATTAATCTCGCGAAGTTTTCGAATGCTCTTTTTCACTTCTTCGATTGATAGCAAACATTCATTTTCTGTAAAACAAACCATCATAATAAAATAATTCAAAGATATTGCCGTTTTCTTCATTTCTGGCAACGTCTTGCATTAATCGCTGGATGATAAAAAGTGTGAAGATTGTAAGCATAAAAGAGCACCAAATGGGAGCAGAATATATGTGAAAGTATACACCGTGAACGATTTGAAAACCTGGATACGTAATACCGCTGAAGCATAATTGGAGAACTGAAAAAAATCTCGGTTTAGCATTCGATCCATTGGTTCTGCTCACTTGGTCCAACTGCAATTGAGCAAATCGTTGAGAGGCCAATGCAAGCAAATGCTCTAGCTCGGTCTTCCTTAGTTGACAGATAGGTTACATAGGCGCGAAGGACCGTAGTCGAACCTGAGTGAATCAACAAATTGCTATTAGTTGCGAGGCAAATCCACATACTATTGGCAATTCCAAGCATCACGTACACAATCAACGAGACGTATCGTCTTTCATGCGGCACATATTCAATGCACATGTACAGAAAACAAGCAATGATGGCCAGAAATCGGCCAACAAGCAATGGAATTCTGTGATATTCTGATAAAGAATATTATTGGAAACTCATACTTGATGGATCTTATTCGGAAACTCCATGTGGCGAACACTAATGTGAAAATTGCGTGAGCACATTTTGAAGCCGACGTGGCAAATCCGAAGAATTGAGCATCGACAGTGGGATCCAACTGTAAGAACATTACGAATCATTTGAAACAAATTTAGAGATACCTCTTTCAAATAAGGCCATTCTCCTAATCCAATTGCTGAATTTTCGACAGCATTTAGTGCTGAAATAATTCCAGCAACAATAATCATTTTCCAATTAGTTTGTTTTCCGGAATCATCCGCAGCTGCAACATTCAAACTATGAGTTCTATTCATACTTTGATTGAAACCTTTCGAAAGTGTTGTGTCTGTCATTTCTAATTCGATGGTCCGCTTTTGCGAATTCGCGCGAGAACTCATCTTTGGGGATGCCGAATAACAAAATAATTAAGGAGAAATATGAATGAATTACTGTCAAAAAGTATTGTTGCCGTAGAATGATTGTAGATCGCGCTACAAAAAATGGCGAATCGCACTGAAGTGGGCGATGTGAAAACCGAGTAAGTGTGGGTGATAGATTTGAACGATTATTGGCATAAGTCACAAAAAAATCAAGTTTTTAAATCATGTACTACTGTAAGTTAAAACGTTGATCAATATGAGTCACTATTCTGAACTGTTTGAATCAAATATTCAGTATTCGTGAAATTATGAAAATGATGGCTAGCAATGAATCATTTTTGAAAATTGAAATTAATCTATCTATCTATGGATATTCTTTAACGAAAGAAAATATATTGGTTCCGGTTGATCTCCATTGATATACCAGAGATCTTTGAAAAACAAAAGATTTTTATCAAAATTTGTATTCATTAATTAAAAATGTTTTGAATAAGTGAAAAAGATTTTTTTAATTGTAAGAGAAATCCCAAAAAAATTCCCCAGATTTTTTTGTGACCGACTTTTAAGTTTTTAAATAGAACGGAGGATTTTTACAGTTTTTTTCGCCGAACGGCCAACTCCGAAAAAAATCAAAAATCGACCGACTCGGCAGTGAAATTGATAAGTCCGGTCCCCACAAACTATCAGAAAAAAAAAATCATAATTACAGCGTTTGGCGTGATATATTCGGTGAATTGAGCAAAATGTATATATACTAATTTTTAACGTCGCTGAATAAGAAATAATAAAAAAAAAGATTTTTTTGCGAGTTTTTTTTCGAACCTTTGATTGTCTATAATCGTGTGGTAAACTATTAATTCGTCGAAAATTTGTATAAATTTAGGACCAGCAATGTGTCAATTTTAGAAAGTGAGAAACAGCATATTTATTCCATTGTCAGCGAGAATAGAATTTGAAATGACATATTCATAAAATATTCACGTACAAGCCATTATTCCAAATAATAATGTAATAATATCTAATGTAACATCCAAGTTTTCAATTTCGAAAATTAGTTCATTTTTGTTATATCGAAAATAACATATTTTTTTAAATTTCAAAATGAGGCTATATTCGTAAATGCTCGAGCACCCAGACACCAATATTGTCCAACTGTTGAACCCGTTTCGGCTAAGCTATGCACAACAGAACAACTATTAAAGCACTATCCACAATTATTGATCGATGTCGATCTACTCGTATTTCTTGATTCTTGGCAGGAAGCATGACCACAAAATCGCAATTCCGAAGAACACCGTTGCCTTGGCAATCCATAAGGTTCCAACGCCATAATATACAAACATGGTGCTGAATATATTTGATAATTGGCGAATAATATTTTATGCGAACTCACGTAGTGAAAATTGGTGTGACCATGAATACAATATCGTCGATTACTGTCATTGCACCATGAGCAACATTCTAAGAAAATCATTTCATGGAAATGATTGAGGAAATGAATAGAAATACCTGATCAATATTTCCTAAAATTTTTGAATAAAGCGTGTCAAGAGAAATATGTAATAATGGAAGACACGGCGAGGTCACCAAGACAGTAACAGCCAAGAATAAATACGGATTGACCGCATAGGCGGTCTCACACCACGAATATTCGGCTGGATTACACCCAGCTTTGGTAGTCTCTGAAATTTGTCTTTCAAAATTATTACCCTTCACAGCTTTCTTACCATTGTACAGTACAACAGGGGTACTGATTGGTTTGTGAGGGTAGGTCACAATGAAGACAAATCCTGACAGAATAATGGCAAAGAGGAATGTGTAGCGCTGTGGGAAACTGAAATATGAAACAATCAAGAAATTGAAGATTTTTAATTGATTTTTACATTAGCCCTAATTTGCAGAAAATATAGAGAATAAGGACTATGCTAGAAACTCCGCCAAATCCGATCATAACAATTGATGAAGCTTTGACTGTTTCTTCACCAGTCCATCCGTATTGGACCATAAAGAAAAGTGACATAATCCTGGAAAGAATCTCATTTTCAGCGAAATTTATAAAACGCCTTACGTGTGCATTGTTGCATGAGAGAAACTGTTGGCGAGTTTGACTACAAGACACACTGTAATCAATTTCCAGTCAACATTTGTCTCACGCAACTTCTTAATGCTCATTTTCAATCCCTCTAGTGTCATCAAATTATCTTCTTCTAAAAAATACTTAAATATGCAAACAATTGCTTGATATCATGTATAAGCTAACCAAATTTGTCCGTTTTGCTGTCTTTTTCAACTTCTTGCATAAAAGTTTGAATGAGAACGATGGTGACAACCGTGAGAACGAATGAACACCAAATCGGAGCCGAGTAGATATGAAGGTGAACTCCGTGGAATACTTCATAACCTGGATAGCTGATGCTGCTAAAGCAGAGTTGAATCACTGAACCGATGTATGAGTATGTTTAATGAGAGTAACAACGTCCGACTTACTGGGACCCATGACAAGCGAGCAAATAACCGAAAGACCAATACAAGCAAACGCGCGCGGGCGATCTTCGTTCGTTGACAGATAGGTGATATAGGCACGGAGCACCGTCGAGGAGCCTAAAAGTTATCATTCGAATTCTGAACACATTATTTCTTAATATTACTGTTTGCGATTCCCAGCAATATATAAACAGTCATTGAGATGTAGCGTCTGCCACGTGGCACGTATTCAATGCAAATGTAAATCATGCATGCTGCTAATGCGATGAATCTGCCAGCAAGAAGGGGGATTCTAAAAAAGATAGTAAGCATAAAATAAATGGTTTAATATTTGAAATACTTGATTGATCCAATTCGATAACTCCAAATTGCGAAAACTAGTGCGAAAATTGCATGACCACATTTGGATGCAGACGTGGCAAATCCAAAGAATTGAGCGTCAGCATTGGAATCTAACTGAAATATTTTTTTAAATGTATTATAACAATGTTTGTAATTTTCGAATTAATATTTTTTAATTGAATTACCACTTTCAAATAGGGCCATTCTCCTAATCCAATAACCGAATTCTCGACGGCGTTCAACGCACTAACGATACCCGCCAGAATAATCAAATTCCATTTCGTTTTATGCACCGGATAAATGACACTGTTTTCTATAATTATCATTAATTGCAAGCGAATTTCTTAAAATTGCATACTTCTTTTAGGTTTTCTTTCCATCATTTCTAAATCAGTCATAGTTCGTTCGTTTTCCAGTTTAACACTCATTCTGAAATAAAAAAATGTGTGAACAAAAGTACACAAGCGATTTTGAAAAGATTTAAACGATTGAAATCGGGAAAAAAAATTATGAATGAATAAAAATCAAGTTTTCGAATGTTGTGTTTGCATTTTTAATTGCAAAGGTCAATCGGTTGTATATGATTCATGTGAATATAAAGTAGGCGCGAAAAAATCGTTTGAGATGACGAAGAGAAAGAGATGAGCGAAAACTGGAATGTTGATTCTTGCGAAACTGATAATAAAGACCATGTATGAATAGTGTATCATATATGGGCAATGTTGAGTATGAAATAGGCGAAATAGATATGCAAATCTCGGGAAAACCCTATGGGTTAATTGAATGCCCCATTGGATGACCTAAAATAATAAATAATCATGATAATTTGAGAAATGCATGCAAAATTAAATCCTCTTTTTATAAAACATACTTATATGCATATTAATTTTTATATGATCTCACGTGTTCGAAAAGTGTAGAATTTAGGTTTTCAATCTTCACAGCAAAAAAAAATTGCAGAAACTTTGAATTTTTATTTTATTACAGAAATACGAAAAATGTGAACGGTTGAACACATGGTTTCAGTGTTTGTTCGATGGCAGGTATCAAAAAACAATTTCGACTGAAACTAAGGCTAATTGTGTCGATTTGAAAAACAGTGTGAACACACAATAAAAATCGGAAAAGACCGCCACAAATAAGTGGGTGAAGCGAGACGATGTGTTGGATGAATTGAACGAACAGGCAGTCTTATAAAATGATGCGAATTCAGCGATTAACAACCCACACACTGACAACATGATCAACGAACGAATCACAAAAAAACATGCTAGACAGTGATCGGTATGGTTCCTAAATTGGTTTGTGACGAACCGAAAAAGAGCGATTGATTTGAAAATAAACTAATTAGAACACAATACAAAATAATGGTTTAATTCAATGTTATTTTCGAAATGAAAGATGTACATCTTTTAAAAGATTCGAGCCAGTTTATTCTGGCAGCTCAATTAAATGATTTTGATAAAATTGTGATAAAAAGGTGATATAAGAAATCGGGAAATTTCGGAAAGCACTAGTTATATTTAGTGGTTAATTATAATATTGAAATTTTACAAAAAAAAATTGATTAATTTATTCCTGAATGGTAATTTGATTTTCATAAGTTATTCTCTCTCCCGAATCGTGTGACTTCTAGTATTTCTCATATATAAAAATCGATCGGAATCGAAAATTATTTAAATTTCAATCGAAATCGAATATAAATTAAATGTTTCGAAGTATTCCAAAATTTCAATCAAATACGTTTTCAAAGTTGAAAATGAGAAATCAATCAATCGATTTCGAAGAATTTTGAATCGAAACCAAATTTTCAAATCGAATTTAATTACTTTATCAATCGAATCAGGTTCATTTCGGTCTCATTTTTCTTCGAATCCAATTAATTTTCATTTACGTGAGATATTCCAACATTCTGTTAGTGACCCTATTCAGACCGTTGTGATAATTTTAACCTTTCTGATAACATCGTCAATATGATTGCTTTTCCAGATGAATTCAACTCTTTTTAAATCCAATCTGTTACAAGCCAAATTCGTGAGTGATTCCGCATTTAATATTTATGAATGGCCAAACTTGTTTTTCTGGCTCACACATCCAACTACGTTTTATAGATTTTTTTCATGCTCTCTTCTGCTCCTGAACGCCCATTTAGATTTTTTTTATTACCGAAATGATGTTGTTAAATAAAAACTCCCCATGTTCGATGTGCCGTTGAAACTGTCAATACACAATAAATTCCAGTGGTGGCCATAATTCTATCCATACCGCATTTTCTGAATTTTTTACAGTATGCGCGGAGCACGGAAAATTTCAAATGAATCGGCCAACTTTGAAAAAAATGATGGCTGTAATGCGGTTTTGGATAAAATTATGGCCAGCACTGTACTTAATTTTTCTGATTTTTAAAGATATCAGGATCACGGAATGACTATGAATTGAAAGATATTTGCAAAAATATCCAAAATCAGCAAACATCGCTGTTTTCGCGGCAATTCAAACGATTTTTCTCATTCTTGGCAATTTTTTTTTAAATTTGCGTGGTATCTTTCAATATTCGTATAAAACATTTTATTATTTCTACTGTCAATATGAAAAAATAAATAAATGTCATTCCCTTCTTTGATTTTACAATTTTTCGTTGGAATAGGATATGTCATTTGATCCAAAAGTCAACAAATTTTTCACAGTTCAAAACTCTTATTCGCAAGAATTCGGCAGAACAATATTTAATTGTACTACATATATTTATTTTTTGATTCTCTCCATTTCTGCTTCTACTAACTCGTATTAGCTTGATTTGTGTTTGATATTCTCGCGGGGGGTCTGATTCGCACTCATGTTCCCCCCAACAATATGTCATCTACAGTACCGCTCAAAAGTCTATCAACCTTTGGTTTTTTCTTTATTTCTCAAAGTGTACTGCACCGATCAACATGAATCTTTCAGAGATAATGTGAAATGGGGTTTAAAACATAATTCATGTCATTCGGTACACAAACACATATCCGCAAAGTCCATGACGCGATTTTACACACTTTCAGGTTTTTTGCGTTTTTCAACTTTTTTTTAATTTTAATTTTTTTAATTTTTCTAGAGTAGTTATCCGTTCATATGTTCTTATTCATGTTTTCAGAAATGCCTAGAGCTTTTGGGAACAAAGACTTGACGGATAACGAGAAAAAAGCCATCGTGGCTGGTCGTCAAAGTGGACTTACTTTGAAAACGCTTGCCGGAATGTTCAATCGAACGAAAGGATGTATTTCCAAACTCTGTAAACGCTGGGAAGTTCAAAAAAATTTTTCTGTGCCTCATCGCTCCGGGAGACCACGAATTACTGATCGTAGTGAAGATAGAAATATTTTGCGGACGTCCAGAAACAATCCTAGACTCCCTGCCCCTGCAATCAGACGGGAAGTTTTCGTGAATTCTCCATCTCCACCATCCGTTTCGACTGTGAAACGTCGTCTCTGTGCTGCTGGGATTATGGGAAGACGTCCAGTGAAAAAACCCTTAATTTCTGAGAAGAATAGAATGGCCAGAGTGAAGTGGGCAAAGGAACACGTCGACTGGACAAGACAAGACTGGGATAAGATTTTGTGGTCCGACGAAAGCAAGTTTCTGCTTTTCGGAAGTGATGGAATTCAGTGGATTCGTAGACCAATTTGGTCCAGGTATGATCCTAAGTATCAATAACCCACTGTGAAGCATGGCGGTGGTTCGTGTATGGTATGGGGTGCGTTCTCTGGAAATGGTATTGGACCGCTTCATCGCGTGAATGGGATCATGGACAAGAATGTCTACAAAGACAAATCAGATGCTTCCGCACTTGAAGAGAATGGGAAGTGTTTTCCAACAAGACAATGACCCAAAACACACTTCTTTGTTTGTTAAGGTGAGAAAATTGATAAGTAAACAGCATCACAATGAATTTCGGGATTGGTTCGCAAGCCGTCGGGTCAACGTCATCGAGTGACCGAGTCAGTCTCCTGACTTAAACCCAATTGAACATCTATGGGAAGAGTTGGAAAGACGTTGTGCCAACAAAAGAGCCAAAAATTGCAATGAGAAGTTTGCTCAACTGCAGTCTGAATGGAATAAGATCCCCATGTCGACCATCGACACTTTGATCGACTCCATGTCGAGAAGATGTCAAGCAGTCATTGAAGCTAAGGGCTTTGCAACTCGATATTGAGCTTTAAATTATGTTTGTTACTGTTTTTTGTTAATAAACTTTGTTTTTTGTTAAACCAAAACTGTTTATTGAAAACCCCAAAAAATCGGTATTTTTCGAAAATTCTATTTTTTTCAAAAAATTTTTTTTAATTAAGCAGGTGTCAAATCAGCTGGCCAAAACACGTTAAACCACTCCAAAAAATAATGGGAAAAATTTTGGATCGATACCGCATCTTTAAAAAAAGTTATCCTCAAAAAACCAAAGGTTGATAGACTTTTGAGCGGTACTGTATTCCGTACTTTATAAATTACAATCACATCGTTTTCATGGGTGAATAGAAAAGTAAATAAGTAGTAAAAAGAGAGAAAAACGAATTCTAAAAATAACAATTCCTTTGAGAGAAAGAGTGACCACAAATATCAAGGACCCATCCTCATGAGCTGAAATGTGAGATTTCGTTCGAGAGCGAAATTGTAAGCGCTCTTGCAATCAATGTTCAAATCTAGCCTTCGAATTTTCTCCCTTCGATGTGTTTTGGAGAAGCATTCGTCCTTATAAAACATTTTTCTTCATTTTACAGTGCTAAACCACCCACATAATCCGATAATTATCCGTATTCTTTAACTGGTTATTTGATCTCTCAGCTGAGAAAAAATAATCTTTGTCCATCGAAACGATTACTCAAATATCTGTCAATAAGCGTTTTATTCGAATCTCAAGACCCATATATAGTGAGAGCAAATAGAAATTTTAATTTAAAATTTATATGAGAGGATATATGAAATCAGAGACCATCGAATTATGAATTCAATTATTTCAAACACCATTTTTTTTCTAGGATTTTATAGAAATATCTAGATGAATTGTTTGTGTTTCCATAAAAGATCTCAATTCAATTACTCAGCAATATTTCATAAGCACATCTGACTTCCCAAATTCAATTATTCCAGAAAGTTGTAGTTGCTTCTTGAAGATTTCCGTAAAACTGTAGTAGTTTTCAATAGTGAAGCAATTAAAGCCATCTTTTCAACACGATCTCGACCTTTTTTTTCAACAACAACAAATATAAAGTGCTATTATTCATAGAAATTGAAACCTAGATAAAAACAAAACAAGATATTCTTTTTCTTCGTTGCAAATTTTCTCACTTTCTGAAATGAAAGAAGCATTTTTGAATTGCTCAAATTTATCTTTTTTTTTTTTTGAAAAAAATCCTGCTAATTTGAAAATGTTCGAGTTTCAACTTTTTTTTTAATTAAATTTTCCTGAGATTTTTCAATTTCTTTAAATTTTTGCCAAAGCATTTGTTGTCTAAAATGAAATTTCTCTCGGTTCCTTTAATCGATCATTTACACAAATTGTTCTTTTCATCGCTCGTCTCGAGGCCAAATTTGATGTCAAGATTCTCTTTGTTTTTGGTGTGTGTTTTAATTAAACTTTCGACGTGACTACAGCAAAGTCCGACAATGGATGGGAGCTGTGAAACACAAATTTATGCTACATTGAAGCCTAATCATTTCCTTTTAACCTTAAGGAAAATTTTTCGTTCTGAAAGAGTTCCTCATTCTTATTAGGTGAAGTTCAAAACCACCTGAAAAAATTGAATTTTCAAAAAAAAATTTAAATTGTGTGAATTCTGGTCCGAAAAAATACGATGAGTATAAAACATTATATTAAAAGTTTTCCCCACAAAGTATTTAGTGTTTTCATGTCTTTACGTAAAAACGATTTTCCCTCAAAATTCGAGTTTGGTGCCAAATAATAATAATCTAGATTTTCAGCCATAGAATCGTTGGAATTTCAACAAATTCGTGCTGCAATGTATTCCCAAAGTTGTCATGGTTTTTGAAATAAAAAATTGAAATAAACTTATAGCCAGAAACTGCAAAAACACAGACATCTATCTGAATAAATAAATTCATTCCCGTTCCACACATATTTTCAGTCATACATCGTTTCCGATGATAAATATTCCGTTGCAACCTTCATCATTGGCGAAATTTACATGTCCTGTTGGTATGCTGGAAATGTGAACCATATTGTTATGACCCTCAATCGGTAATTTCTGTGTGGTTCGACTGTGGAAAATTGGCTGAAATCAAATTATTGAGAATTTTTGGCGCTCTTGCCGTTTTACATATTTAATCGCAGAATCTACATATACACTTGTTAAATGCAAAAAAACGTTTAAAAAATCCGTAAAAAATTTGTGTTTTTTTTACATTTATGCATAGAAAAAAAAGAATCTCAAAAATGTTTTTTTTTTGCCTAAATTTCCCTATTATTCTTGGACCGAGATTTTCTGCGTAGTTATTTTTTTCGAATTTAGTCAATTTTGCGCTCTCGTACGACACCTGGATTTTTCGTTTGAATTATTTATTATAAATATTGTTCAGGTTTGCCGTCATTTTCTTCCGGAATGATACTCTATTTAGCCGTCGAAATGTCGTCATTCTGTTAATTTGCAATGTTTTATTTTCATGCACAAATGGATATATTGTACAATTTGTGTTTCCATGTTGCGCGTAAAACAGAAGTCTGCTAAATAAGGGAAACTTGAAAAATAGTATTTCAGATTTTTATTGGATCACACTGTCCTTTCATATTCTTACTATAAAATAAATGGGGTCAAAAATTGGACAGGCTTATCGGATATCACTCTCAATGTGTTTAGTTCTGTGGTCCCAGTTGTGTGCTACTCAATGGTAAATCAATAATAATTGAGTAATTAAACCGTAAATTACTGTAGATTATATGTGTATTGCGAAAAAATAGTAAACGAATTGCTGGACAAAAATACGCAAGCGACAAAAAGAAGGGAAAGAGCCGAGAGATAATGTAAGAAGGATATCATTTGGATGGCTATACATTGGTTTTGTTCAGGTATACAATTCAATTTGGAATCATCACTTTCACATTCACAATTGCTTGGATTCTATTCCAAACATTTCCGTTATTCATGCTGAAATGGAATGTGAACTGGTTCATCTGTATTGCTTTTCTCAACACCTTCAACTCTTCAACAAACGCCGTGGTATTTCTGATATGCAACTCAGAAGTATTCAACATTTCAAAAAAAAAAATGAAAACAATTTTCTCCGCTGATTTCAGGTGAAAAATCTGCTTCCAAAACGAATTCGAGCAAATCGCACATGGAGTGATGAGACGGAAAGTCGAAGAACTGGAAATAACTCAACAAAATGAGAGTGAATATAACATAAGATAATACATATTGAGTAACTACTTCAGATTATAACAGTAAATTTTAGAAAAAAAATTTAAAAAAAATGTGAAATGCACCAGTAAACTTTAGAATTTTTTTATGTTTTGAAAATCTTATAAGGCTGCTCACTTCGAATATTTCGAAGTGCGTAGTATCAAGCTGGCACATCTGTGGACAAAATCAGTTCATGTAGTTCGGCTTTCGCGAGCCTCTGTGAGCCAAATTGTCTTGGCCATTTCCAACCACAACATCTTCTTGTTAACAGTTTTAGGGCTTCCAAGAACCGCTTCGAAATATTCATTTTTCATTATTACAAATAATAATTCCAATGTATTTTGGAAGTATTTGAAGTTGTTTGAACGGTATTTCAGAACCTTTCCCTGAGAAGACAATTTCAAAAATGTTATCAATCCGAATCAAATACTATCTGAAACAACATGTAAATAAAGAAAAAAAAAGTATAAATCAATCAAATATAATACAATGAATTAATTTGTCGAAGAACGTGCAATTTCTCAAAGTAGAACCAAACCACAAACAAAACAATAAAAGTGCATAAATTAAAGATTTGGCCGAACACAGAATAAATCGTATTTTGAACTCGAACCTTTGACCTTCAAATGAAATATTGTCAAAGCCTGACAACATTTGAATAAGTTTATTTGATCTCACACTCATTTAAGAGTTGGCTGTGTATAAAAAATAATTGCAAACTTACACAATACTTCAAAAAACTAAAATAAATCAAGCTTGTCGTTTCACAGCCGAGCCTGGCCATATCCGGTCCAAAGCCGAATATTTAAATGCTCGCGTATAGTGGGTTGTGGTTGGCATCAGCCGTTTTTTTTTAATTGTTCGTAAGATATAAAATTCCTCGGCAAGGCTTCGGTCGGGACGAAACATGTTTGGGCCGCGGCCGACCGGTCTGCCGAAACGACAAGCCTGAAATAAATATTATATGTATACCTTATTTAAACTTACCGAAAAAATAAATTTTGCAATGCTTATTGATCGAATGAATATTTTTCCGATCAACTAAATCAAGTAGACACGATTCGAAAATCACCTGCACTGAACTTTTTGTGTATAACATTTCATGCACGTGAATGCCATTAGAATCAACTGAATTCTTATGGCACTACGCACGTTTTCATTTAAAAAAATTAGAAATAAAAAGAAAAAAAATTTGTTTATATATGATTTTTAAGGTGTTCAAACTTATATTTTTTGATTTTTTTCCAACCTGCCTTACGTATTTATTCATTTTCGAATTTCCGAGTTAGTGGAAATAGCAAAACTTTGCTTCCTAATTTAATGCAATTTTCGTCATCAACCAAAATTGCTGTTGAAAAAACCGAGTGTTTCTTGGAAATTCTTGGTAGTCTTTGGAGTTTTTTTGGAAGGCCCTTTGAATGCGATTTTAAAACTCGTTTCAAATTAATTTGTTCGATTTTGAATATTTGAAAAATAATATTTGGGTTTTTTAAAGATTCACAAACCGAGTCATTCGTCTGGATATTTGAGCCGTTATTAATTAAACTTTTAATTAATCTCCTGAGACTATTCGCTGCCTTATTTAATCGAAACTCTGAATAATCTTTGAAGAATGAAATCCGCGTTGGGAGCATTACTCGCCGTTATCTCCTTACTTGGACTGTTCGCAAACATTTTGGTGTTTATTCCGGTATATCGACTAGCATTTGTTTATTATAAAAGTCCAATCTACGTTATTTCGCTAGTTAATCTATTTGCCGATATTATTAATTTATTCATTACCATTTTCTATTTATGCCCTGCTATCATTTTGAAGGTCAGTTCATTATTTATGCAATTTGTTTTATGTGGTGACGGTTGTTATTGGTTTTTTTTAATTACACTAATGAACATGCTAGTAAAAATTGGCCTAGTTTATTTCATAACTAGTTAAGAGGCGAACAACTTGTGACTATTGAAAACGAGCACTCTGCACCGATTTAGTACGGTACACGAATTCCCCTATGTTTAAATCGAATTTTGAATTATCGCCCCGAAAAAGATGTGATGGTCCATAAATGTTCAAGGCGCTCGTTTTTTTTTGCGATGGACAATATGGCGGCGTTAAATGACTGATCGTTTGCGGGAAATTCAATATCGTGAAATCAGTGTAGATTTACAAATATGAAATATAGTATTTATTAACTGTGTGTACGTTCAAATGAATTTCTAACGTACACATACAGAGGGTAGCATAGAATTACCTGCACAAATTTGAGAGCATTAATCTAGAGAACCAACAGTCAGAATGCAATGAGTTTAAACAAAATGTTTAATGACGCAATAAATATGAAATTTTAAATATTTCTGTTCAACCCGGCCACCTTGTTGAACAATGAGAGCTCGGAGACGCTTCGGATTGGCGTCGATGGTTGTTTTGGTCTCATTATGTGACCAGATTCTTCTACAACGCCTTGATACTTGGGTGAAGGTTGGCTCTTCTGCAAGAGCATCCACACGGAATAGTCGAGCGGTTAAGGTCCGTCGAGGAAGCAGGCCATTCGGTCGACTTTACACATAGTCAATTTTTTATTTTGTTCAGTCGTTGAACGCTGACAATTAAATTTGTTTAAATGAATCTCGTATGTCAAGAATGAATGACGCTCATCGTTCCAAGCATGCTATGAGATATGAGATAGTTTTCAGGAATATTTATTTTCAAAAAACAAAGACGATGCTATTCAAGTATTCTTCGGTACGATATTCATGTTCTGCTGGTATTTATCTTCGATTACTCAAATAGTAATGTCAATAAACAGGTGGATTTATCGAAAATTTCACAATCATCTCACGTTTGGTACAGGTTATTCGTGATATGTTTCCGAATCTCTTCATTTTTTTCGTTTCGGAACGTCTTCGCCTGTTTTTGTTTCGTAGTTCCATTATGTATTGGAATGGCCTGTTTGTCACAGTACATATTTCCGTGTTGCGCGTAAAAATATTAATATGATAATGAGAAAAATATAGCAAATTTTCAGTTTGATCTTCGATCATACGTACTTCTCTGTTTCGTATTTACAAATTCCGAATACATTGAATTACTCGAATAATTTTATTGATTTACCTTTAAATAGCTCATGCTCATTAATTGCCATCGTTTGTTATTCGACAATTTATGCGAAAGTCTTAAAACATGATAGAATGTTGAAGAGAACAAATCAAAAAGCGAAGCGACTAAATAAGGAATATTCGTAATCATATATCATATATATACAAAGGGTTACAATTTTTAATGTTTAGATACGCATTTCAATTCAGCCTTATCACCTTATTCTACACGTTGAGCTGGATATTATTTCGGGTTCTTCCTCAGATTTTAAGCGGGGACCATCTTAATTTATTCATTTCTGTCTCTATTTGTATATCGCTCAATAATTCTGTCAATGCCTTTGTTTATATTATCAATAATATTGAAGTTAGTTGCGCAATTTCTTAATTTAAAAAAAAGAAATGCTTTAGGTGAGAAGTGCAATTCAACATAGTAAATTCTTTATTTTTCCATCGGCATCATCTCATATGCGAACTGCATCGGAAGCATCGAACAATGCTAATATGGTTTTTCGAAAAACTACGAGAAATGCTGTATAAATTCAAAAAAAAAATCAATGAGTATAAAAAATTCCGTTCTAGCTGATTTCCTTTTTTTGAATGTTTTTATTCAGAAAAGTTTAAGGAAATGCCATACTCAACGGGAAAAAAAAAAAACAAAATACGCATTCATATTCGGTGAGACCAATTGAGAATATTTGGGAAAAATTTGTCGATGACTGTTGACGTCTACTGTACAGTTGGGTTATCGCAACATTCGTGTTGGGTTTCGGCTAAAAATATGGATAGTTTAAAAGCGAAAACCGAGCGCCAAAATTTGAATGTTGAAGTGATATGCCGAATTCCGCCAAACCTTGCCTTATAGAATTTCGAAAACCGTAAATGTGCGTCAAACACCGAATTTGACGCAAACTTTCAAAAACCTGCGTTGGTGAGAAATTTGTTCAAATGTTTTGGCTTATAACCAAATTTGGTAGAACCCTATAATCCAACCTGCCCCCTCCATATTTTTTTACTGAAAAAATTGTTAAGACTATAATTTCTATAGTTGTGTGCATGCTGAATTGACAATATTCATATTAAAAAAAAAGACAACATTCATATTAAAAAGAACCTCTATTATTGTAAATGACAAAAATATTAATAATTGTCCATGACAATTTGTGAGATATTCCGGAAAACCGGTTCGAAAACGTCCAAAGCAGCCTGTGTGAAATGAACGGTATTATCAAGATATGAGAGCATTTTATCCGCATCGAAAACTCGATATTTCTCGTTTTTCACAAGAAGTGGGGCCAAGTCAATTATCTGAGTAAAATGTCTGAATAGTCTGAATGAAAGACGAATTACTTCGCAATTTCTGCACTTCATTTCGCTTAATCGTTTTCGAGCGTATTTCAGGCGTCGATCGCCAACTTTCTTGTCCAAATTGAGCAATTCAACATCATCTGGCTTCTTGATCGCATATTGAAGGAAACCGTTAAGAACATTTTGACTCTCATATGGAAATGGTCCAAGAATGTAAACTTTTTTAGCATATCTGAAAATTTTTTAGATAATTTCAGTAATTTCCAAAGCGATTTACGATTCATAAAACTGTAAATTCGTATTATATTGTTGAATATAGTTATCATTTCTGGCATTTGCAAAAAATTCGAATTGAGTTTTCGAGAATCTAAAAAAATTGTTTCAAATGGTTATAAAGAGTGGAATACCGAGATGTAATGAACAATACATCGGGTTGAACGTCGAGAAAAACTTGTTTGGAAATGTTCAAAGTTTTCGCGGAAAGCGGGTTATACTCATAGATTCCAGTGTTTTCTAAAATTTGCATTTTTTTATTAAATTTAACCTCTTAAATATTTCTTGTTACCGTATAATCCCACATAACTAAAAGTAGAGTAATTATAATTGAAATGTTTTCTGATCGATTCAACAAAATTCATGGCATAACTGTTGCCGATGACCATTATCCTGAGTGAACCATTTCCGTTCTGTTCTCAAAATAAATTATAGAGGCTTCTTGAAAAACGAATCGTTACTGGAAACACGCAGTGGCCAAATCGGTTGAACACGGCTTCTTCGCTATCTTCGAACGTGTTCAGGTAAACACACGGCTCTCTGTGTTCAGTTGCCAGCCAACTGTACGGTAGCATCGCTGTGTTCTTATCGATCAATTCTTGCTCTTCTGAAAATGTATTAATTCAAAATTTATGTTTTTTCTTCAATTCATTACCATCCGTGTAATTGGTTTTCCAAAAATCGTGATTCCGAATACTGGATTGTAAGAAAAAGTTCATCACAATCAACGTCGAAATTAGAATAAGAATCGATTTCATTTCCATTTTCAAATATTTTTTCTCGAAAAGATGATGTATTAGAATGCTGATTACAGCGATAAGAACTGAAAATATTCAAAATGCGAAATTCTTCGAATTCTCTTCACCTAGACATTGCAAATTTGCAGAAATCGAAGCGCCTCCAAATATGGTAATGATCGGCCAATGAATAAGATAAACGGTGTAAGAGATGTTCCCGATGTAATTCAAAATTTTTGAATTAAAAATCTCAATTAATGAAACTGAGAAGATTAATTAATTAAAAAGGTTACTTGATGCTCTTTGTCTTCCAAATAAAGCAAATACGTTGTTAAAAGGGTAATGAATGGTCGATAAAATTTTGAGTTCAACGGACTTGGTAGAAATAGAAGAAGTAAAAAAGGCAAAATAGCATTTGTTGCGTCAGATGGCTTTAAAAATGAATAACTTTCTGAAAAAATTAGCATTCTTATTCATTATGCAACCAGTGGTTGTAAAAAAAACACGGCGTTCTGATCCAGTTTTTGACAGTATGAAGGGCCCTGTTGGTCCTTCGTTTGAACCACCACAACTAACAAAAAATTTACGATTGCGGAGTATCCCGGAAAATGTCCGCTGGAGTTAAAAATGAAATTTTTCTTATAGAGATTCAAAAACCAGGACCCTCATCCAGACGCCCACATTTTGACGACACCGATGAAATCAAGAAGAGGAACTTTTTAAATGAATTACCTTTTTTTTCATTTATTTTTAATGGATTGCTTAAACCAATTTCAGATAAAAAATGGGCCACAAATCCAGCCGAAAATTGCCATAACCGAAGAAACATGAAATTGAAAGCAAATTGTTCATTGATGAGCAAAAAAGCGGCACAACCGAATATGGTCATGCATATACAAGCCGCTAGCTGAATAATTGGATCACAAAAATTTGAAGTTCAAGCATTACTTTCAAAATGTTGCTTTTTAGAAGTTGAAGTCCCAAAAATATAAAAGGCACAAGTAAATAAAACTGCATTTCGACACCAAGCGACCAAAAATGGATAAATGCGTTGAGAGAAGATCCATCGACAAGAAACTGAACAATTTGATTGTTTTCTCGACCCCCCGTTTTCTCGAAACATACCTCGTCAAAATAATTTCCGCTATCATGTATAATCAGTTGATTTGTAACGAAAAATAATGAGGCAATTGAATAACGATAATTAGCTTTCCACCAAAAATCGCATAGGAAAAACTGAATAGCAACGATGATTAGAAAACACGTGAGGTAATATAGAGGAGCAATTCGTTTTACTCTGAAAAATTTAAAATTAGAATGTCTAGACTTGTATTTTTTTCTGGCCTTTTGTAATAGAAATACAATACCGATTTTGGGGTGATTTTGTGTTTACTCAAACATTTTGCCATTAGAAATCCAGATAAAACGAAAAATCTAAAAAAACCAATATTGTGAATTTTTCTACTATATATTGAGTACTCACATATCCACTCCGAGGTAGCCATTTGTGAATATTTGTGGGCTTATATGAAATAAAACTACTGAAATTATAGCGAAAGCGCGCAGACATTGAATATCAGGCCGCATACTACGAGGAAAGTGGCACAACAAAATACATTACAAAGTTTTCTCACAAATTTATGCAAATCGTGACATTTTAGGTTAATCAAATGCATGATGGCTTCTTGAAAATGGCGACAATTGAAAAATGGAGACACATTGAGAATCGACAACAAAAAAAACGAACGAAGAGAATCGCAAAATATGACATTTGACCCGAAAACATAATCACATAAAAGTTGGTTTTTCCGCTGATTGTGATGGGCGTAGAACTCTTGAGGATTCAAAAATTGTTGGAAACAAAATTCCACAAGTTAGAATATTGAGTTGCTCTTGGTATGCTTGTCTGAAGCTGTTGGATCTTATGTAGGTGATGAAGAAGCATTGACAGAAGGTTGGCATCACCAACAGCCCCTGAATTATTCAATTTATTTTTGACTCTAATTGACGACCTACCAGGAATTGGTGGTGACGCATAGCTTCGTCATCTTCTTGGTGTGTTGATAGCATGATTCGGTACAAAATGGTGGTAGTCGTCCAACAGAAAATGTATATTGATATTAAGTAGAATGTCGAACGGAACACCTGAAATCATCTGATTATTGCTATCAAATTCCTTGATTCATCCCGGGAATAATACAAGAATAAAAAAGCGGACACCAGTATATTTCGTTGCAAGACCATATAGTTCCGATGAGTTGTGGTTCACGTTTATAATATATATAATAATATAAACTTTATATACGTACAAAATTTTGAAAAAAATGTTAACGGGAGCGCACGCGAACTGCAACGCGTCTGGCAACATGAAATAACTACGGTATCCGCATTTTTTGGAAAACAGACTGTATTTTCAAAAATAAGGACCATTTTCTTGTTTTGATCGCGGTAATTCGAATATCGAATTGATTTGTGGGAACACTGCACAACGGATAGTCTGCGCACCACAAAACAGTCAATTTATAGATAACAATAGCGAGTGAGCTAGTTTATTTTTGTGATTGTTATTAATTAATTTTGCGAATTCGAACGGGGAATGAAAATCGTTGCGAATTTTCTTTCGTCGATTTTCAAGTGGTCATTTGATTTCGAGAAAGATCAGAACAGAAGTGAAGCAAACGAAGAGCAAAGGATCGGCAGGGGAACGCTTGATTTGAAAAAAAATTCCTTGGAGAACAGTGGAGTCTGGAGTAGCTACGCGTGAGCCTACGTATGTAAAAGTGGCATGTGCACTCATGAAAGACTAGGCCAAAGATGACAAGGCTACCTCGGAGTGGATATGTGAGTACTCAATATATAGTAGAAAAATTCACAATATTGGTTTTTTTAGATTTTTCGTTTTATCTGGATTTCTAATGGCAAAATGTTTGAGTAAACACAAAATCACCCCAAAATCGGTATTGTATTTCTATTACAAAAGGCCAGAAAAAAATACAAGTCTAGACATTCTAATTTTAAATTTTTCAGAGTAAAACGAATTGCTCCTCTATATTACCTCACGTGTTTTCTAATCATCGTTGCTATTCAGTTTTTCCTATGCGATTTTTGGTGGAAAGCTAATTATCGTTATTCAATTGCCTCATTATTTTTCGTTACAAATCAACTGATTATACATGATAGCGGAAATTATTTTGACGAGGTATGTTTCGAGAAAACGGGGGGTCGAGAAAACAATCAAATTGTTCAGTTTCTTGTCGATGGATCTTCTCTCAACGCATTTATCCATTTTTGGTCGCTTGGTGTCGAAATGCAGTTTTATTTACTTGTGCCTTTTATATTTTTGGGACTTCAACTTCTAAAAAGCAACATTTTGAAAGTAATGTTTGAACTTCAAATTTTTGTGATCCAATTATTCAGCTAGAGGCTTGTATATGCATGACCATATTCGGTTGTGCCGCTTTTTTGCTCATCAATGAACAATTTGCTTTCAATTTCATGTTTCTTCGGTTATGGCAATTTTCGGCTGGATTTGTGGCCCATTTTTTATCTGAAATTGGTTTAAGCAATCCATTAAAAATAAATGAAAAAAAAGGTAATTCATTTAAAAAGTTCCTCTTCTTGATTTCATCGGTGTCGTCAAAATGTGGGCGTCTGGCTGAGGGTCCTGGTTTTTGAATCTCTATAAGAAAAATTTCATTTTTAACTCCAGCGGACATTTTCCGGGATACTCCGCAATCGTAAATTTTTTGTTAGTTGTGGTGGTTCAAACGAAGGACCAACAGGGCCCTTCATACTGTCAAAAACTGGATCAGAACGCCGTGTTTTTTTTACAACCACTGGTTGCATAATGAATAAGAATGCTAATTTTTTCAGAAAGTTATTCATTTTTAAAGCCATCTGACGCAACAAATGCTATTTTGCCTTTTTTACTTCTTCTATTTCTACCAAGTCCGTTGAACTCAAAATTTTATCGACCATTCATTACCCTTCTAACAACGTATTTGCTTTATTTGGAAGACAAAGAGCATCAAGTAACCTTTTTAATTAATTAATCTTCTCAGTTTCATTAATTGAGATTTTTAATTCAAAAATTTTGAATTACATCGGGAACATCTCTTACACCGTTTATCTTATTCATTGGCCGATCATTACCATATTTGGAGGCGCTTCGATTTCTGCAAATTTGCAATGTCTAGGTGAAGAGAATTCGAAGAATTTCGCATTTTGAATATTTTCAGTTCTTATCGCTGTAATCAGCATTCTAATACATCATCTTTTCGAGAAAAAATATTTGAAAATGGAAATGAAATCGATTCTTATTCTAATTTCGACGTTGATTGTGATGAACTTTTTCTTACAATCCAGTATTCGGAATCACGATTTTTGGAAAACCAATTACACGGATGGTAATGAATTGAAGAAAAAACATAAATTTTGAATTAATACATTTTCAGAAGAGCAAGAATTGATCGATAAGAACACAGCGATGCTACCGTACAGTTGGCTGGCAACTGAACACAGAGAGCCGTGTGTTTACCTGAACACGTTCGAAGATAGCGAAGAAGCCGTGTTCAACCGATTTGGCCACTGCGTGTTTCCAGTAACGATTCGTTTTTCAAGAAGCCTCTATAATTTATTTTGAGAACAGAACGGAAATGGTTCACTCAGGATAATGGTCATCGGCAACAGTTATGCCATGAATTTTGTTGAATCGATCAGAAAACAGTTCAATTATAATTACTCTACTTTTAGTTATGTGGGATTATACGGTAACAAGAAATATTTAAGAGGTTAAATTTAATAAAAAAATGCAAATTTTAGAAAACACTGGAATCTATGAGGATAACCCGCTTTCCGCGAAAACTTTGAACATTTCCAAACAAGTTTTTCTCGACGTTCAACCCGATGTATTGTTCATTACATCTCGGTATTCCACTCTTTATAACCATTTGAAACAATTTTTTTAGATTCTCGAAAACTCAATTCGAATTTTTTGCAAATGCCAGAAATGATAACTATATTCAACAATATAATACGAATTTACAGTTTTATGAATCGTAAATCGCTTTGGAAATTACTGAAATTATCTAAAAAATTTTCAGATATGCTAAAAAAGTTTACATTCTTGGACCATTTCCATATGAGAGTCAAAATGTTCTTAACGGTTTCCTTCAATATGCGATCAAGAAGCCAGATGATGTTGAATTGCTCAATTTGGACAAGAAAGTTGGCGATCGACGCCTGAAATACGCTCGAAAACGATTAAGCGAAATGAAGTGCAGAAATTGCGAAGTAATTCGTCTTTCATTATACTATTCAGACATTTTACTCAGATAATTGACTTGGCCCCACTTCTTGTGAAAAACGAGAAATATCGAGTTTTCGATGCGGATAAAATGCTCTCATATCTTGATAATACCGTTCATTTCACACAGGCTGCTTTGGACGTTTTCGAACCGGTTTTCCGGAATATCTCACAAATTGTCATGGACAATTATTAATATTTTTGTCATTTACAATAATAGAGGTTCTTTTTAATATGAATGTTGTCTTTTTTTTTTAATATGAATATTGTCAATTCAGCATGCACACAACTATAGAAATTATAGTCTTAACAATTTTTTCAGTAAAAAAATATGGAGGGGGCAGGTTGGATTATAGGGTTCTACCAAATTTGGTTATAAGCCAAAACATTTGAACAAATTTCTCACCAATGCAGGTTTTTGAAAGTTTGCGTCAAATTCGGTGTTTGACGCACATTTACGGTTTTCGAAATTCTATAAGGCAAGGTTTGGCGGAATTCGGCATATCACTTCAACATTCAAATTTTGGCGCTCGGTTTTCGCTTTTAAACTATCCATATTTTTAGCCGAAACCCAACACGAATGTTGCGATAACCCAACTGTACAGTAGACGTCAACAGTCATCGACAAATTTTTCCCAAATATTCTCAATTGGTCTCACCGAATATGAATGCGTATTTTGTTTTTTTTTTTTTCCCGTTGAGTATGGCATTTCCTTAAACTTTTCTGAATAAAAACATTCAAAAAAAGGAAATCAGCTAGAACGGAATTTTTTATACTCATTGATTTTTTTTTTGAATTTATACAGCATTTCTCGTAGTTTTTCGAAAAACCATATTAGCATTGTTCGATGCTTCCGATGCAGTTCGCATATGAGATGATGCCGATGGAAAAATAAAGAATTTACTATGTTGAATTGCACTTCTCACCTAAAGCATTTCTTTTTTTATAATTAAGAAATTGCGCAACTAACTTCAATATTATTGATAATATAAACAAAGGCATTGACAGAATTATTGAGCGATATACAAATAGAGACAGAAATGAATAAATTAAGATGGTCCCCGCTTAAAATCTGAGGAAGAACCCGAAATAATATCCAGCTCAACGTGTAGAATAAGGTGATAAGGCTGAATTGAAATGCGTATCTAAACATTAAAAATTGTAACCCTTTGTATATATATGATATATGATTACGAATATTCCTTATTTAGTCGCTTCGCTTTTTGATTTGTTCTCTTCAACATTCTATCATGTTTTAAGACTTTCGCATAAATTGTCGAATAACAAACGATGGCAATTAATGAGCATGAGCTATTTAAAGGTAAATCAATAAAATTATTCGAGTAATTCAATGTATTCGGAATTTGTAAATACGAAACAGAGAAGTACGTATGATCGAAGATCAAACTGAAAATTTGCTATATTTTTCTCATTATCATATTAATATTTTTACGCGCAACACGGAAATATGTACTGTGACAAACAGGCCATTCCAATACATAATGGAACTACGAAACAAAAACAGGCGAAGACGTTCCGAAACGAAAAAAATGAAGAGATTCGGAAACATATCACGAATAACCTGTACCAAACGTGAGATGATTGTGAAATTTTCGATAAATCCACCTGTTTATTGACATTACTATTTGAGTAATCGAAGATAAATACCAGCAGAACATGAATATCGTACCGAAGAAAACTTGAATAGCATCGTCTTTGTTTTTTGAAAATAAATATTCCTGAAAACTATCTCATATCTCATAGCATGCTTGGAACGATGAGCGTCATTCATTCTTGACATACGAGATTCATTTAAACAAATTTAATTGTCAGCGTTCAACGACTGAACAAAATAAAAAATTGACTATGTGTAAAGTCGACCGAATGGCCTGCTTCCTCGACGGACCTTAACCGCTCGACTATTCCGTGTGGATGCTCTTGCAGAAGAGCCAACCTTCACCCAAGTATCAAGGCGTTGTAGAAGAATCTGGTCACATAATGAGACCAAAACAACCATCGACGCCAATCCGAAGTGTCTCCGAGCTCTCATTGTTCAACAAGGTGGCCGGGTTGAACAGAAATATTTAAAATTTCATATTTATTGCGTCATTAAACATTTTGTTTAAACTCATTGCATTCTGACTGTTGGTTCTCTAGATTAATGCTCTCAAATTTGTGCAGGTAATTCTATGCTACCCTCTGTATGTGTACGTTAGAAATTCATTTGAACGTACACACAGTTAATAAATACTATATTTCATATTTGTAAATCTACACTGATTTCACGATATTGAATTTCCCGCAAACGATCAGTCATTTAACGCCGCCATATTGTCCATCGCAAAAAAAAAACGAGCGCCTTGAACATTTATGGACCATCACATCTTTTTCGGGGCAATAATTCAAAATTCGATTTAAACATAGGGGAATTCGTGTACCGTACTAAATCGGTGCAGAGTGCTCGTTTTCAATAGTCACAAGTTGTTCGCCTCTTAACTAGTTATGAAATAAACTAGGCCAATTTTTACTAGCATGTTCATTAGTGTAATTAAAAAAAACCAATAACAACCGTCACCACATAAAACAAATTGCATAAATAATGAACTGACCTTCAAAATGATAGCAGGGCATAAATAGAAAATGGTAATGAATAAATTAATAATATCGGCAAATAGATTAACTAGCGAAATAACGTAGATTGGACTTTTATAATAAACAAATGCTAGTCGATATACCGGAATAAACACCAAAATGTTTGCGAACAGTCCAAGTAAGGAGATAACGGCGAGTAATGCTCCCAACGCGGATTTCATTCTTCAAAGATTATTCAGAGTTTCGATTAAATAAGGCAGCGAATAGTCTCAGGAGATTAATTAAAAGTTTAATTAATAACGGCTCAAATATCCAGACGAATGACTCGGTTTGTGAATCTTTAAAAAACCCAAATATTATTTTTCAAATATTCAAAATCGAACAAATTAATTTGAAACGAGTTTTAAAATCGCATTCAAAGGGCCTTCCAAAAAAACTCCAAAGACTACCAAGAATTTCCAAGAAACACTCGGTTTTTTCAACAGCAATTTTGGTTGATGACGAAAATTGCATTAAATTAGGAAGCAAAGTTTTGCTATTTCCACTAACTCGGAAATTCGAAAATGAATAAATACGTAAGGCAGGTTGGAAAAAAATCAAAAAATATAAGTTTGAACACCTTAAAAATCATATATAAACAAATTTTTTTTCTTTTTATTTCTAATTTTTTTTAAATGAAAACGTGCGTAGTGCCATAAGAATTCAGTTGATTCTAATGGCATTCACGTGCATGAAATGTTATACACAAAAAGTTCAGTGCAGGTGATTTTCGAATCGTGTCTACTTGATTTAGTTGATCGGAAAAATATTCATTCGATCAATAAGCATTGCAAAATTTATTTTTTCGGTAAGTTTAAATAAGGTATACATATAATATTTATTTCAGGCTTGTCGTTTCGGCAGACCGGTCGGCCGCGGCCCAAACATGTTTCGTCCCGACCGAAGCCTTGCCGAGGAATTTTATATCTTACGAACAATTAAAAAAAAAACGGCTGATGCCAACCACAACCCACTATACGCGAGCATTTAAATATTCGGCTTTGGACCGGATATGGCCAGGCTCGGCTGTGAAACGACAAGCTTGATTTATTTTAGTTTTTTGAAGTATTGTGTAAGTTTGCAATTATTTTTTATACACAGCCAACTCTTAAATGAGTGTGAGATCAAATAAACTTATTCAAATGTTGTCAGGCTTTGACAATATTTCATTTGAAGGTCAAAGGTTCGAGTTCAAAATACGATTTATTCTGTGTTCGGCCAAATCTTTAATTTATGCACTTTTATTGTTTTGTTTGTGGTTTGGTTCTACTTTGAGAAATTGCACGTTCTTCGACAAATTAATTCATTGTATTATATTTGATTGATTTATACTTTTTTTTTTCTTTATTTACATGTTGTTTCAGATAGTATTTGATTCGGATTGATAACATTTTTGAAATTGTCTTCTCAGGGAAAGGTTCTGAAATACCGTTCAAACAACTTCAAATACTTCCAAAATACATTGGAATTATTATTTGTAATAATGAAAAATGAATATTTCGAAGCGGTTCTTGGAAGCCCTAAAACTGTTAACAAGAAGATGTTGTGGTTGGAAATGGCCAAGACAATTTGGCTCACAGAGGCTCGCGAAAGCCGAACTACATGAACTGATTTTGTCCACAGATGTGCCAGCTTGATACTACGCACTTCGAAATATTCGAAGTGAGCAGCCTTATAAGATTTTCAAAACATAAAAAAATTCTAAAGTTTACTGGTGCATTTCACATTTTTTTTTAAATTTTTTTCTAAAATTTACTGTTATAATCTGAAGTAGTTACTCAATATGTATTATCTTATGTTATATTCACTCTCATTTTGTTGAGTTATTTCCAGTTCTTCGACTTTCCGTCTCATCACTCCATGTGCGATTTGCTCGAATTCGTTTTGGAAGCAGATTTTTCACCTGAAATCAGCGGAGAATATTGTTTTCATTTTTTTTTTGAAATGTTGAATACTTCTGAGTTGCATATCAGAAATACCACGGCGTTTGTTGAAGAGTTGAAGGTGTTGAGAAAAGCAATACAGATGAACCAGTTCACATTCCATTTCAGCATGAATAACGGAAATGTTTGGAATAGAATCCAAGCAATTGTGAATGTGAAAGTGATGATTCCAAATTGAATTGTATACCTGAACAAAACCAATGTATAGCCATCCAAATGATATCCTTCTTACATTATCTCTCGGCTCTTTCCCTTCTTTTTGTCGCTTGCGTATTTTTGTCCAGCAATTCGTTTATTTTTTTTTCGCAATACATATATAATCTACAGTAATTTACGGTTTAATTACTCAATTATTATTGATTTACCATTGAGTAGCACACAACTGGGACCACAGAACTAAACACATTGAGAGTGATATCCGATAAGCCTGTCCAATTTTTGACCCCATTTATTTTATAGTAAGAATATGAAAGGACAGTGTGATCCAATAAAAATCTGAAATACTATTTTTCAAGTTTCCCTTATTTAGCAGACTTCTGTTTTACGCGCAACATGGAAACACAAATTGTACAATATATCCATTTGTGCATGAAAATAAAACATTGCAAATTAACAGAATGACGACATTTCGACGGCTAAATAGAGTATCATTCCGGAAGAAAATGACGGCAAACCTGAACAATATTTATAATAAATAATTCAAACGAAAAATCCAGGTGTCGTACGAGAGCGCAAAATTGACTAAATTCGAAAAAAATAACTACGCAGAAAATCTCGGTCCAAGAATAATAGGGAAATTTAGGCAAAAAAAAAACATTTTTGAGATTCTTTTTTTTCTATGCATAAATGTAAAAAAAACACAAATTTTTTACGGATTTTTTAAACGTTTTTTTGCATTTAACAAGTGTATATGTAGATTCTGCGATTAAATATGTAAAACGGCAAGAGCGCCAAAAATTCTCAATAATTTGATTTCAGCCAATTTTCCACAGTCGAACCACACAGAAATTACCGATTGAGGGTCATAACAATATGGTTCACATTTCCAGCATACCAACAGGACATGTAAATTTCGCCAATGATGAAGGTTGCAACGGAATATTTATCATCGGAAACGATGTATGACTGAAAATATGTGTATTGGATATTAGGGATGTGCAAGAGAGACACAATGGAACCCTTTTTCCCGTTCCTTATGATAAATTTTAAAAAATTAATTAAATCCAGTCGTAAGAAGCAAAAGCAGCCACAGAGAGCGCGAATAAGGGTGGGAAAGGGATTGAATAACGCGATAAGTAAATCTTTATTTATTTATTTCGCAAATTTTTTAATTGTTTATCCCGTCAAGCATGTTTTAAAACTGTATAATTTTCGATTTTTCATCAAAATTCAGGAAAGACGTTATATTCAAAAATAAGACATTGTTATACTTTGAGAAGTTTTTTGAAGGTCGTTTTGTTAGAAATACCATTTTGATGCTGATTTTACGTTATAAACCTGTTGAAACAATTGTTCAGTAATAATCTTACCCAGATTTAGTAATAACATTTCCCCCAATTCCTCCCAGTTTCTCAAAATCAATATTGGCCAAAATAACGTAATTAAATATACAAGAAAACTTCGGGAATCCCTAGTAAAAAAAATGTCAGAAAATCATTAGTCAAAAACTGTAAGTCAAAAAAAATTAGTCAAAAATCACTAGGCTAAAATGATGAGTCAATGAACATTAGCCCACTTCAACCGGGCGCTGCAGTTCTTATCCGAAAGTGGTTTTTTGACCGGCCGACATCCAAATAATCAAGAACCGTAGACGACGCTTGACAGTATCAACTCGCTGATTAATACAATCGTGCGATCGATAGCCGGGGATGTTTTGGAAGGATTTCCAAGTGGTTTGGAATCCGATCGAGGTTTCAAACATCCACAAATGGTCCAAGTCGATAAGTTGAACTGGTTTAATAGGCATTGGATGGAAAGACCTTGTGCTCGGCCATTTTTGATTGCTGTCAAAACGTCTGATAAAATGTTGTTTGATCATTTCGTCTCATACTAAAACAAATAAAAAAACTGATGTTAACATTGAAAATCTTAAAAAAACGAAAAAAACTTAGAAATAAAAAAAAATCGCATTTTTGAAAATACGCAAAAAAGGTCCAAAATACAAAAATTGCGTCTATAGTATCCCAAAATAAATTAAAGAACACACTATCCGCTTTGTAAAAAAATTCAGATCGTTAGGTCAACTTTTCAGAACGTTATGACCAAAAAACGAAATTGTATATCTTTCTGTACGGCCCAGCAGAAAAATTGCACACAGTTTGGTTCGCGCATTCATTTCCATTCTCGCATTTTTGTCGATGGGATTAGGGGTTTTAATGTAATTCGGATTGTTTTTCAAAAAATTTACCCTAATTTCAATCATTTTATTCTGCGCTATGCGGGGATTATATGTAAATGCAATTTTCAGAAGGGTATGCATCCATTGAAAGAGGATGCAAATAGGGTCCCACTTACAGTGTAAGTGCGGACCTTTTCTGCAAATCGGGGGACCACATCATGAATGAATTCTGATTGTCTATCCAATAGTAAAGAATTTTGCGTAAAGTGAAGTATTTCAAGTAAGAATACCTGGATTATGATTGATGGAGCCAAGTAGAAGCATGCCAATACAAGATGAATGATATCGGTCACAATGTTAACCAATGCTATTATAAATATCGTACTTTTCTCTTTGTTGATAGCCAGACGAAATACGGGTTCGGCGACTAGCACATTTAGAAGTAGCCCGATAAAAGAAATACAGAAGAATATGATGCCGAGAATTGACTTCACCGAGATTTCCATGGTAGTGGGTTAGATCGAAACAAACCCTGAACAATGTCATATTCGATAGGAAATTGATATTATTTACACCCGAATACGTTTAGCACTTTCAAGCAAAAAGAATGATGAAGCTTAAAGGACAATTCAAGGAAATTCATCTTATCAAAATTAAAAAGAATAAATAAGTCTGACTTATTTTTTAGGGCTCAGGAGGCCACCCCTCTCCACCATTTTGGCACTCAGCTATATATGAACCCCTCCCTTTCCCTCAGCTTCATTGTGTTTATGCAGGTTTGTTTTAAAAAAGTCATGTCTCGTATGATATTTACTGTTTATATAGAATATAGAAATTATTTCCATTCCAATTTCCTTTATTTTTCGAGTTGTCTGGAGTCAATACGAAGACTAAATTATGTATAATGTCTTAGTTGAATGAACGATATTTTTTTCTTAATTATTACTTTTTGTCAGAAATGAATGGGGATTCGAAAAACAAAAAGACTTTATTAAATATAACAAATCAAAAGATCCAGAAATATTTGCAGAATAATTGCGAAATGTGGAGTTTGCTCGAATAAACATTTCTAAGATATTCAAAAGTTCAAGCAGAATACCATTTTTGTATTATTTATTAATACAAAATTACTAATAAATAATATTTTTAGGGACAAATGCAATTTTTTGGGATATTCAATATTATTCAACGTCACATGCAAGATTTGTTGGTGTACTCTCATTTAAGAACATCATCTCGATATGAATAAGTGTGTTATGAATTTATTTCAAATAAATAATTACTATTCCAGAAAACACGAAATGTCAATTCATCGGCGAAGTTTCGTCCCGTTTTGACAAATTTCTTCCAACCGTGTTCGAGGCGACTGATTCGATGTGATGCTGACTTGTTCCATTCGATGTAACTCTTTTGAATATACGGATCCCAAATATTCGGAATGTTTGTTGAATCTGAAATTGTGACTGAAAACAACTCTAACAAGGGCAGTGTTAATACATCTTTGTTGCAAATAAGATAGACAAACGCGTTTGCGCAGGAATTGGCTGAATTGAACAGGGCAATACAAACAAACCAATTGATGCTCTGGCTCATCATAAAGACTGGAAAAATTCGGATGAAGATCCAAGCAAGGGTATAGAACAAATTAATAAGGCAAAACTGGATAGTGTATCTGAATATGTCATTTAAAATATTCCATTTTTAAATAGCATACGCGATTTCCTTATTTCTCCTCTTCTTCAGCACAAAACTACGCTGAATTGACGCCGTTGTTTGATTCGTTTTTCGGACTGTGTGTACAATCTGCCATTTGATTTTTATTATTTTATTCCCAATATTTTTTGCAGTACCAAGGTATAGCAGACTGTCGGGATGGCAGTGCTCAAGAAGTTCAACGGGATGTCAGTTCGATCCGACCAATTAGTAACACCCTCAATGATATTGTACGAGTAGGATAGAGTTTCGTGGTCTAGGATGAAACTGAAATCTATTCTTTTATTACATAAGTATGTTGTTGCATGTCATACGCGCAACAAGGAAATCCGAACTGGACAAGGTATGCCTTGACAAACGCGAATATGAATGTCAGGGCATATATTATGTAGATATTACGCTGGTTGAAGAACAAATGATTGTGATAGTAAATCACAAGAAATCTGCAATAAATAAAAAAAATCAACTTAAATTCCTTTTTTTTTTAACAATTGAGATTCTCCAGATTTCACGGCGTTTTTTGAACCCCAGACTTGCATTATTTGAACCCCGGATTACCGATGACTTTTTTCGCACACATATTCTAATTATTGTTCGAAAATCTTGACAAATCGGGTTCAAAATTGCAACCCGTGCGAGAATTGCCCAAATAAGCCGAACTTTGATTATGTTCTGGGAACCTGTTCAAAGCCATGATGATTTGATTAATATTGCCAATGTACCAGCAGAACATAAAAATGCTTCCAATGAATCGAGTTGCGAACGAGTCTTTGCGATCAGCGAGTAAGTACGACTAACGAACAATCGTCATTATTTTGATTTTTAAATCTCATACGAATACCTCGTAAATAATCGAAGGTCCCAAATAAAATGAAGCAAGGAGAAGGTGAATAATATCGGACGAAATATTCACAAATGATATTGTAAAAATCGTATTCTTCTCCTTTTTAAAAGCCAAACGGAAAACGGGTATGACTACCAAAACATTCGCAACGAGTCCGGAAAAAAAAATTACGGAAAATATGAAGCCAAGAAGCGTTTTCACTGTCCAGTTGAGCATCGCCCAATTCTAAAAAAAATGGATTGGAGAAAAAAATGTAGTATAATGTTCTTAGAGGTTATTCTCTACTCAACATAAATCTGGAAAGTCTTACTGTAGAGGAGGTGGAGCCAAAAAATGTGTCTTTTGCTATGCATTTTTAATAGACAAAAATTGCGTGGATTGTTATTACAAACATTTTTGCATTCCATTCACCTAATTTTTTCTATTTAAGAAACTTGATGATGTATAAAAGCTTGATTGAATTGTAAATACATCAAAAGAAGATTATTTGAGGAAAAAAACAAAAGTATCTCGTTAGATTCTAGTATAAACCAGACATCGCCTAGAGGTCTTCAATGAGAAATGATATTCCCGAAAAAGGTTTGAGTCACCTGAATTGATGTAGCAGACAGAATATTTTCTGAGAAAAATTGGTGGGAAAATAATTGCTAGAATTTCAAAAAGATGAATTAAAATTCAAAAATGAGAGTTGACCATTTAAAGACAAACTCTGAACTCGAACAGAATTTTGGCCTAAATAGTCATCCCGTCTTGCAAATTCAAATTCGCATCAAAAATTTTAAACAAATAATTGCATATCTAAATTATATCAGTATATCGCGCCACCTACATTTTTTTTTATTTCCAGCGAATTCATTTAAACAAAACCTTGAAAATACTAAAGTCTACTTGGTGGCATCTAAAAATTTTGAATTTTTTCTTGTCCCAGAAAAAACCAATCTTCAAACTATCATAGGGTCGTGCGAAATTCTCCTCACATGATGACCATTTGATCATACGACTCTTAGTTTTTATTCATTCAACTTCTTCTGCAATTTTCACAGAAGAACTAAATTTCTAATATTCCGGTTAGAAACGATTAATTGATTGCCATATGACCCATTTGGGAATTTTGACGCTTGGCGGAACATATTTCGCAATTTCGGGTTTGCCGAATCCTTCGAGAATCGTTTTGACGCTTCGAATATTTTGAGGTTCCATTCCTATAAATAAAACAATTTTGTAATTCTTCATTAAATTAATGTACCATTAGTGTCCTTGAATTCATATTTCTGTGCCAGATCTTCAGTGAACAGCGTTTTGCCAGTTTTCTTCATTCTTGCCGGATCTAGCGAAAACCTCACGATCGCTTTTCCCGTAAATTCGGCGGATTCGCATTTGGCGAACAGATGATATCCCTGAAATATCATTCTTCACAATTGAGAAATTTCATGTGGTATAACAGGCATTTCCGTTTTCGCATTTCCATCCTCGTCGAAATAATCTTGTTGGACGGATTCGGTTCGTACTGGTCCCGGAATCAACGACACAACACACACATTTTGATCCTAAATTATAAATAATAATAAATGTTTTAACGGCGATATGAAAATATTTGTAAATTTGATTTGCGTGAGCTACTTTTTAAAAAGTGCCTGTAAACTAAATGAGCTAGAATTCCGTCGTTTTTTTCACCAACCAAAATACTCATAAAAATATTTGACATTATGATTGTTCAATTCAGCAAGATCCGTCTCAAAAAGGATGGTTCCAAATGAGAACCCATTCGACACATTCAAATGGTACTTCCAAAAGTCATCCGAAAGTTCATCCACTATAGTAAATGGTTTGTAAAATTAAAATCGAATACGATAAAATCGAAATCGTATTTGGTGTTATGTGAAAAGAACTGCGATTGTATAGGACTACAAGCGTAGCCTACATTCAACTCGACTGCCATATCAGCTGACATCCTTATAAGCGCTTCTTTTCCAGCACCGTGAGCGACATTGAATAAGTATCTAAATTTGAAAATGACTGAAATGCCACTTGGACAGTAAGCCCACTTTATTCCACCAAGAGACGCGACATTCACTATCAATCCGCAATTCCTTTTAACCATCATTCTTGCCGCATACACACAACAAAAGTAATGATTTCTTAACGAAATTATGTTGAAATACTTTCAAGGAGAAATCCTCGAAACCTAAGCCCAACATCATTTATTGAATCCCAAATTGAGGGATCCATTTCGTAGAATCTCTGGCCAGAAAACTCAGTGGGATTCTAGAATTGAATATTTTCAAGCCCTTCCCCCCACGCGCATACCGCAGATCCGCAAACATTATTAACGAGTATATCCAATCGACCATCTTGCTCCGATGCTATTTTGTCAAACAAATATTTCACTTCAGTCATACTCGAATGATCGACATAAACTGCGATCCCTTTTCCACCGAGTTTCGTGATTTCTGAATTGCAAAACTGCTAATTAAGGGACGAACGACTGGCAGTACCATTCGCCGTTGATTCCAATGAACGAAGGCCATATTTATAATTGTCACTTAGTTCTGGCCGCCTTCCAGTTATGTATACTGTAGCACCAGAAGAACCGAGTTGAAGTGCAATCCCTCGACCTCAACATCAGCCATTCGCATATTCCATCCGGTCGAAGCCTTACCGAGTCCTCGTGATGCTCCAGTAACCAATGCAACCTGTCCTTGCAAAGCGATTCCCATCGCATTGACCAGTTTCGTTAATCGGCGATAATCTATCAAAAACCATATTGTCTAATTCTTCATTCAATAAACCGCACAAAAACCAATTTAAAACGATTTTGCGAGGGGAATCAATCAATAAACACGAACCGAATAATTTAAAATTAATGAGATTGGAGCTTTTTTGGGTTGGGGGACGGATTAGGCAGGCGAAACAAGGTGCGGAGAACAGTTAAAAGAAAAAAAAGAAATAATAAATGGAAAACATTAAATAATCTATGCACAAAGTCAATAGAAAAAAATTTCGCATAAAACAAAAAAAAATGGAAGAAGAAAATAGAAATACAGCACGGATCACGAACACTTGCAGAATAACAAATGAATCGAAACAAATATTGATAATTTAAAATTGGCTGCCTTGATTTTAAGAACGAGCTGATGATGAATCATGATAGGAAGAGATTTTTGGCTTTTCGAGGAAAACAAAACATTTTAAGTGTTTCTTTTTCCTTTTACTGTTTCGATTTACACGAACGACAAATACCAATTAATAATATACAACGGGAAAGTCATGACAATTGAGCTAGTTGCTAGGCAGAAAAAGGCAGGTTAAGTGTATATATTCCTAAAAATTACAGAATAACTCGATAAAAGTTATTTTTTTTTAATTTCAATTATAGGAATGGGTCCGAATTCTTGAGACATTTGAGTGTGGGTGGATTTCATGTCTGTTTTTCCCGGTACTGAGCACCGAGTTTTATTTAAAGCATTTCAAATCGTTATTTTTCTTGTGTCGTGAGTAATTAAGAATAAAGAAAAATCACAATTTGATCAGTTCGAGAAAAATCAAAGTTAAAACTGGTTTAAAACTTTTTGGCGGAGCGGGAATTAAAAATAATAATGTTTGTAAAAAATGAAACATGCCAGCGAATTTAGTTGTTTCCGGTCGCATAAATCTTACAAATCGCGTCGGCACCAGCGGATCCGATTAGTGATCTCGATGGATGGAATGCCACGCAGGTTACCGACGAATCGTTCTTTTTACGATGCGCCGAAATTTCCTAAACTTTGAACATTTTAATAATATGAAAACGGGGTTAGTTTTTACCTGTAGACAGACTATCTTTTCGAAATTCCACATTCGTAATGATCCGTCATGACTTCCCGAAATCAAGTATAATCCGTTAGGATCAATAGCGAGTGCTGAGACTCCTTCGACATGAGCAAGTGACGAACTAATTAATTGTCCTATAAAATTCAAGTTAAATTACTATGTTATTCGTTTACGCGAAAAATTCAAATAATCAAATTTTCCAATTAATTGCCAAATCGTTTATAATTAAATTCTTATTTTTAGAAAAAAACATTATCGAAAACTCTACCGCTTGCATTGTCGAAATAGCGAATCGTTCGGTCTTCTGAGGCAACAATCGAAATAGGCATTGTCGGATGCGATATAATCTTGTTGAGTGTTGCTTGCTTCAACGCTTCTGCATAATTTTTGATAATTATATGACAAAATTATGCAAATATTCACCCTCTCCAAAATCGAATACCATCACCGGATTTCCAGTTTCAATATCAACGATTTGAGCAAAACAGTTTGTATAAGCAACGAGCAAATGAGATGTTTCAGTTGAAACGAAATCAACAGATGTCGGAATAAGACCATTACGCGGAGCTTCGATGGTGCGAATTAGTGGTTCACCATTTCCTGAAAAAGTTTAAATGAGCTTATATGAATTCTTAAGTGAAGAAATCAAACCAGGTTCCCAAAGCTTGAGAGTTGAATCAGCGCTGGCAGAAACTAATCGATTGTTTGATGAATGGTAAGCAACAGACCAAACAGCGTCGCTATGGCCGTTTATGGTCTCGGAGAGAACTCGTGGATCTGAAATCATTGTGGCTGCATGATTTTCATCAAATTAAAAAAAATCAAACACTACGATTAATAAGTCAAAACATTAAATAATTTCTTAATTACAGTCTCAATGTATATATGTAATAACGATGAAAATTTGGCCATTGTCAAGGGATAAATATGTAAAAACTAGTTACCGTAAGCTTCATATGGATCACCGTTGGTTGGTGGTACATTCCAACAACAAATGAGACCATCACGTCCTCCTGTAAACAGTTGATCTCCAGTCGGGGACAGAACAAGGCACAAAACGGGTCCGAAATGTCCGCGGAATGTGTACACTGGTTCCTGATCACCATTCGCCATGCCGCCATGTTTATCTTCTCGTTTAAGTTCAAAATTCCACAACTTCACAACACCATCATCAGATGCCGTGAAAACAACTGGCTCGACTGGATGGAACTGAAAAGAGGAGGTACGTACAAATAAAAATACGAAAATAAATACCTGCATAGCGTTAATTGAATCTAAATGACTTCGCAAAGCGTATTTCATACTCCATTTCATTGGATGAACGGAAGGATCATCTTGCTGAAATCATCTTTTAAGACTTGTTTAAATGAAAAATATTACATCCGCGTATGATTCGTCTTTAATATCAATGTTGTCATCTGGAGGAAGTCCTAAAGCTGCATTTATTTCATTTGCGGGTCCAAATCCGAAATTATCGCTCCTTCGCCTATTTTGGCGCCCAGTGACACCTTCCTTCATTGCGGCGTTCATAGCAGAAGCAATACCAATTGGAATGTCGGTTTCCAACTTCTTGTGAACTGCATATAACATTGAAAATAATAGTTAAACATAACGTCGCAAATACCCTCATTCTGCAAGTCTTTTCCATCCTCGGACACCCGGCTTGGTTTCTTAACTTTTGGCTGGTACTTTTGCACAAGACTCTCAAAGTTCATTCCCTTTTCAAACCATTCATCGGATTCGTTCTAAATTTACTATTTCAAAAATTCTAATTTTTTGAAAATACTTTGGTATCTTTCTCTGCTTTTAAAAACGAAAATTCATCAAGAGCTTCTGTTGCATCTGCGTCGAGTTGGGCACCATCGGCTTCGCCATCATCAGATTCACTAAAAATAAGTGTTTCTCTAATTTATAATAATAAATTCATTACCTCCCCAATCTTCCTTTCTTCCCATTTGAACGTTCACTTGTCGGTAAGTCGGTCTGAACATTAATTGATAAATTGTGTCTCGTGCTATTTTCTTACCGGAGCAATGAGACCAAGAAGGTTTTTTACACGAAACGAACGTACATCCATAATATGCTCGCTATATCCCATTTCTTCTAAATATCGTTTAAGTAATAGCCTGCTTTGCTTCCAATTTCCAGCGCCATCAATCTCACTAGTATAAGCATCGATATCGCTGTTCGCAGAGTCTAGAATATATTAAATAAGATTTTTCTTTGGCTAGAATATACCACTTGGTGCAGCGTTTTCATTTTGCGGCTCGTCATAACACGGTGGTTCTTCGCCGTTATGCGTTAGTCGATAAGTTTTCGCTCTGCAAATGTTGACTGAAAACAAAAAGAAATTGATAAATACCTCTCTTGCTTCAAGCAATATTCCAACATTTTAATGCGACGAACAAGATCGACTTTCAAGTTTTCCTGCCCTCGCCGTTCTCCTTGTAAAAACGAAATTCTGGCCTAAAACATTAATGATAATGCATTCACACAAAAATTTTAAATATGCCTGTAGTTCGGCGCGTTCAGCTTCCCATCTAGTTTTTTCCAATTCACGTTTAGTCCATTCATGTTGAAGATAATGCAAAATACCCGCCATTGTATACTGAGGGCGATCCTAGAAAACATTATATTGAACACATTTTTATTTCATAACATACATCTTCCTCGTCTGTGGTGTCAGAGTGGTTGTTCGTCTTCTGACTAATTTCTTCCATCGTTTTCAACAAGAAAGATTAAAACCTTCCCCCTCAGAATTGCGCCTAAACAAATAAAAAATTTCGTTTGGGGAGAACGTCAAAATTGAATTTTGTCGAAGATTTGAATGCTATATAATTAAATCAAATATAATTTCAGTGCATAAAACAAAAAAAACATTGAATAAAAAAAAAGGATGAAATCAATAAAAAAAAGGATAGATTAGAGTCGAGAGGAGCACGTTGCCGCAAAAAAGTGATTCGATTAGATTTAGCACGATGCAACGAGGAGGGAAAGCACACACGAAAATATAAATTGAATGTCGTCGACTGCGGCGCTATCCAGTGTTCGGGCCGCGCTGTGCGTCTCAATGGGGCGTGTTTGCTTCAGTCGTTTCAAATTCACGATCGTGTTTTGGCACTCCAGAATAACATTTTCAAGAGAATTCTAATGTGGAACCGAAAGGTCCACGTGGACGTGAAGCGAAAAATTAGAATTACTGTTTGTAAACGCATATACAAAAAATAATTTGATATTTCGCAACGATTTATTCACTACTACAGTAACATGTACAAACATTTGGATTTTTTTGAATGAAAATTTTCTATTTTGCAAATCCGCTATTTTGTTCAATATCATTGTAAAAGTTACTCGTAATGTCAACGAAACATTTTCAAATAAAAATGGAAATTAACACCATGAATTATCAAGCTCACACTTCGTTTGCAACCAAATGTTGAGCAGGTGATCCTCTTTTGTAACCGGCTGAAATTCGCGCCTGATAAACTTCATTTTTAAATGAATATCACCTGATTTATTGTGTAATCAAAATATACACGGCGCATTTGCCGTCGATTGAGGTGTTCCAAATAGGTTTGTTCTAAAAATTCCCGGGTTCCTGAAGACATGCAATGCCCGCATAATTGGCATTCCTAAATATGATGGTGTGAATAGAACTATTTCGTTGCAATTAAAAATAAATATAACAATACCAACGCTTCATCGCATTTTTCGCATTTCTTTTCCACACAAAATTTCAATGGTATGTTAATGTCTCGGCCCGTCACTAACGGGTTCTCGTCGTTTTTTCTGTTCCTGAAAACAATTTCTTATCACTCGGTTAGGCAGCTTATTGTTAGTACAAAAACGCCCGCTGTGTATCTTTTGTCATGTGATGTGCAAGACCGGCCACACCAAATATACTCAGTAAAGCATTCTCATACAAAATCTGATTTTGTTTAAAGTGCCCAGATGATAAGTTGGGTGACATGTTGGCCTGCAATAACGAGTTTTGTTGGATAAAAAGTTTTGTTATTGGCACCTCCATGAGAAAAACATTCAAATCCTCGTCAACTACAAAATCGAATCGGCTTAATTCAAAATAACGCGACCTTAAGTCGGTTTGGCTTAAAGCGATCAACATCTTCGATTGTTGTCGTTGAAATACCTAAAAATTTGTTCCAATGTCCCACTCACAAAACGTTTTTGATGAACCTCGGCAATAATATTTTGAATTTGTTTCCAGATGCGTGAGGAATCAATATTCTTGACACCCAGATAAGCATCAATCGTGTGTTTATAGCTCAATTTTTGCTTGTTAACATATTCCGAAAGAGATTCAATCTAGCAAAATGGATTATATTCAAAATTGATCGGCATCTAACCTCCCAAATTGGTGTATAATCATCACCGACAACATATTTGTCGACATTATCAACATCGAGGGGATGATAATCTTGCGGGCAAAACCTTCAACGTACCCAAATTTACAGAATCGCTTCAAATTCTGAAACCTGATTAAAACGTCGCCGTCAAAAATATAGACACGGAGTGGAAGAAGAGATGTGATAATTGCGTAAATTCCAATATCAAACTTTCTAGAATAATAAATGTTAACACTATTAATTTGAAGCTCGACAAATTAAAAAAAATTCCAACCTGTTATCAATTAGCAATGGATTTTCTACAAATTTCTGCACAAATGAGTCGCTTTTGTTGAGGTCCATATCAGCGATTTTTCGAATTCGAATATTTCTGAATTGATTAATTTTAAAGCGAAATAGGATTTTGCCACCTATGGGCATTATCTTTTTGAACCCATAATGTTTCTGGATTATTTTTCGCATATTCTATTAAGTCTTGCTTCTGTGAAGGCAATTCGAACGCAATAGGAACACCTTTAGATAGTCCGCAAGTTGCTAATTGGACCTAAATATATGTCAGTATATGTCAGGTAGTCAACACAAAACAAAACTTTGCTTGTGTAGTATCCCGAACCAGGAACATGATTGACAATCTGTTGTGGTTTCGCATTGGCTAGCATTTGTGTGAAAGGCTCACGAGTTAAAATGTAGTCATGATACCAAATAACATCCCAATTATCGTTTATTGTGAGATTTTCTCCGGATTTTACCTTAACAATGTCAAACAATTCGTTTTAAACAACCAGATTTTCACTTTTGAAAACAAAGTTTTTTGCGGTAAATGAAAGTTTTAGAAAAACGTAAAACTTCATGATCCACTAAATTTCTAAAACACATACTTGATATCCCATGTATTCGAACATTTCCCGAATGTGCTTCATATATGTTTGTGGTGCCTGAAACAATAAAACACATTTGTTGCATTTTCGATGAGAATCGTCACATCTTGTCCGCTGCCGTCAACGATCGCTATTCTTTTGAATTCAGCGCTCTCTATTATATTATTAGAATTCTGAATGACTCCGATCGTTGCGTTATTCAGATTGGTCGCTGACTGAATTCTAAAAAAAAATGAAATTGTCATATGGGCTGTTGAGGGGATTTATGGGAATGAATACCTGATGTTGAAAAATGAGCCGAGAACGAGATTTAGATGGAACTCGCATGAGTTTTGATACAAAATAAAAGCAATAATAAGGGATAGAACTGCATATTTAGTGGAACTCGACATTGCGAAGATTTTATCAAGCGGAAAAGAAAGTCAAGTGGAGGATATACAAAATAATTAGGTCGACATTTGAATTTACTAACAGTTTCTCCTTCTTTTTAACAACGGTTTTTCGAGAGGTTGGCCGAAGAAGATATCAATCAGAACTAACGGGAAACTGCGTTACGAAACTTGAATGATAATACTGCCAAAAAACGCAAAGATTCGTTTCGACCTATTTATGAGGTTGCAAATCACTTCGCGCTTGAGACGTATAATTGCGCCGTTTTTCAAGGTTTTCATGGCCTCACCATATTAGCGCGATTATTATAATTGCTCTAAATTCAAAACAAACATCATAGAATTGACTAATAGGGAAACGATGTGTTGAAAAAAAAAACATCCTAAGGATTTATGATTCAATTAATGATTACACCCTTTGACCTAGAAAACAAATAGAATATACATATACATATATATACAGTACCGTGCAGTAAGATATACAATTTCACTTTTTTAATCACAACTTTCTGAAAAGTTGACCAATCGATCTGAAATTTATGGACAAAACGGATAGTGTGTTACAAATCATAATAAATTTGATTTGGGATACTATAGACGCAATTTTTGTGTTTCTGGACCTTTTTTGCGTATTTTAAAACATGTGATTTTTTTTTAATTTTTAAGTTTTTTCGATTTTTTTTAGATTTTCAATGTTAACATCAGTTTTTTTTATTTGTTTTAGCAGGACACGATCAAAATGATCAAAAAACATTCTATCAGACGTTTTAAAGCAATCAAGAATGCCCGAGCACTAGGTCTTTTCATCCAATGTCTATCACACCAGTTGAACTCATCGACTTGGACCATTCGTGTATGTTTGAAACCTGGATCGGATTCCAAACCACTTGGAAATCTTTCCAAAACATCCCCGGCAATCAATCGAACAATTGTAGGAAACAGCAAGAGCAACCCGCCTCTATCCGCTTCCGAGATTAATCGGCAACTGAGTCAGTTCTATGATGTCAACGTAGATTTTTCCGAAAAACCATGACTTTTTTTTACCAAAAGTCACATACATATCAGCGTTGATACTGTAAAGCGTCTTCTACGTGGTTCTGGATTATTTGGACGTCGGTATGTCAAAAAATCTCTCCTTTCGGAGAAGAAACGCCGCGCCCGTTTGAAGTGGACTAAGGAGCTTTTGAATTGGACTTTTCAACAATGGTCAAAGGTTGTATGGAGTGATGAATCGAAGTATATCTTGCTCGGAACGGATGGTATTACCTTTGAGAGGCGTCCTGGTGGCAAAAGATTCGATTCCAAATACCAATTACCAACGGTGAAGCATGGAGGAGGAAGCGTGATGGTTTGGGGATGTTTTACTGCTTCTGGAGATGGCATACTTCGTCGAATCGAAAGAAATATGGATCGATTTGCGTATAAAGACATTATCGAGAACCATATGCTTCCGTTTGCAAAGTCTTTGCTCGGTGTGGATACTTATTTCAGCAGACTAATGATCCTAAACTTTTCTCTCGCTACATCAAAGAGAGGTTCTAGCAGCGTAGGGTGGCCGTCAGGGTCTGACCAAGCCACTCACCTGTCTTGAACCCCATTGAACATTTGCAGGATGATCTTGGTAGACGTCTTGGTGGTCAAACTGTACAAAATGTGTCGAAATGATCGAGCAGCTGAGAAGATCATGGATGGATATTCCAATTTCAACCCTCCCGAAGTTGACGAGGCCATGGGTCTCCGATATCAAACTGTGATCGATGCAAATGACATGTCAACAAGATATTGATTTGTTTTAAGCTTCCTGACAGATAATTGTGGTTTTACATATTATTTCAAGTCGTACCGGTATCAAAATTATTAAAGTCGATTTTTCGCTATTATGGATTTTCTGATTTTTTGCCAATAAAATTTTTCCTAATGTGTTTTACACCTTCTAATTTTGTTACATAATCACTCTATCGATGCTTAAAGTTGTCCAAAAATTTCAGATCGATTGGTCAACTTTTCAGAAAGTTATGATAAAAAAAAGTGAAATTGTATATCTTACTGCACGGTACTGTATGTGTAAACAATACTTGTAAAAATGGCCAATTAGTAGTGGCTCGTGAAAAGTGGCTTGGCTCGTGATTTTTGGCTCGCAAAAAGTGGCTCGTACTCACTATATTCTTTGGCTCGCGAATTTTGGCTCATGAATTTTGGCTCGTGATTTTTGGCTTTACTTTTCAAAAATTCTTTCGATGAATGTCAAAAGCTTCAATTATCAAAATGTATCATTGTCGATCTTAGCGCGTTATGAAGATGTCTTTGTATGCCACTTTGACATCTGCTGAAGTTTCCACTGCAGGGAAGACTAAATCAAAACAAACATAATCGCATGGCCATGTCGCTAAAATTTATTGTAAAGCATACCACCCACTTTCCAAAATCGTCCATCCTTGACAAAACACTTTATTCACTCTGTAGAAATCAAGTTTTAAGTAATAATCTCATGGGAGATAGAATTACTATCAGAGAGATATCAAAACAACGATAGATTGCTGATAGATTTTACCATCTCAAATTTATTTAAATGATGCTAAAACGTAAATCTTTTTCATCAAATTTTCTGTTCTGCTCGAAGGTCAAAATTTACAGTTTCTAACAGTAATTGGCTAACTTTGATTTTTCAAAAACTGTAGACTATCCTTATGAAAGAAAATTTTTACAAGAAATGAACTATTCACGGAAGAGCAGGCTCAGATAGACTTCAGGTTCAGATTCGGGGTTCAGATAGACTTCGTAAGCGTGAATCTATTCCCACAATTTCCAATATTTCAAGTATCCAATTGTGCAATTCTGTATCAAGCTTCTTTGCAAGCCTTGCGCAAATCAAATACCTAAAAACAATAGTGGCAGCCAAATAGGCTTAAATTTTTTGTACAATTTAACACATTTGAGGAATATAAATTTATTTTAGGAAAACAAAATTAAATTAGAATGGAAAGGGAACAAAAAAATGGGAAAAATTTACCAAACATTACAAAAAAACCAGCGAATCGAAGAAAGGATATCGATTGCGCGGGATTAGCGTCAGACGAAGCCTGAAAGACACATAAATCATGAAGTAATGTTGAATATACGAAAAATAAAACAATCCTAAAAACTGGGAAAATATTAGGCATTTATTAATTTCAGTCCTAAATAATCACTAGTTCAGTCCTAAATAATAACTAGTTTACAAATATATACACTTAAAATAAAACTATAATTAATTTAAATCCAATTTTAAAAGAATATATCGCAAAAAAACGTTAAAAATAGGGAAAAAATGAGTTAATTTTTTAAAAATCCAATTATTAAAAATCGCACAGTTAAGCGAATGCTACAGTAACGCTGCACCTTTAAGCTGTCGGCGGTATTATTTTTGCTTTAATTTTTTTCAATTTTTTAAAGTTTTTAACGATTTTTTGCGATTTATTCTTTTAAAATTGGATTTAAATTAATTATAATTTTATTTTAAGTGTACATATTTGTAAACTAGTGATTATTTAGGACTGAAATTAATAAATGCCTAATATTTTCCCAATTTTTAGGATTGCTTTATTTTTCGTATATTCAACATTACTCCATGATTTATGTGTCTTTCAGGCTTCGTCTGACGCTAATCCCGCGCCATCGATATCCTTTCTTCGATTCGCTGGTTTTTTTTGTAATGTTTGGTAAATTTTTCCCAGTTTTTTTGTTCCCTTTCCATTCTAATTTTGTTTTCCTAAAATAAATTTATATTCCTCAAATGTGTTAAATTGTACAAAAAATTTAAGCCTATTTGGCTGCCACTATTTTTTTTTAGGTATTTGATTTGCGCAAGGCTTGCAAAAAAGCTTGATACAGAATTGCACAATTGGATACTTGAAATATTGGAAATTGTGGGAATAGATTCACGCTTACGAAGTCTATCTGAACCTGCTCTTCCGTGAATAGTTCATTTCTTGTAAAAATTTTCTTAAAAATTTTTTTTCAGAAAATTTGATGAAAAAGATTTACGTTTTAGCATCATTTTCTGAAACAATGGGCACTTAGGATCATTTTCTGGAATTTTAAAATCTTTCGAATTCGGACCCCTTAAGACCCCCACCCCCATATAACACTGACAATTTCTAGGAAAATTTACGGTATTGGCCAAAAGAACATAATTAAGTACTCAAGTCAAAAATTCGAGTCAATTAACATTGACCGGTAATAAAAAAAAAATAAAAATGGGGGCTAAAATCTGGGGGTGGAAATTAGGGGGTGGTTGAAAAATAAAAATGGGGGTTAAATTTTGGGGGTGGAAAATCAGGGGTAGGGGTTGAAAATTGGGGGTTGATGGCAATGGGCCATTTTTTTACTTGATATACAATTGATAAATACAAAATATTTGGGAAAATGAAATAATGGACCGGTACTCCCTATAGTGTTGTAAGTTTCAAGAAGTTTTTGTAAATGAAACATACATTTTTAACTGATATTATAATTGCAAACGAAAAAAACAATAAAATTCTAATTATTTTTAACACTTAATTCTACAAATGTATACGATGAAATCGCTTTTGTATTTGGTTACGTTGAAGATCACCGTGGTCATATACGTTTACAAACCATTTACCAGAGAAAATTATAGCGACATGGCCATGCGATTATGTTTGTTTTGATTTAGTCTTCCCTGCAGTGGAAACTTCAGCAGATGTCAAAGTGGCATACAAAGACATCTTCATAACGCGCTAAGATCGACAATGATACATTTTGATAATTGAAGCTTTTGACATTCATCGAAAGAATTTTTGAAAAGTAAAGCCAAAAATCACGAGCCAAAATTCATGAGCCAAAATTCGCGAGCCAAAGAATATAGTGAGTACGAGCCACTTTTTGCGAGCCAAAAATCACGAGCCAAGCCACTTTTCACGAGCCATTACTAATTGGCCTGTAAAAATTGTTAAATGCTGATTCGGTATGGGTTACGAACACTTAAAAAATCATATTATTTATAAATTTTTCGAGAAAACGAAAAAAAAAGCAAAGCCGATACAGAACCCACGTCGACTGACCATTGAAAAAATTTATATGAGGCGATAACTTAAATGTCTAACTATTTTTTTTTAATCAAAAATTAATGATTTGTTTATAAAGTTTCCAGGAGCATCTGAGCTTATGCAAAAAAATAAGCATACACCAAACTCAACATACTTCTTACTTGTTAGCACAGGCCCACCAAGGTGTTTATCAATTTTCGTATCATCTGGACACCCGTATAAACTTTATTTCTAAATTCTACGTTTGAGCTCGATCCCACCCTTAGGGAAACGGCTCCGGACATTGTGACAAACAGACAAACCTGTCGTTTGTTCCAGGGCTGTGCGGCAATGGAATTGCCGATTGCCGAAATTGCCGAAATTGCCGATTTTTCAAATTGCCGAATTGCGGAAGAGAGCGTTCGATCGGCAATTTGCCGAATTGCCGGATTGCCGAAATTTATATTTTCGGCAATTTGGTGTAAAAAAAATCGGCGAAACAAAAAGGAATGTCCATTGAATAATTTGGGATACCGTGAAAATTCGGTATTTATATTTCGAATTATCGTGGTAAAAATTTAATAGCCGAAATTTTTATTTTTGGCAACTTGCCGAATTGCCGGATTGCCGAAATTTTTTATTTTTGGCAATTTGCCGAATTGCCGAATTGCCGAAATTTCCGATTGCCGCACAGCCCTGGTTTGTTCCAATAAAGTTTGTTCCTCTCTTCAATGCATCTTCCCCCAAAAATCATGTGTAGCATCTGGTCCCCACCTTAACTATATTTCTAAATTTGAACTCGATCCGGTTATTTCTCTCTCTCTCTCTCTCTCTCTCTCTCTCTCTCTTTTTTTTATCTTTTAACATTATGCCTATCAGAAACATTTGCACGCAAATCAAATTTGAATCAAATGGCCGAAGTCACGACGATGGCCGTGTGCGACCAACAAAAAGTTCGGCCATTTCAATACTGCGTCCTTTTTATTTTTCGAATATCCCATTATTGGGTGTTTTCACATTTTTTCTTTTATTTATCCTTCAGACCTGCAGTGTTGAATTTGTAAAATACAATATCGCTTAACCTTTAAATGTTTTCACATGTTATTGTTTTCATTATTTTATTCAGGCATAACTACAATATGGCCTCGTTCAAGCAAAATTTACCACCATCGACGCTTTTGAAAAAGCAAGTCGCTGTAAATGCAGACAAGCGATCGAAACAGGAAGCTAAACGGGATCGACAGCTTGAAGTATAGTCATAATTTGAATAAAAATGAATAATATAAATATTTAGGAAGACAGAAAAGCTGGTACTGCTCCGGCTATGGTCGATGTTGAAACTGGGCGAGATATTAATCCACACATTCCATTGTTTATTTCTCAAAATCCGTGGTACGTTCCCAGTGATGGCCCAACATTGAAACATCAACGTCCGCACGAAGAACGACAAACGAAATTTTCTCAAATTGACGAATGGTACCAAAAAGGAACCACAGGAAAATCTGCAACGAAGTTCCGAAAAGGTGCCTGCGAAAATTGCGGAGCTATGGGTCACAAAAAACGGGATTGCTTTGAACGACCTCGAAAATTAGGGGCAAAGTAAAAAAAGTTTTACTGGATTTGATCAAATGTTTTGTTTAAGAGATACTGGCGCCGATATTGCTGAAGATGATCATGTCCAACCAAATTTAGTTCTTGGTTTTGATGCTAAAAGAGATCGATGGAATGGTTATGATCCTGCTACTCACAAAGAAGTCATTGATGAACATATGCGGTTAGAAGAAGCCAGAAAAGTTATAAAGGAACAAATGGTAATTGTAATTTATTTCCTACTGTCGTGTCTATTTTTGCTCCAAGACCTCACCCATTCTATTTTTAATATTTAACCAAGTACCTGACTCAAAGACGATATTAAAACGTTTTTAGATTAAAGAAGGAGAATTGGAAGAACAAGCAGCAGAACAAGACGAGGATAAGTATGCTGAAGACGCTGATATGGCTGGAGTGTCCGTTGATATGGACTCCCGAACTAGAATTACAGTTCGTAATCTACGTATTCGGGAAGATACTGCAAAATATCTGTACAATCTTGCGGAAAACTCGCCATACTATGATCCTAAATCTCGATCAATGCGTGAAAATCCGTTCGCCGGTGTTGCAGGAAAGGAACTTGAAGCTGCCAAGTTTGCAGGAGATAATTTCATTAGGTATATTGATTGTCGAAAACAAATGAACAAATTGATAACTTCAGATATTCTGGAGAAGTTACTGCAGCGAATGAAGCTCAAGTGTTCGCATGGGCTTCAACCCGAAAGGGAGTTTATGCTCACTCGATTGCTGAGCCGACAAAGCTGGAAGCTCTTAAAAAGGAATACGAGCAACAGAAAAACTCTATCAAAGATGAAACGAAAAAAGTATGCTTTGTTCTCTTTAATTTTTCAATTCATGTTTTCAATCACTTCAAATTCGATTCATTCAATATCATTTTTTAGGAGCTTCTGGACAAGTATGGTGGTGGTGAGCATTTTGATCGTCTTCCTGATGAACTTCTGTTTGCACAAACTGAGAGCTATGTTGAGTACAACAGAAAGGGAAAAGTTGTCAAAGGAAAGGAACGAGCTCCGATTAAGAGTCGATTCAAGGAGGATGAGTGAGTCATAGTTTTGTAGATGTGTGGTTTTCATATTTTCAATTTCAGGTATCCTCAAAATCACACGTCTATCTTTGGCTCATTCTGGAGAGAAGGAAAATGGGGATACAAATGTTGCCATCAATTCGTCAAAAACTCATATTGCACTGGAAGCGAGGGAATCAAAGCCGAATCGAGCTCGGCTGTTGGAAAGACGACTTCTAAAGAAGAAACGTTCAAAAAACCAGCGCCGCCTGTTGTCGAATCAAAACCTGAAATTATAAAAGCAGAAGTCAAGGAGGTAAAAGAAAATGAGGAAGAAGAGAAGTCTTCTTCGTCGTCGTCAAGTGAATCTTCAAGCTCGTCTAGCGAGGAAAGCGATAATGAAGAAAAAGAAAGAGAACGACAAAAGGAGCGAGAAAGAAGTATGTAATTTATTATTTTATATAATCTTACTTGTGAAATTAAGGAGAAAGAGAGCAAAAGCGAAGAGAAAAGAAAAAAGAAAAGCGAAATCGGAGAAAAGCTAAGCTCGGAAAACGAAAGAGAAGACATCGTGGAGATTCTTCAGACGGCTCGTCATCTTCTGATTCTGATAGTGGATCTGATAGCGGCGATGAAATGAAAGTTGCGCTCAAAAAAGCAAAGAAGGAGAAAATTGAAGGCATTAAAGCGCTTAATGAAGTAGAAGAAATCTGTCAATTTTCTAGATGTACATCTGTATTTTCAGGGCGATCGCGGTCGAAAATATAACACAGATTATTCGAACAATGCTCCTAGTGAAATTGAAATGGAGGCATATAGAATAACGAATGTTCATTCGGCAGATCCTATGGCAGCTTATATTAATCAGAAGTTTGAGAAAAAATCGAAAAAATAATAATTGTTATTGTTGTAATTATTCATATTTTTAATTTAATTCGTGATTTCTGTTCAATAAATATTTAGTTTTTTTAATTGAATTATTTTATTCTTTAACTTTGGTAATCATCCTTTATAAAAGAAACGACGCAGTGTCCATTGCTATTTGAACATATCCTCGGTTGTCCGTGCGGACTACACTGCATGCAAAAGGCGCATAGCTCGCATCGTTCGTAAACTCTCGCAACGAAACACCTACCGTACATTTGTGGCGTCTCATATTTTTGCACTTTCCTTCTCTTTTCAATTTTTCATCTTGTTTTCATTTTGCTGTGAATCATTGAAAAGATAGTTGATCTTAAGTGATTAAAGAAAACTAGTTCAAGTTTTATTTTTAGGTGATTTACCATGTCGGAAGTTCCTCATTTTGTTTTGTACGAGCATGCAATTGGCTACGCACTTTTAAAAGTTAAAGAATTCGAAGACGCCGGTCTTGTTGCTCAGGAAGTTTGTTGCGATAGAATACAATTTAATTATATACATTTATTAAGGTCGACTCTGCTTTGGCTGATGGATATAAGTTTACGCAAATTGTCGAGTTATCGTCTTTTGATCCGTTCAAAAATACCGAAGCTGCTTTGGAAAACTGCAATGCGATTTCGGAAGGTAGTTGTGACCACTTGGGTTTGATGTGGAATGAAAAATTCTAGGGCTTGCTCATCCTGATTTGACTAATTTCCTTGTTAAATCTTTACCTAAAAAGAAAAAGCACGTTGTACTGGGAATCAATGACTCGAAACTTGCTGGTTCGCTTTCTGAAGCGATTCCTGAGCTGAAGCTTGTCTTCGGCGGCGTTATCACTGAGGTAATCGAGTGACTTGCTACAAAATATAATTTTTGCGCAAGTCACTCATACCAATGACGAGAAACTGCCATTAATGAGTTTAGATTCTTCGTGGTATTCGCGTGCATTTTGAACGTTTGGCTAAAAATCTTCCACATCATTCACTTTCGAAAGCTCAGCTTTCACTCGGTCATAGTTACTCTAGGGGAAAGGTAGTCATTAAATTGCAGCTAGCGGTTATTTTTTACAAATTTAATAGGTTAAATTCGATGTCCACCGTGTCGACAACATGGTCATTCAATCAATTGCGCTTCTTGATCAACTTGACAAAGACATCAATTTGTTTGGAATGAGAATTAGAGAATGGTATTCGTACCATTATCCGGAGCTCTTCAAGGTTGTGCCTGATCAATACAAGTACACTCGCCTCGCTGTTGCTATTCTCGATCGTAACAAGATGAGCGAGAATGAAAACTTGGAAAACGAAATTCTAGGTAATTTCTGCACTTTTTATTATATATAATTTGGGTTATTATTTTTTTTTCATCCTCGTTTACTAAGCCGGGACACTGGCATTGTGCCAAGCTGTCTAGTAAAACACGAGGAAAATCGTAGAGACCGTAAGACACCGTAAATGTTTTTATTATATTTTCGGTCATGACGTATCCCACATTCTAAAATTTTTTTTATTAATAGTTCAATTAAAATTTATAAGTAGAAATTTGTATATTTTCAGAAATTCTGGAAGGCGATGAGCAAAAGAAGGATGAGGTCATTGAATCGGCGAGAACGTCCATGGGAATGGATATTTCTGACTTCGATCTTGAAAATATGAAGAATTTTTCTGTCCGAGTTTCAGCATTGATTGAGTATAGAACTCAACTCCATAATTACATCAAAGATAGAATGGACCATTGTGCTCCTTCTCTTAGTGCTTTGATTGGAGAACAGGTTATTTCAAAATCATTTTTTAATAATAATTCTGTTTAAAGGTTGGAGCGCGCCTTATTTCGCATGCTGGTTCGCTCACAAATTTGGCTAAATACCCTGCCTCGACTGTTCAAATTCTTGGAGCTGAGAAAGCTCTTTTCCGCGCTTTGAAAACAAGATGTATGTATTTTTAAATTACGAAAAATAGCATGTATTTAATGCGGGATAATGTTTTCCTAGTTTTTCCGTTTAGCTTGCATGCGAAATTATAATCATTTGGGGAGAAATACTGGATTTGATAATTAGCTTCCAAACCTCCTCTAATGAGAACAATTTCAGCGAATACCCCGAAGTATGGACTCTTGTTCCACTCTAGTTTCATTGGAAAGGCTGGACCCAAGAACAAAGGGCGTGTTTCGAGATATCTTGCCAACAAATGCTCGATCGCGGCACGTGTTGATTGCTTCTCCGATGTACCAGTATCAACCTATGGAGAGTATTTGCGTGGGCAAGTTGAGGACAGACTCGAGTATTTCACAAACGGAACTGTTCCAAAGAAGAATATTGAAGTGATGAAGGAAGCCGAAGAAGCTGCCGTCAGTGTTAGAGAAAAAGTGCTCAAGAAAAAAAAGAAAGCTGCAAAGAAGGCTAAAAGGATCTTAGAAGAGTCTGCCAGCGGAGAGGCTGATGTGGATGAGCCAAAACCCAAGAAGAAGAAGAAGAGCAAAGCTGGAGATGAATAAAATGTTTGTTGTAACCTTACTGTTTTAAAATGCACTTATGTTGGCAAAATTTGTTGATTTTTGTTGATTGTTGTTAATAAATATTTGTTATTTGAACTGTAAGAAACGAAGCGTATGGAATTCAATCTAACAAGTCTGCTTGAGGAATTAGGTTGTCGTTCATGCTAAATTGTTAGCCGTTTAGAATTTCATTTCATAGGAGAGTGAATTTGGTTCAGCAGAAGCGGCCATGAGGTGCCTGCGGGCTTTCGCTAATAGCATACACAAATATCACAGAAATAACCCACATTTGAATTTTGTTTTCAATCGGACTTCGCTGCAAAGTTAATATGTTTTCAAACCTTTTAAAAGCTTAAATGTTGCAACAAAATTATATCAAACCAATATTTATTGATCAACTACAAATTCTTACACTTGTATTTTTTGGCTTCGATGAATTCAGGAACACCATTGGAATTCTTCAAATGGGGCGCCTTTCTAAAAGAAATAAAAATAATGTGTTCAACAATTGTTGATATTATACGTCAAGCTCCTGGCGAACTTCCGGCCCACATACGTCTTCGTAGTATTGGAGAATGCACGACCTGCGTTCGGCAATAAAATCACAGCGTTCTTTTGGCGGCATCTGAAAAAAGGCAGCATATAAATGCTTCTCATCTCCTCATACACTATATTTGTCAATACTGAAGATACCATCACATAAATTGTCGGGTTTTACCAAATTATCAAGCTGAAATTCAAAAATCACTGTGAATCTTTAAACACAAAGAAAAAACCTTTTGAGAGCATTGGAATAGAACTCCAGACATGATATTGGCAACAAGACAGTTCTCGTTGTAAACTCGAATGGTTTCCGTGATGAACGGGCAATTTCCAGGTTTCAAACATTCCTTAAATTAATAATTATTACTATTTTGTCTTTAATTATATCTTGAAAACCACAGCATCTTCACATTTTGCGAACAATTTCTTCATCACCTCAGCGTCATACTCACTGTCTTCTTCATTGTATTTGTCCCATTCTTTTTGGAATAATTCCATCGTCTGAAATATGAAATAAATTAGAAATTCCTCAATAGACTACCGCATTGCATTTGTCCAACAGTTTGTTATCTTCGGCCGAGCAGTTCGGAGCTGCGACTGTCGCCAACACGAGAGCGGCTCCAATCAAAAGTTTGAACATCGAATATGGCAATTTACAAGCAATGTTGCACGAGTATATTCTATTCACGGGTAAAAATGGCTTTATGCTCAATAATTGCCTTGAACTGAATATGAGGTTTTACCAGAGTTTTTGATTTATGAGAATGTGGCAGGATGGCGAGGAAAGGCGGAATGGAGATTGAAGGGCATTTCCTTGACCGCTGAAGCAAATAAATGCTCTGAAACGAGCAAATACGTATTGAATCAACGAGATTTAAATACGAATATGCGAATCTAACATGAGACTATAGGTTGTTTTAAGTTTTTTGGATGAATGTAGAAAATTGAATAGATTTTCGCGTCAAGATCTGCAAAGTTTTATGGTACGCGTCTCTCAAATGGAATTGAAAAAAAAAATTGGATAATTATCGACATTTTTTTACTTTGAAAGAAATATCAACAAAAAATAACAAAAAAAGTTTTCAGTCCATGAGAAAATTGAGTGTTCGAATATTTTTCCTCATTTTGAATGAGCGAATTATGGCCCACTTTATTTGGCCTAATTGTGCTTTTCAAGATTTCATCGTTTTTTTTTCTATTTTTATTTTGAAATTTCCATTATATACATATTATAAAATTTAAACTTTGAGAGCGTAGTCTCTTCTGGATTATCGAAAAGCCCTCTATTCTGAAAAAAACTCGGTTTCAGTGATACGAAAGCAGTTTAGAGATGGATTTAATTTTAGTGTCGGATGTATCTGATTATCCACCTAATCTTGTTTTAAGACTGTGATAAAACAGTCTATTTCTAAGTTTCAGCTGAACTTCTAAATTTAGGTCAATCAACCAAAAGCGTCCAGCGACTGCAGCGGGTTGATTTACGAGTGCGTCTTTCGAAATGGTCTCACCACGCGTGAACGCTTATTTCGTTGTTTTCAAGTGAACTGTTTACTTTTTCTTGAAAAGTATATCATATCCTTGAATACTTTATATAGATGAAGTTAAAAATTTACGAATTGATCTCTAAAATGCAAAATAACTAGTTAGTCTGTGGGAGGAGGGAATCCAATCCGCATTCAGCAAACGCCGACTATACGTAAAACGGCATTTCCGAAATTGTTAGTTTCAAATGCAAATAAAGTGAAATGGTACTAAAAAATTTGAAATAACACGCGCGGTAAATCGGCTCAAGGGGTTCTTTGTGTTATTTTTAAATGTTTAAGTTCAAGATTTTGCCTGAAAATTGACCATCTAGAAAATTTAGTCAAACGTATTTACTCTGTAACAGACGATGAGATCAAGTGAATGGCTAAAATTTTGCTAACAGATACTCATTATAGTTTTTGTTATAATTGTTATCTCAAAGTAGTGCAATGTCTTCGGAGTCATGCTTCAGCTATCATAATATGCTTCTTATTAATTGCTAATTTACATTTTAAAATATCAGGCGTTTAAATGACAGAAGTTTCGCGTAATGGAAAATCATTTGAAATTCATGAAATTCGTCAGGTTAAATTAAATAAAATGGGCGTGGCTCGTGCGAGCCGCAAGTTGTCTCTCGCATTCCGCCATTCTCTCAATGTTCTTGCACGATGGTAGGCAGCTGAAATTGCAAAATTAGTAGAAAAGCAGGTGACATCTCGGCTAGTATTTATAGTTAAGTCGATTGCTTTGACATTTATAATGTTTGGTATACCGAATATATCGAACATTCCAAATTTGTTTATTGCATCTTTAAATTATAATTCAGGTTGTTTTGCATCAAAACAACTTGTAATTATTTAAAAATGCCTTTAGAGATGTCTCGAACCATTGAAAACGTTGGAAAAAATTTTTGTTCGAAGAATATCGAAAGTTTTAAAATTCTCCAATTAGAATACTCTTAAGTTTCTCATAATTTCGAATTCTTTGAAATAGTTTTCAATGGTGCTCCTTATTCAATTTGCTCGAAATGTATGAGATTTCAAATTTTAAACAATTTCTCATGAATCTGTTGCAAAATCAGCTACTTCAACTGTCCAAATGAGTCACATTATCGGAACTCTTGTAAAATTCTAATTATTTTTTATAATCGCTTCTTGTTTGGAAAATCATAAATTATGTGAGAACCAGAGATTTGCTGGTTTGAATAAACAATAGTTTTGCGCTTCATGTTTGAACCATTTTGAATTCTACGGTATCCCCGACGATTGCCCCTCAAAATTTTATCCCACATCTAACGAACACACAAAATACGTGACATTCTCTGGTCTCAAACATCGCGAGTTTTGAGTTTGTCAATGAGCTCAAAAATTTGTATATGAATGGTACTAATTTGGCACCTCGCACGAGTACAATGTCTCATGAAATCATTGATCAAACAATTCGTGAGAAACCTCACGAGTTTCACTTTTATTCTCTAATTGCAAGCTCGTTTCTATTTTTGACTAATCTTGCAATTCCAAATTCAATGTTAATCTTCAAAAAATTTTCTAGAAATCCAGAAAAAGAAAGTGCTGGCTATTTCTAGCCAAAATTGGCTTTAATTCGGCAATAATTTTGTTCAAAAATACTTAAAAATGCCGCCAAATCGAACAATAGCTTTTTTAAATGTTGACATGTACATTTTTGGTGAAAACAAGTAAAAGAATTGAGCATTTTTATTGGTGTCCAAATTCGAATTTTGAGAATTCTTCTTTTGTTTAACTTGATTTATTATCGTTTTTTTTTTCGTCACAAAACGCTTTGAATGATATCATATTTCCTCTTGAATTTCTCAATGTTTTATGCGGATCTAAAATTCCCACAAATCTCAAGAATGCCCACCAATTTCTGGAAAAATGAAATTTCAATGGGAAATGAGCTCGTGACATTCTTCGCTCTCACAACTTTTCGGACCATTTCACCAAAATTTTATTCGAGACGTCTTCTGTCGCTTCTGCTCGAATATGTTTTCAATGGAATTATTCTGAATTTCAGATAAAACCACCAAGTTCAGAAAATGCAGTTCCGATTCCTTCTGCTCCTTGTCGTGCTCATCGCTCAATGCGTGTTTTGTCAAGTGAGTTGCAATTTGTAGAAGTACGTCATCGACAGGAAACCGATAATTTATTTTAATTAGGCGCCTAACCATTTCTACTTCCCTTTTCGTGTGGGACAATTCTTAAAAAACGCATTTCGGTGTAAAAACTGAGACCAAATTCAATATTAATCATGTTTTAATTTCATGAATAATCAATCAGATGTTCCTTAAACATCATAAAATATGCATTGTTGTTTAAGTATTCGGTTTAAAAAAAATCCACGGTTGAGAATATGCATTTTGATTGAAGGTCGCTTGGGAAGACGAGATCGAGGATCCATACTCGAATTCAGCGTATTACAACAAATTCGTTGTTCCAATCCTATCGGATAAAGTAAAAATCGAAAAGTCGTCCGGGATCAATTAATTTTGTTCAGAGATCGTTCGATCAGAAGATTCGAAGCCTCAAACAACGGACCAATGGAGATCGTGTCAAGCAGATTCTATTCGGCTAAATCCCAATCCCTTCGCATTCTTCATAAATCGAAATTATGTGTTGTTAACAAAAATGTTGTTTTGATTTCGGTTTTCGCTCAAAAAACGTATTGTGAAAAAGCATCGACAAAAAATGTTGAGAAGCCGGGGGGGGTGGAGGAGGGGAGGGGATGAGGATGAAGAGGAGGATAATCTCGATGGTGCAGTGGCGACGCATTCCTGAAAAATCGTACTTTTCGAATGTCTGAAAGAAATAGCGTGCGATTCGCGGAGTGCGCCGCAGAACACAACCGCACAAGCTTATCACCCGACTTTTATCAAGTTTTTCGGGCTTTTGTCTTCTCCCGAAACACGCATCCGCAAAGCGAATTGTCGCTTCATCACATCCACTTCTCGACGGACACGTTCTCACGCCAATCACCTTGAGAATTCACCATGTCAACAGGAATGCCATTGCAAATCACAAATATCGAATAAAAGAAATGAAGTGAGAAATCGAGTTTAGGTTGAAAATGCAAAAAAAATCAAAATTCGGTCAGTTTTAAGCTCAGAGTCAAAAATAAAGAATGCAAAAAAAAAATAAAATAATGCGCATAGATGCTTTTATATACATATTTTAAGTCTTACAGTCTCCCAATCTTTTGAGAATTTGCAAATAATAATTTTCGCCTAGTCATTCACAAAACGAATTTCCATCCAGACCGGACTAGACATTTCATTTGATTTCACAATTATCGTTAATCAAGTTTTTTTTGCACCTCCATCATCATCGTCGTCTTTGTGTCCCGCTATCATTTATCCGCGATCCTGTCTTCCTTCCACATTTGCCTCACCATCCAGAAATAAGGTCGCGAATGCATGTGCGCAACAGATGACCGATAGACAGATTATTCCGGAGATATGCGCAACCTGTTCAGCAATATTACATTTTATTATTATTATTAATATTATAGCAACTATCCTTTCTTATAAAATAATAATTTATTTGGTTGTCGGAGAACAGACAGGAATGCACATTCGTAAAGTTGTTGAGAAACGAGATGATGAGGTGTTGACTTTGAGAAATAAGAGAGAAAGAACAAAAGGGTGGAATAAAAAAAACAACGATGGAAGGAAAACGGTGCGACGGGGGAATGAAAACATCGTCTACCGTCGTCCAGCTGACGATGACATTTAGCGGCGGGTTCCGTCCTCGAAGAACACTCCTCCGTCCAAAGCGCAGTACCTGCAATTTTCAGAAATCATAATCAGAAATTGATGGGCAACACTCACTTCGGGCAGATTCCCTTCTCTCCTGGAGTTCCGGCTGGTCCTGGTGGTCCTGGTGGTCCAGCTTGTCCGTCGACTCCTGGTGGTCCGTCTGGTCCTGGGGCTCCCTTTGGTCCTGGTGGTCCTGGTGGTCCATCGTTTCCTGGGGCTCCTGGTGGTCCTGGTGGTCCTGGTGGTCCAGCATCTCCTGGCTCTCCTGGGGCTCCTGGGGTGAGTGGCTCCGAGACGGCTGGGGTTCCTGGCTCTCCGGCTGGTCCTGGTGCTCCTGGCTCTCCTGGTGGTCCTGGTGGTCCACGTGGTCCTGGCGATCCTGGGGCGGCATCGGTTCCTGGGCGTCCTGGGGTTCCAGCCTCTCCTGGGTCTCCTGGGGCTCCTGGTGGTCCTGGTGGTCCAGGTGGTCCTTGTGGGCATGGTTTGCATGGTGGTGGAGTGGTTGGCTCGCATGGGGCGACTGGTGGCTTTCCTGGTGTTCCTGGGGTTCCTGGCGCTCCTGGCTTTCCTGGCTTTCCTGGCTTTCCTGGGGCTCCAGCCGGTCCTGGTGGTCCTGGCAAGCAGCATCCCTCGCATTGGAGGTTTGGAGCTGGGTTGACTTCTGGTCCTCCGTAAGCCTGACGGGCGGTACGGTTGCGTGGTGGAACTGGGCCGGAGTTGGCCTTCATGTAGTTCACCTCAGCGAAGATATCCTTAGCGGATCCCTAGAAACAAATAAGAGATAGAAAAACAAAAAAAATACAACTAATAATGGAATATGTGTAAAAAAATGTGAAAAGAACAAAAATAGAAAGAAAAAAAAAAGCGAACCTTGCAGAAGGCGATGTCGTGGTGCATCTGCTGTCTGACGTGCGACACATAGTTGTAGACCATGGGAAGTGTGAGCACGACCGAAGCAACGGCCACAATAGAGAATGTGACTGCGGCATAAGCCACGAATTTGTAGGCCTTGAGCCTACCGTCGGATTCCATATCTAGAATGGAGAATGAAACGGCTGATGCGAGTTGTCCGCACCCGACGCGCCGCTTTTATACGACGCACGCCAGCGCGCGGCCCCGCCCCGGCAGATATGGCGAAGGCGAGGACGACTGCGGGATTGTCCGATTCGCGCCGTCCCTTCGACCTATCTCAAGCCGCGATCCGCCAACGATAACCGATGCGGATATGGGCTCAAAACCAACATTCACACTTAAGCTCGAAAAATATTGTTCGAGTAATTTGCTTGAAAAAGTAGAATGAATCGATTAGTAAATAATGAAAATTTCGGAATCTTCCCCTTGAATCCTTGCAAGGTTATCTGTTTGCACTTCAGAAATGTCTTTCTAGATTCTTGAATCAGAAGTGCTATATCGTTTTTGACACGTCTAATTAAACTAATTTGTCTCAATTCGTTTGTGATACATCGAAAGTTAGGACAAATATTTACCTTCGAATTATTTTCTTTTTTATATGAATACAATTCTAGACCAGAAAAATGGTACGATGATTAGCAACAAATCATTTTTATTCGAGCGATAAATTTGGCATCCAGATAGGCTTACGATTGATAATTGGGGAATGAATACTCGTTTCTTGTCGATTTTTATTCAAAAAAAGAAATGATTTAATTAACGTCAAAAATAAATTATCAGATAAAGTTTCGTTATTTAAGAAGAAATTTTGAATATTGTGTTAAATATTAGACTTCATGGAGACTTTGCAAACTCCAGAAAAAAATTATTTAAACCTGATCGATACAATTTTGTAACATATCCGACTCACAATGAAAATGACCAACCAACCATCCAAATTTCTCGCTCATTCTCCATCCATAATATGATGTCGATTTTCAGTACGCCATCCGATAACAATCGCTTGGAGTCACATGATTTTCTCGGTGAATATCCATCTTGCCCGTTTATTCATATTTATTATTGTTACAGTATCCGAAAACAGGAACACACACATATATATAACGTATTCAGAGATATTTGGGCGAAAAGGTCAGCATAAATCCATTTGCTGATTATCGTCTTGTACAATCGCGCGGCGAGCGATTCACACACACACACACACAATTGGGACCTTTTCATATCGTGATTATTGGTCGCTTATGATTTTCGAAATCAGGTTGCCAATTAATACGAATATCAAAAATTGGAATGTTGAGACTTATTTAAATAGTGTGGCATATAATTAGGCAGGCTGGTTCGAAATTGGAAAGGTAGAGAAGACCTATAATCAAAGAATACTCGAAGAGTAGATTGCTAGATTGAATTTTGATGCCAGTATCTTATATAAATAAAATTTGCATTGCAATTACGAATTTTAGCCTCCGAATTTTTAGTTTGAAAGATTTCTCTTAATTTCTTTGGAAGATTTTTTCCGAATGATTTTGCATGAATAACTTGCTTGCGGTAAGATGTGAAAGTTCAATGATAAGCGCCGTCGGGGAGTGCCATTGCGAAATGGAACAAAGAACTCGATTCTCCTCTTCGTCTCTCTCTTCCTGCCCGAACCTCTCCCGCCTCTGATTCTACGATATCCGCTCGATGTTCTTGATTGTCCACCTTATCTGGAATGTTTCAACTGACACGAACTGTGTATATCCGTGCGATGCTATGTTCATAAAAACGACTGTTTGAAAACCGCAGCCGATTTCGACGAAACGAAAGAATGCGGTTTTTCACACGCACACAAACACATAAATGGCAAAAAGATGAAGCTGCTGGCCACACCCGAGATTAATTCATCATCGTTTAACTCTCTTATCTATGTATATTTCAAATATGCGCTGACATTTTCCAATTCATCCAAACATGTGTGTGTTTTCGCATCGAAGCCTTCATTTTTTCTCAAGGACATTTTTTTTTGGTGGAATTTGCGGCGGCGGTGGTGGTTGTGACGGACGGCTATTGAAAATTCGATTCCGATCTTTTTGTGAGAAATCCCAAGTTAAACCGAATAAGGTTTTTTTAAAGGACAAAATAATGTAGGCAAAAGTCTTAACGCCTCGAACTTATCAATATGCTTATGCCCGTAAATCTACATTTTCAGTTTCGCAACCAGACCGCTGTCATTTTTTTGTATTTAGTCAACTTTCAGTCACGCGAAATCGACAAACGTCATTTTCTAGAAATGTGTACTTTTACACTTTTGAATTTCAAAATTAAAATATTGAAACGGTTATTTCCTTGTGATATTCTAAGAATTCCTTATCAATTATTAACAAAACAGCTGAAATTAATTACCAACTTTAGCGAGAATTATCACGAGCGATTTCTAATCTTTCTAGACGCTGTTGTGTTATCTTGACTTCCGTATAAAATGACCTAAAAATGAAACATAGCTTTATCATTAATAGAAAGTGAAAACGATTTATCATATTAAATAAATATGTACATAATAATCAACACACCCGGGAATCATCAATCTTCAGATAATGGAAGTTCGGATCTCATTTCGAACATCATTTTCCACATGTACGAATTGCTCATATTAAGGAAGTATAGGTCGCGATTCAAGTCCAAAACGAATTTGACAAGATTTTTGCGTTGCAAAATGACACACACAAGAAGCATGGCAACGCCGATACCGAGGAATAGGCATCCTGTGATGACGAATGCGGGTTCGGGTTGCTGCAACAAAAAAAACGAGAATTGATTCGTATCTTCATCACAGTTTCGGAATTCTTCATTTTTGTTTCACCTATTGTTTAGTGAACGGTATTTTTGTCAGAAGCGCCAGCAACACCCGATCATTTTTGCGCGCCTAATGGACGGATGATTCTTGTCGGTGGTGTTTCACTTTCGAGATCGAAACAGATACGGATTGAATGCGGAAAAAAGCGAAAAGCACCTCGTAAAAGTGATAGTTATCAACTGTTTCGCCTCGTGTCGCTTAACGGCCTCTTTTGAATTGGGGAAGCTGGACCGACATTTTTGGAAATCAGACAAGTTGCAAGAAATACTCCACAATTTATGTATTAATCGAATCACCTTTAATGCGCACTTTTTGATTTGAAATCAATGCCGAAAAAAATGTCGGAGAGAAAACATGAATACTTTATAAGTGGATGACATCCGTCAATTGATAATCAATTTCGAAGTCAAAAAATGGGCATCGGATTTTGATTGTGCGAAGAAAACAATGGGTCTTGATCGGATTTTGATTTCAATATTGATTGAAATTATAATATATTACGATCGCAAAAATGAGAAGCACTTTCATGAGAGCAGAAATTCAAATTTGAATTTAAACAGCGGAGAATTCAGGTACCGTACTACGGAAAACCTGCGAATCAAACTCGCCGTAATTCTACCCAAGCTTCTTGTTTTCTCTGCGATTGTAATAGTTTTTTGAAAACAAAGATAGCTGCAAAAATCGGGGTATCAGAGATTCGCCTCCAAAATCGGCATGCCATTATTCAAAAATATTTTCAAAATTATAATTCTCCTCATTTATGCATGAAACCCCCACTATTTTCAAGCTATTGTGGTCAATTCAACTTTTTGAAATATATCGAAATTAGGAAAAAACGCGATTCAAAAGTGAAATAATTGATAAACTTCTCATTATGCGTACAATGAGTTGGGTCTTGTGGCCACTGATTCTGGTAGTCGATTTTTTTCCGGAAACAGGACGGGTTTGGAAATGCAATTTGAAAAAAGGTTTAAGGTTTTCAACATTTTTCGCATTCTGACATCAAAATTTTGAAAATATTTATATTTTTGCAGGGTTGTTAAATTTTGGGCCCGGCCGGCTTTCGGCCGGCTTTTTTCGCTGTCAAATTTTCGGCCCGCGATTCGGCCTCCGACTCCGTTGTTTACGGCCGCACGGCCGAAGCGGGAATTCAAAAAAAAAGCCGAAAGCCGGGCCGGCCGGCCGGCTTTCGGCCCCGGCTTCAATTTACCAACCCTGATTTTTTGTGATTTTTCCACTAGGAAAATTTGCGATTCACACATGAATACGCAAATTTAATAATCATCAAATCGGGTTTTGTTTTCAAATGATCAATTTTGCAATAAAATCAATCGAATGATGAGATAGAATGAGGATCAAAGAGACTATACGCTCACCACAATCAGGACGATTATCCCGCTGAGAATCAAGGTGGTACCAACAACAAAAAGGCCTGACATGGCAAGAACTGTTGCCGCCGATGAGGGACCTTTCTTGCGATGTTCTTGCTCGTACTAAATAATTTAAATTTGAAAACAATGAACGTGGAAAATTTGAAAGAAAACCTTGTCGAACATTGGCGTCTCCATCGTCTTCAGTGGATCTTCTTGTGAGTAATACTTTCGGGGAACTTTAATTTTTCCGCTCAAAGCTGGTGAATGATCCTGAAACAGAAAGAAAATAGCGCAAATATTAATACAATAATTTATTATTATATTTTCTTCTTAGATTTTATTACCAATGCATCCTCGGATCCGCATAGCGAAGTAGGACGAAGCATGACTAATACACAACTCGAGCAATCAATAAATTGGGTCGTTATCAAACCAACCAACCCTCGCCATTTTTTTTCTAGCACCGAGAATCATCTGTTTATATTTACTTTTTATAGTTTATATTAAAGATGTGTCAAAATGTATTCAATATTATTTTATATGTGCTCAATAATATTTCGAGAGAGCATATCTATTAGATTTCATCTAATTGAAAAATTTCAAAATTTTAGTTGAAAATCGAATTTCGCAATCACTAGAATATTTGAGGATTCGAATTTATTTTCATTTTTCGGCATTTTCGAAATTCATCCTTTACATCACGACGAGTATAAGCCGTAAGTCAATTTCGGAACTAAATTCAAGACTAGAATTAGGCTGCCGCTCACACTTTGTTTCCCCATAAATTTCTTCTTTTTTTCTTGTAATTTATTTAACGATATATCTCGAAAAATTAATTATTTTTGTACGAATGGGATACATTTGGATTACCGCCCGATTTTCTCAAGTTGATCAACATGATCTATCAATTTTTTCGTGGCACTGGAATGCATCCACGGGAGAAACCACGCTGTCAGGCAAAGTTTTGCTGAAACGCAACGAATAGTCTACTACATTTTTGTAGTCGGTTAGCAGAGAAAAACGGGGCGTCGCAGAAACTTCCGCAACGTTAAATTCTGAGCATGGTTGCGTCAAGGACCTGGCAGAGACTTGTTTCATGTACTTGATGGTACACATATGTATTCTTAGCCTAACTTCCCTCCAGATGTGCATAAACAGTTTTTGTGCAACGTTTACGTGACAATTAGCACCTTAATAATTGCAAACTATTTTTCAGGCGGTAATTCAAATATGAGTTTAAAGGCGCAAGTACTCGATTTTTGCAAAAGTAATAATAACATTTTATTTTGCACACTTTTACTGTTTTGTAAAATTTATACTAATAATTTCCTGATAATTAATTTGACTTTATCAAAGAAATTAGGGATAGTATTAAGCTCTTAATTGTTAATTGCGAAGATTGTTTTGATGGTCGAATCGGAAATGCTGTCGACGCACTATTTTTAATTACTTTTTTTTTAGAGTTATGAAAAAAATCGAACAATATGAAAAATTGTTAGCAAAGCGACAAAAAAGTGAAGACGAATGCTTTTGTGCGCGTTTTTGTTGTTTTTTTTTGTGAATCACATGTTTCGATGCGAAATATTACAAAATCGAAACCTAACCGAATCAATTCGGTTCTTCTCGCTTACCAATGCATATGGCGATGACGGCCGAGAATGGCCGGCTGTGTCGAGCAGCAGGGGTCGCGACATGGGAACTTGTAGTCGATTCCGAGAATCGTCTTCATTATTGCTAATTGATGTTGTTCTCATTTCCATTGCGCCAAGACTGAAAAAAAATCACATAAACGGTTTTCAGAAAATGTCGCATTCTGGAGAAGGAAGAAGCGATATCGAAGCCAATAGGTAACAAATCTTCTATTCAATTTTAGAAACCATAATTGTAGGTCGAGTGAAACTCCAAATTCGACCTACAGCTCGAAGCGAATGAAAATGGCACAGGCTCAAGTGAGCGAGGTTATCGATGTGATGAAGGTTGGTCTTTTAGTAAAAGGAAAAATTTGAAATGACTCATTTGGAAACTATTAAACTAACAAAAATCTTTAAAAAAAAAGATTAATCTATTTTTAATTTATGCGAAATCAAATCGGATACGCGATGTATTCAAATTGAGTGCTCAGCTCAAAAATTACGGTCAAGATTATCTGAGACAATTCATTTTAGAACAATGTCAACAAGGTGTTGGAACGCGAGAATCATCTAGCGAGTCTTGATCAGCGCGCGGATAACCTTCAGGTTTGTGATTTAAAGTACCATCATACACAGAATACATATTTGGCATATGTAGAGCAAATTTTGAATCAACTAAACTTACAATGGACTCGAATGGCTCGCTTAGTCATAAAATATCGATATTGTTTGCGTTTTGAAAACATGCCGTCGAATATATTCGGGCTTTTTGTGTAGAGACGTGAAATTGATATGCATGTGCGCAAACAAGGAAATTGTGCGATCGTTCTCGCATGATTAAACAACAAATCGTTGGGATTTAGGCCGGAGCATCGCAGTTTCAACAATCGTCGCGCAGTTTGCGGCAAAAGTATTGGTGGCAGAATGTTCGGGTAACATCGGAGATTTTGAGGATTATGGCTGAATATCTCGCATTTTCAGATGATGATCATCATTGGCGTCATTGTTGGAGTCTTACTCTTGCTAATTATTCTATGGGCAAGCAACTAGATTGAGAAATATTAAATCCCGGTAGAACGAAAATCAAAACAAAGAAACTGAAAAACCAAATCGTCGATATTATCCTTTTTCTCAAATTTTTATTGTTTAAAGAAATACGAACGTGTTTTCCTTGTACTTACTTGATTATACTCACAATTTATTCTTATATATATATATATATATATATTATAAATAAAATAAAAAGAACAACTAACAAATTGTGAAATGTTTAGTAGCTCAACAAAACTGAAAGAAAAATCAATTGAGCAAACAAAAAAGGAGACCGACTCCTGGTTAAATAGATGAGCGGCAGCGAGTTTAAAAAATAAACGAAACGTGAAAAATGCGCGATTTTGCGGGATTTTTGTGTCGATCAAATCTTCGAACATGACTTGCTGTTCACGTCTTCTCACAATTTCAACGGTCATTGTCGGTACTTCCGCAGCTGCTGCCCTTATTTATTATTACTTGCAAAGCCAGAAAAACGGTTTTATTTCGAGTGTTTCTCTCCAAATTCAATACCGAAAATGTTAAGAGAAGAAAAGTGAAAGACGCGATGCTGCCGGAGCCGATGCGATTTCACGAAGAGAAACTGACGAACACGTCGAAAGTGATGAAGATGACGCGCTTTCCCAAATGTTCCAAATCGAAGACGAAAATGTTAGAAAAGTTGTCGAGAAAATATTTGTCCGCGAGATTAATTTGGGAGAAGAGCTTATAGCGAATGGTATTTTTGATTATTTATATCCCAAATGATTTGAATTTTTTTTTCAAGCTGAAACCGCTGAAACCGGAGCAATTCATTTATCAAATGCGATTGCTTTGAGTGGAGAATCCGATGAGCTTTTGGCCGTTTTACAAAAAAGCATGTCGAATGCCAAATATTCGCTGATTATGAAATATATGCCAACGGCTGATTTTGTATGTCACGTCAATAGAAATTCAATAATTATTGTTTTATTTTTTTTAGAGAATCTATCATTTGATGCAAGACGAACTTGAGGAAGAAGTCATCCATGCGGCGTTCGCCTAATTCAGTTCGTTTAATAAAGATTCATGAATTCAATGATTTTCAAATTCTGTTCGCTATATACAGTGTATAAGGCGAAGAGACGCAGACATACACAACAAATGCGTCAAGCAGCGACCATTGACGCATTTGAAAGATTCTTAGCGAGAAGTACGTGCATTTTTTACAATGCCGTTTTAAATTATTTTTGCTTCAAAGAATTTAGTTATGCCCGTAGTTTAAATGTTTCAGTCGTAAAAAACTAAAATTTTCCAAATATTTATTCAGATATGCCATCATTTTTTCAAATTTAAGCTTGCGAAATTTTTATTTTATTTTATAACGTCATGACAATTCATGGTCAATAAATCATTGTGATATTAGGTTTTTTTTAATTGTTTTATTAAATTTTGTCAATTTTCCCACAAAATTCAAAAACTGTATTAATTTTTCTGATTTTGCTAAATATATAAGTTTTCGTCAGGTTAAGAATTTTAGTATGGCCTAAAATCCATGTTTGTTTCCGTAACAAACCAATTTATTAAATTTCAGGATGAGTGACACATTATTTGGGTTCAACAGATCAAACGTCGTCCTCGCAGCAGGTCTCGCCGGGGCTGCTTTCCTTGGGTACTGCATCTATTTTGATCACAAGCGCATCACCGCTCCGGATTACAAGGATAAAATCAGACAAAGTAAGACAAATCCTGTGAAATTAAAATAGTATAAGTGACGTATTCACAGAACGTCGGGCAAAACTCGGAGGTGGCGCGGCGAGACGTGCTCCAGCTTCTGGAATGGGTGATGTCAGTATGCCGGACGTTACTGATCCAAATGCGATGCAAGCTTTCTTCTTGCAAGAAGTCCAGCTCGGAGAAGAGCTCATGGGAGCCGGTAACTTTAACATTTTTTATAGCAAAAAATTTAATACTTCTAGGAAACACTGAACAAGGAGCAATTCACATCGCCAACGCAGTGATGCTCTGTGGACAATCTCAACAGCTCTTGGCCATATTCCAGCAAACGCTCACAGAGGAGCAATATAGAGCTGTGCTGCACCAACTTCCAAACACTCGCGAAGTGAAAGCTAATTTGAAATTATGTATTTAATTGTGGATTTCAGCGTCTCGCAAATCTGTTTGAAAGTAAGGCGAATGAAGCGGATGACGAGCCGCCAGTCATTCAGTACGTCGGAGAAGGACCACCACCAGGCGCTGTAAGTTTAATATGATTAAAAATTGAAAAATCTGAGTTTTAAGGACTTTGAAATGGCGGAGGTATGAAAACTTTTGTTTGAACTTGTTCATTTTTTTTGTTTCGGTGACTAACCTAGTTCCCATTTTTAAACATTAAAAAATCTAATTGCGTTCAAAAGAAGTTACCCTTTTCAAAATTTGTTATTCGGTAATTCTCTTCTGTTCGCTATGCCAATCTCAAAACAACTAAAAATAATAAATAATGAAATCGGCCAAACTTTTGTCGCAATAAATTACTCAAGCGAGCCCGCATAACTAATTGGAAGAAGTTTACACTGGCATGAGTTCGATCACTACTAAATCGATTTGCCGTGAATATCTCAGTTCCAATCATGATTAATGCATTTTTAGATCCAGGAATTGATCGACGACACTGACGACTTGGAGTAATTGTTTAATAATTTATAATCTTCTTCGTTCTTTGTTTTTTCGTTGTCCCGTTTCCAAGTAGTTTTTTTGTTTGGGAAAAAAGTAGGCTTTTATTGTTTTAGAACCTTACAATGTTATCTCAATTTTTTTGGTTTTCTCCAATTAATTTTCTCTCTGCGCCAACCCATTGTTCCATTCATTTTTCGTTGTTGTTTTCCATGAAATTCGATATTTATTTTTAAAAAATAAATATATGGAAAAACAGAAGAATATAACGAATAATTGATTCGATTATTTGTTAGAATTTGTGTGTTGAACACGAAGAAGAATAGAATTGTTTTTTTTTTTTGTAAGTTTTTATTCACTGTCCACTTCTTTGCGTTTTTTTTGAGGCTAGTCCGAAAAAAGGCGTTGAGGGAACCCTCTAATTTTCACCTTCTCGATTCACTGCGATTCGTTCAAGTGTCCAGTGTTTCGTAGGTAAAACACCGGCGGGATACACACGCGAGCGTGAAGAGTGCTGGGTCCCTCGTATTCGTTTCCGTGGAATCGCCACCGTTTTGTTTTTTTTTGTCTGTCGCGCTGCTCTCATTTTATGGTTGTTTTGGCACTTTTGCAAGTTTTACTTTTTCCTGGTTCAATAAGATGCGAGTCGGACCACAAATTGTCATTTTGCTTAGAGCTTCGTATATCAAAAAATGGCGTTGCAATTTAAGAATTTACGTTTTCCCAGAACTCATCCATGTTTGTTTTTTCCAACTGCTAGCAATCATCGATCTTTGAAAAATTTAAATTGCTCGGCCATTCGTTCCAAAATAGCAGGTTTGGCTAGTGGTTCGGTCGCATTTCTGAATTTTTAAGAAAAAAATTACACTGAAATATTAATATCAATCGAGTTCGAACAAAATTTAGTATAAATTAAACTGATTCGAAATCAAATTCTTTGAACGCGAATATATTGAGTTATTTCTCGAGATTGAAAAATCTCGTATAATTCGAAACAGAATATTTCGTTTTCTATTTTGATTGAAAACAGAATGGTTATTTTTGAAACCAAATGATTTTTCAGAGAACCTTTATTAATTTCTAAATTATATTATAAAATAGACATATAATTACTTCACTTTTCGTATTTAAAAACAAAATAATGAAAAATATTTTAATTTTGCAATTTTCATTAAAAAATTTCTTGATAATCGGTGAATATCAAAAAACTGAAAAGAAAAATCCCGAAATCAGTAGTTTTAAAGAAAATTTGAAGTTTTCGAAATTCGAAATTTTTTTGGATACGGTAATGAAAGGCGCATACCCCAATCAAAAATAAAAACCGAGAACTCCGTGTCGATGTACGGTACGTTTGAGTCACGGGTTATCCGTAGTTCGGTACAGAGATTCATACTGGTTAAATTTATTGAATTCCCACTTCAGAAAAACTACGATGGTCCACAAATACCCAGGGTATACTCGTTTTTTTTTGCGCGCGCATGGTAGTAATTGTGCGAATTTATTGAACGATTGACCAGAAAACCGCTTCAAGTCACCCTATAATTAAAGAATTCCTGGGAAAAAAACTTGAATTCCTCATTTTCGCGAATATCCCATGATTCGCCAACATCGTCAACACACGCCCATAATTTTTTAAAATTCCATTCACAAATCAGTGCAAGACCCGATATTTGATTGATTCATGCGTCGATTCGTCGAAATACGTCACATGTGTACTCGTGGCAACATAAACATATCCAGACGAATTTAAAAGATGCGTCGCCTCATTTATTTCTCGAGATCGTTTCCGACGCCGGGTTGCCAAAACTACACTAAACCACGAAAAATGAGGAGTCGGTTGTCAAGGTCCAATCGGATGAGCATCTTTTTAAAGAAAAAAAATGTAAAGTTGCATTTTGCGCCGCTCTGTGTCGCCATCGACACTATTCATTGATGCCCCCGTCGCGTTCGTCTAGTGCGAAAACGTCGGGTCACTCGGCGGCGAATCCGAATTCGATGCTCATCAAAAAAAAAAACAGAACGAAGCAAGAATTGCGTAGACGCAAAGGTGTAGACGGCGAGAAGTTTCGAAATAAAAACGATTGGGGGGAGGCGAAGATTGGGTCGAATTTCGACGGCTCCTCCCGACCCGATCCACATGTTTCTCGCACCATTTTGCGGTGCGTCGTTTTCGATTTGCTTTTCAATTTCTTTTTTGCTGCCTACGCCTTGCATATGCAATCGCATGACAATACTACTTTTCCTTGCTTGACTCCTAATTTGAACAACCAATTTCGCATTCTTTACAAATACCTTTGCAGTCTTGAATATGCATTCGACACGCCCATTATCCTGCTTCTTTGGATTTTTTTTCGAAAAAAAAACTTCTTATTTTCGTATTTTAGAGAATAGATTGTTTTTCAACCCCTGGTGAGGTATGTATACCTTTTTTCCGTAATGAACGTTGCTCAGTATAGCCAATTCCGATTACTACCAAGTAGGAAATAAACTCGAGAAACCGTTTCGAAACATGACTCATAAATCTGCGTACTCCATATATTGACCTCTTTTGAAAATTTATTGGATTTTTGAATTGTTTTGTTTTAACAAATCGAATAGAACAAAAAAGCACGTGATTTGTTTTGTTTGAAATTGCCCAACAATTCATGTCGTGAATGTCGTGTTCAGTGAAAAAAATTGTTTAATTATTTAATTGCTGAATTCAGTATATATCAAAGCTGCGAGAAAACGCGAATATTAGATCAGACAACATCGTCGCCAAAAAAAGAAAACGAGTCGAAGAATATTTCCGGTTCAAATTTGTGCTTAAATCGGGGGAATAATCCTACCGTACTACCGAAAACTCGCAAATCCATCTCATTCTAAACGGGCTCGTTTTTATCGCAATATCAACAGTTAGGCATAGTTTCTGACTTGTGCTTTAAGAGAGATGTAGGTTTGTACTCTCAAGGATCCACCGATTTCAATAAATGCAAATCTTTCATTATTCAAATGTGTTCCATTTCAAATTTTGTTCCGATGTTTGCAATTTTACACAAATTGCTGGCTTAGGCTAGCGTTGCATCGATCTATCGGAATTTTGATTTTCGAATGTTCAAATGATTCGTTCAAACGATGTCGTGTTTGATTCGTATAGTCTCAACAAAAGGACAACTGGGATGTTTCGTGTGCACACGCGCAGACATTCACCAAAACACGAAAGAAGTCACTTGGAGCAGGGGGAGGGAATAATTCGAAAATTTGACCGCACCAACTTCTTTTTGTTGTGCTCACTTGAAAATAATAGATGGTGGTGGTGAAGGTAGGAAAGAGTTTAAGACGACAGCAAACACGAAATAGAAGAAACGGAGTCAGCTCTTTATGCCATAATTGTAGTAAAACATGAAGAAAACTGGAGGAAGGGGGGGGGGTCCTACACTACACTTCCAATGCCTGAATATGGGTATGCGCTTATTTTGACAGCTAATTCGTGTCCATTTTATTTTTATTTTCACTCTTTTTATGTTATCGAGAAAGATCGACAACCAATTGGTAATATTTTTTCTTAATATTAGAATTAAATGGTCTCAAAGCCCAATTTTGGGAACTAGCCAATTTATGAAACATTGATATTTTTTGTTTTTATTTCAACACCGCAAACATTTTATTAGCACCATTTCTTCACTGCTGTGGGTATGGGGATCATCTGAAATCGGTACTAATAATTTTTAATAAATGCATGATACGAAACCCTCTAAATTTTAAATCTCAATTACCGATTGCATACATACAGGATCGGCACCCGTCGAGTGCTAAACGCGGGTAGATTTACGAGTGCCCCTTTGGTCTCGCCTCGCGGCAATATAATTGAATTTAAAAATTATCGACCACTGAATAGCTGCACCCGCGTAGGAGATTGGTCATGGAAAAAATTGTTCAAGGGCGGTGAAAGTCGCGCGGCGCCCGCTCGGCGATCGGCAGCCGGTCGCATCCCAAAACCTACCAGCGAAGGTGTCGCCGACTTTTCCCGCGCGGGCTCAATTTCATCGAGAAATCCCACGAGACCATACCGAAAATCCTTTGTCCGTAAATCTACCCGCGTGCAGAACTCTCTCATAGATATGAAAGACTATTTTCATAGCATTTGTAGGAAAAAAAAGAGATTGAACTGAAAAATGGGCAGACGAAAAAAGTTGGAATTTTTCGATTGTCACGTTATATTTTTTCAATAATTTTTTCATTTTTTTCATCAATATTTTCATTGATTTTTGATTTTATGTTGTTTTATGGAATTTTTCATTCGGATATCGAAAATCAGATGATCTAATTCAAAAAATGACCAAGTTAGGAGAAAATAGTTCTTTTCAATCAAATTTATGGAATAAAACCTATTTTATATTCGTTAAGAAGTAAAAAAAAAAAACATTTAAGATTTATCACTGTCGGATCCGTCGAGCCCTATGTTAAACTTTAGTATGCAATCTTCTAGAATCAAGATTCACACGAGTGTTGAGCAATCAAAAGAGGCTTATGTCTATGTTGATGTCTCAGCTCGTCATCGTTTCCATTAAGATCAGAACTTCAAAATTGACGAAATTATTCTTCAATTGTTCAAGTGAAATCGAGTCTCATTTGGAAACAACGAGTAGTTTCATTTATATTAACAGGCTTGTCGACCGGTCGGGTGCAAAACATGGTTCGACCCGGGCGAATCCAAGCTAAGACATTTTCCTTTTATTCGATCGAGTAAGCCATAATTATCAACTTTAATATATTACATAAATATGTGCCACATTCATTTCAAGAAAATTCTTTTACTACCACATTTTTTATTCTATACAATTCAGCTCTGGCCTTTGTTCGGCTTTGGCCCATATTTAAAACAACAAGCATAGAAAATACGTCAAATCAAGTGTTCCCTATTGTATTATATTGAAATGGATCGATAAATCACGCATTGCAACAAGACGAGGCTCAATAATGCAGCTCAGGCCACGTAATTTTGGGGTTTTTCGATCCGAGCGTATTATTGATTT